AAATCATGATATTTTTCTCTTTACACTAGAGTGCTACAATCGGTACTATTTATTTCGAGACTGTGTTAATTATTGTGTAAGCAATAACTCAATACTGCGGATCGTTATCCGACCTTTTTAGGGTTTATGTAATCCTGGGTAGATAACCTTATTTTAAAGCTCTACTTACTTTCAAAAGATATACAGAATGAACATGTAGTTGTTTCAACGATAGAATAAGAATACTTGGCTGTTTTTTTCTTTCTTCTCCTGCCCCCTACGAGAATTGACGCATATATTATGACAATATAAGTTATCTTTTATTTCTGTAATATTCATATTATTTTTCTTTCAAAACGCATGCTTTATCAACTTCTTTTTAACTCCTTGATGTTTTACATCTTTAAATATAGTCCATATACTTTCTACATATAGCCTACATGCACATGTATTTTCAGTTGTTAAACATTAGTAGAATTATATGTACATTGCATTAATGGGTTCGAAGTCGCGCTTATGAAAATGTTGATTTACGTTTTCATCTTGTGTTATGTATGACATTTCTTCAATTATCATTATCATTGTTTTATTCTGCTGTCATCCGAAGCTTTCTGGGGGACCATTTATGAGTCGAATCACGGCACCGCCATCAGCCCCAGAGGACAATTCACTGATCAGACACTCTTCGGGTTGATGCTGTGCGTTGTAAATGAAGGCTACCCGGCGTGCCTTTGTTGTCTTTTGGCGCTGGACATGACCGACTTCCAGCTGAACTCGTGCAATAGACCAGTTCACGGTTAGCACATGTCCCAAATGACCTCGAATATCCACAGATTTTCAAAACATGAAGAGGTCCCACTTTGTACATATGGAAATAATATCTCCTACAGCGATGGGGGTGCAACATAAAAAGACTTAGTTTCCCTTTTTCAAAGAGTACTTCCACCTGTGTATCATGGAGTGCACTGCTTGTGCATAAATAAATTACATAACTTTCATGAGCACGTATACAGTATTTTGTCTCCGTGTATTTCACAATTTGGTCTGCAATAACCTTTATCTGCTCATGCTCAGACTGCAAACTATGAACTGGCTTATTCAGAGAATAGCTAGCTGCACGCCACATGAACCAAAGTTACGGTAATTCCAGGAAGAAAATTGATGCCGTAACCGAGTTAAGAAAGAGTGGAAAAGTTATAACACCATTTAATCTTTATTCAATATGTATTAATATTTTTTATTTTATTTCGTTTTTATTAGATATACATGTTCTTAAAATCTTCAGACACGAGCTTTGGTCCGTACATCAGATGATTTTGCAGAGGCGTCCTAAAGATGAAGGCGCCATTTAAGACCCCCTAAAATCCGGCACATGTAAACGATGTAGGTACGTTTTCAAAATATTCTGTAATACGCGTAACAGCAGCAATGCAGGATTTTAATCAATGAAATACAAACATGTACGTGTATTCTAGTTTTGGAAAAACATTCAAAGCACGACTATAAAAAAATGTGGGAAATTTACTTCGAAAACCTTACTTTTCCTTAGAGGCCATGAACATATACCAAGAACATGTCTTATTTCAGAGTACAGTTCATTACCAATACAGTTGTTCTGTCGAGTGCTCATTTTTTCGTCTGCAAAGCCGTTACACAACTGTTTTGATTTTCCTGAAATTGCCATGGCAAAATTGTGTTGGTAGAAAAACAAAACGTTCATGTGTTGCTGAAAATAAAGGAAGCACTCAACAAAAGTGTTGGAAAATAAAGACGATTCGAGTTTTCTAAATGTTTCTCGCAATGAATGGAACAAACTTTTTTGTGCAAATATAACATTTAAAGTTATATGCATCATAATATCATATACATTGCACTATCGATGAATTATTTGTTATACTCTAAATTTGTACAAGTATTTTATCTTATTCTCTTGTGCCATTAATGTCCCTCTTCCTTACTATTATTATTATTCTATCACATTAGAATAGTTTTCTTTATTATCTTTGTCAAGGGCAACAGAGAAATCTCTGTATTATGCGCTGTGAAAGCATTATTTATCATCAATATCATTATTATTCTGTTTTCTAAGAATGACTTACGGGAAATCGACTGTAATGGAAGCTTATCCAATTCAATGATGTAAGATTAAAAGTAGTTTTAATAAGGGGTATATATATGTATCATCTTTAAAGCTGTCATAAGATATTAAGAATATCACCTGTTGTAACAGTTTCACTTCCCACATATAGTAATCGCCACAACTTATAAAATAAGGCAGTTATGAATATAAATATTTCAATGATATTATGTTCAACTACTGTACATGTAATGGCAATTTAAAGAGAAGGTTGAGTTCTGGGAAGATGTGAAAAATAATTTGTGAGCGTTACTCATTCTTATTATGCAAGTGTGGAAGAACATCAGATAAGACTTTTGGCTTTTTACGCCACGTGTTCGTGTAGTCCCATATACACCTTTCTGTGTACAGTGTTTGTAACTTTACCAAGACTTGGCCAAATTTCTTAACATTTTGATGATTCCAGAACCTGGTCGGTTCTGGTCGGTTCCATACCGTTTCTTTCACAATGCAATCGCATGACCATAACTCAACTTCATCTTTAATCTTTTTTTTTCTTCTTGCTTTGTATATATAGTAACTTCAGTTATCATATATAAATGTATCATTCCGTACCATGAAGCTTCGCATATTTTATGTTTTTTTTTTTCTTCTTTAGTCTAAACCCAATCATCTTCATTAAGCTTTGGTATCAATACCGAACATCCAGTGAGTGTGACGTCATTTGTGGTTTGCTGATAGCTGGCACAAAGCAAACATAAGCAGTACCAATGTTTTATGAAACATATAGTTTATTCTACACCCCACCCCCCCCCCCCGAAAATATATATAAATTATATATACACACACTGTACATTTAAATAATGAATTGATAGCATTAGGTATGCTGAAAGAATCTATATTTCAAAATGCCAAATGTATGTTTTATTTCTTGATAAGACCGTTTGGTAATCTTCTTACGGCAATCAACGACAAGTACCGGTATTGTATGTTACTTGCCTTTCCCAAGTCCATATATGGCTAGCATGCACACGTTGTTCAATATAAAATGAGGAAGGCAATCCCTAAGTTTTGTAATATCCGTCTTCTCTACACCGACACCACCCTTAACTAGTACAATCACACAAGGGTAAAATGCAGTTACTAATGATATTATGTTATTAAAATTATGAAGATGTATTTTGTTTTGTATACCAGTAGAGCCTTGAGTAAGTCATTAGATAAGTGCGCTTTATAGGTTGTCATTATTATATTGATTGCAGAGTAACTTTTCAAGATATGCATTCAAAATTTCAAATTTAGTCAGGGGCTTGACAAGGGCAAAAGACAGGCATGCATTTTTAGCATTTCAAGATAGTCAATACCCTGCAAAGCTTGAGAGTATAAGAAGTCCATCAGTATTCAGTAGTCCTCTGCTCCCGGAGAGCTGACCAAGGCATTTAGAACTGCGTAGGGTAAACAGTTCAAACAGTACAAAGCTTTCTACTTTCATCGATACATGTAGCTCTGCTCTCAAGACACAGTGAAAAGTTTTCTTGCATGGATGTTTGTAAATGGTGAGCAATATTGTGACTTTAAAGAGATTGGGTATCTTTGCCTCAATTTTTTTTTAAATCCTGGATTTAGCTCATGCCGCAATCATAATTTATTATAAACCTTTACGTCAGTCTGTCTGATTATCAAGATATGCATGATTGGATTTCTAAACTTCAAAACATGTTTTCCCCAACAGATTTTATGACACTACAGTCTATTGGGGGGGAAATGAGTATAGTAAAAACGGTCACTCAAAGATTTTTTACTTTTTTGAGGCACTTCATGATCACTTTGAAGAGCTGTTTAGGGCTTCAATATTACATCATATCCCGACACTGATAACACATAGGACCATGCATCTCAACTGGAAACATTGTTAAACAATGCCTTTAAGAACACATTGTCAGCACTCCAAATATGATGAATATGGACTGCATGACAACACTTCTATATTAACTGGGAGACACAAGGCATCATCAGGGACGACGAAGCACCCATCATACTGAATCTGAAGCTCCATCACACCAACCATTTTATACCCGTAGTTAAGGAAAAAATGTATACAAGACATGTACCAGAATGAGAAAGTAAACAGAATAATTCTCTTCAGATGCGAATGAATTGTTGGAAGGATGAGAGGTGATAAAATGAGAGAGTAAAAGTAGAGAGGGAAGGAAGGTAAAGAGACTTGAAGTGAAATGAAACTGGAGACTCAGAAACTCAGAAAAGGGCTAGATTTTTTACTCCGCAATGAGGAAGTTTGATGTTTAACAAGCAACAAGTGAAGAAAATTCAAGAGGGTTCTGTTTACCACTAGACTAGAGGTTTACATACCGGTACATGTCTTGCATTTCTACCCAGTCAATGTTTTAATGTACACGTATAGCAGGTGTTTTGGAATGGTACATGTCACATAACAATTGGTTAATCCCCAACATCCAACAGCTTTCCAATCCTTCACAGGGGGGAACATACATTTTGCAGATGTAAGTGCAACTCATCAAGACTCGTTCACATAATATATGTCACAGTAACCCTGATTCACATTCTATATCCTGTAACAGTAGAGCGAGGAGGAATGTTGTCTTTTTTCAATCCCCACTTTCCATTTAGTTACATGTTAGGAAAAAAATATGCTGCAGTTTGTCAAATCATGTGTGAACAGTCTTTACCAAGTAACATAGGACTTGGAACAATATAACCTTTGGTGGTCTGATCCTTTTCATCAGGACACATCTTTTCAGGGTTTACACCATTTAACATGTAGCAACAGATTATGAATTATCATAAAACTATTGTGTCAGTGTGTGAGTAAATGTGTGTTTTGAAAAGAATTGAAGAAAAAAAAAACATGTAAAAGTTTGAGTGTCATTGTATTCAAAAGATAGCAGAAGTTGTAGATACTTACCCAGCAGCCACAAAAGAAAAGTCTGGCATGCATACACAACATATTTAGAGCAAACACAGATTAAAACATTATGTGCTCCGCATCATGTTGTTTAGCACACCATAACTAAACCCTTGCCTGCACCCCGTGGATTCTTTGGTCTTGGCAGCTCAGGGATGTACTGGAAGTTCCTTGTGAAAATTTTACTGGATCATATTTTCTGGAGCTGTCTCATTTACCTACTGCAGGAAACAGTAGATGAAGCTGCAGGCTGTGAAGTGTTTAGTCCAGGTCAGAGAGCAGTAATTTCAAAGACTGTAGGCTGTTCACTCTCATTTTGACAGTGTGGTGAGCTCAGAGATTTAACTGAAGTGCCAGGAACTATTATAATTTCCACCTTAAGCTGAAGTTCTGGTGAAACTGTTTGATGTCAATTATCATTCGAAAAATGGGCTTGTAGAAGTCGAGGACAGTAAAGCTTAGGAAAGTGTCTTCATCTTCTTCCTGTTGAAATGCTGTTCTCTGCAAGTGTTCACAACATCTGTATCCGTTTTCCCCCCACTCTTTTCTGGATGTGCAGGTTTCTCAAAATATCATCTCTCTCCCGTAATGCTTTCTCAAGTCGTTTCTTCTCTTGACCATTGACTAGCTATCTACTTACCAGTAAATCCCCCACAAAAAAAAAAAAAAAAAAAAATCTTCCACTGAAAAGCTGGAAGGCTCCAAACCAGTAGATACTGTGGGGTACATGGAAAACGAGTAAAATCGGGCCTTGAAATAATTTACAGGTAAAAAAAAGACATTGGGCATATTTATCCCAAATTAATTCAAAACAGACCCCCCCCCCCAAAAAAAAAAAAGTACCTATTTTCAAAAGAGGACATGACAGCAAATCTATGTACATGCTAAAAACACAAGAATATGTGTATGTATTTCCATCTCCACATGAAGAATATTCAAGATAAAATGATTTGCATGAATCCATTCATGTACAGTACTTTCTACAATCCTTATATCCAAAACAAAAAACGGTAGGCACTTTATCTCTGGGAAGCTACAAAAGAACTCTGGGAAAAAAAGAAGACTTCTGATGAGGTAAGAATTCTAAAGAATTCCTGTAAAAGAAAAAATATGTATTTCTGTATGAATGATTTGTATGCATTTTATCTAGTGTTTATCATCGCCACTGCAGCACAAAATATGAGCAGCACTACTACTTGTACAGTACTACAAGAAGTAAGTTGCCTCAGTCAGTAGAGTCTTCCTGTTGAATCAAAAATTATGGGTTCCGATCCAACCCAAGCTGATGGCTGAAGCCTTTGTAGTGTGTCAATGTGCCCCTCTCGTTTGGTCAGCACAGACTACATCTAGGGAGTTGGACTTGCCCCCCCCCCCCACCCCCCCCCCCAAAAAAAAGTCACCCCTGATATCATAACTTCTGGTTATTTACATAGGATCCTAGTAACAGGTATAACTTGCTTGTAATAAAGATAAAAGTGATGATGTCCCCACCAGAATGACAAAGTCTAATAGGTGTCCTTTTATATTAAAGTCAATAGGAAGACTAGACATCTGTCAGGCTGACCAGGCTCTACAAAGGGAACGGCATACTGAAAACTTTTCCATTTTATTTTATTAAGCGATATTTAAAGGGAACCTCACCCGAAAAGATTATTGTAGGTACGCTGAAAGAAAAGATTCATGCCTATAGATGTACAATATTCCTTACGGGATTGTACAATACTGGTAGATATTTTCAGATTGATGTAACGCTTTTTAGCACGACATGGGCGCAGCTATTTTCTTGATAATGTTACAAACCAGGCGAACTTGTACATTAACCATGCGAAGGTCATAGCCGAGAAGGTAAAACTAATATTGGGTAAAAAATATATTAACAGGTTATCAACTGTAACTTATTTATTTAAAAATACTAAAATGTTATGAAAATTTGAACTTTCGTTGGAGTCTAAAACTCTGAGGGATCATTGACTCCAACAATATTGTTCATAATGCTTCATTGAGCACAAATGTAGTACTTCATAGCATCGTTTTTATTAGGTATTGTCATTTTTTTGTTGTTTTTATATATTTGTTTTATTTATTATTTATTTTAATTTTAAATGCTGTTTACCACATCGCAGAACAAATTATGTTTTGATGAAGTAATTTGGTTTCAACTTTCAAATGCAGTACATGGTCAAGTGTACTTTGTTGTTCTCAATGTGTGGGTATTTGCAAAGTGTAAACACCCGCCATCTTCATGGAGGTTTGAATTTAAACCATGATCTAAACTTCTACATTTTTATCAAAACTTGATCATAAACGTAAGTTGCCTGTCAATTTGATATTAGGACAGCCATGTACTATGCTTTCGCAGGTTTAAATCGTGGGTGAAGATAAACATCCTTCGTGCATTCAGAGTCAGACTTATGCTTATGTGCATATATGGATGTCTTTAGTGTGTACAAGACCAGTAACATCCTCAAAGTACAGGAAAATTGTATGAAACTTGTATAAACAAATGTATAAAAGAATCATTGTAAACCATAAGGAGAGTACTGACTAGTCAACATCAGTTTTTTTTAAATTGCCTGAAGAAACTAGTCGTATTATGTCGTAATGAGGTCAGTTGATAGCACAGCTGGCCAACCATCAATAGTCAATACATGCTCACAATAAGCCTCATCCAGTTATATTACTTTTGTACATGTACGATGTGATATTCCAACAAGTGTTTCGTTATGCAGTGCTTCATTATACAACTTTCAGATCAGGAACAATTGTATGACTTATCGTATACCGGTAGTTATACAATGATTTCTGATTATTCGGAACTTAGGGCTTATGTGAACATGGTAGCATGTGAGGCTGCAGAAATGGAATTATCCATCTACAGCTTACAAATAGAAGTGGTGTCATTCTAAGCATACACCAGACCCAGTCTCACTCAGCTCTCTCATCATTTGCTTTATGTCCAAAAAAAATGTTTACTGTTGAAAAATGATGCTACCGACTTTCATGTTTCCAGAAGCTTCCAAGACATGTATTTTTTAAACTGTACTATTCCACAAGTTCTTATAGCAAGACTTACATCGTTTTACAAAATCTGCAAAATGCATCATTTGAAAATATCTAAAGTGAGATATGTAAAGAAGAATAAATTGCAGTGACAGTGATTGACAGGTAATGAAAAGTAGAAAATAATATCAAGAAAAGAAAATATTATCAAGAAAGGAAAATATTTAAAAAAGACGAGGCGACAGAGCACATATAAGGAAGGTGAAACGAGATAAGGATATCTGATTATATTTTCACCATACTAAGTGTTGACTTGGGCTTCTGCTTATGGTTACCGGTACATTGTACATGGATTCATTCTTTTTACCATCTGGTTAAAAGATTTTTATAATTTAGGTGCATATTACATCCGTTTAAAAAGTTTTAGTTAAGTGTAGTTTTTGTTATTGATTTAATGTATAAGGATTATCATTAGTGCATTATTTTGAAAAGTTTTGAAGAATCTTTGTTTGGACTGTATCAAGGGGGCTTTTAATTTGTTTTAAATTTTATTAAATATTTACCAAGGACATAGGTTATTAGGTTTGTCTATTTGTGTAGTGTTATTCTTTTCTTGTAAGAGTAAAGTTGTACTACTACGAAGAGTTCATCAATTTAAAAGTCCATCACAAAAATAAAGAAGAATTATATACAGGGTACATACATGTATTTAAATAAGGAAGTTGTGTATAAACAAGGTATAAAACAAATAAAACTTTGAGAATGAAATGATGCACGAATATGTGCGACCTACCAGGGTATTTGATATACTAACTTGTGTGAAATGAATATCACAGTTAACACATGTTGTATAGTATTTATGAGCAACTACATTGTATTATCAATTTTTTCATCTTTTGACTTTGGTTGCTTTAAAATTACTGTTACATGAGTACATGACAAATGTGTTACAGTAACGTATTACTTGAAAAACTACAATAATCTAAAAGTGTTCGTTTAGTGTTAGATAAAACAAATTTGATTCAATTGTCTCTCAATTTTTCTCTGTTTCAGTAAAATACTAGTCACCATCATTCACTAGATGTGTCTTTGAGTCTTGTTTTAAAATTAATTCTCAAGTACCGGGATGTGATTTTTTTATAATAAAAACGGTTTTAAAAAAAATCATAAATTTTAGTCATTTAGAGCTGTTATAGATCAAACATAACCCGACATATATTTGAGTATTTATTATAGATTACTGGACAGATTACAAAACCACTCTTCAACAACTACAAATAGAATACAAATGGAAAGCTCCTCACAATAATTATTTATCAATTTCAAAAACTTTCACTTCTTTTTTTTTTTATTTTTTGCTCTTATTACAATAAAGTACAATCTTTAAGTTCATGAGTTTGACATTTGGTAATCATTTTTTTTTTTTAATGGAGGCCATTTTTATTAAACTCCCATAATATTGCTTCTTGCTAGTTGCTACACATTCTATTTTCAAGTAGTCTATAGGTTTATCTTTTTTTTCTTCTTCTTTTCCCCTTGTGTTTAAAGTGTACCAATCACCTAAAAAGATTTGTGTACATCTATTGTGTAAAAAATCAACATAAATAAATTTAAAGAAAATAAAGGATAACCAAAATCCCCAAGCACAAAACCTAGGTCTGACTTGGTTTCTGTGCGGCTCTTATTCTAGTCTCCTGAAGTAACATTTATGGTGAGAGTGTATCTACTATCTAAATATGCAATATCTCTCTATAGAAAAAAACATTTGAAGCTCATATCTTGAATATAATATTGGGACATGATAGACCAAAATATTAGATGGTGATTGGTACACCTTAAACACGTCATGAAGAAAAGGGATAAACAAGGAAAAGTAGTATGATTTTTCATTTAGTCCGTTCAATTTCAAGGCACAAATTAATTTCCATACACTGGTAATGGAATGTCGGGCTACATGTACATGAAGTAGAGTTTCCTGATGATGCTGTGTGCTGTGTCTGTCAATTTATGTAGCTTTCAAATTTCTTTTTTTTTTAAAGAAAAAAAAATGAGTAAGTGAAGTCTACAAATGAGAATCCAAACTTTCAAAGCTAAAACTTTCCTCTACTTTAAGTAGACTAAAAGTCCACTAAGTAGACTAATAGTCCAATATGTATTCTAAAAAGAAAAGAAAACCAAATTAGTCCTTGCTCCACACAAGGGATTGCAACTTGCAAGCATCAAATCCTACATTTTGGGCAATTGTGGTAATATCAAAAACCCTCCATGTATATCACTCTTCTTTTCTCTAAATCATTTTACTCTACAGTACATGATGTATCACCATCCATATGTTTCTGCAGTTGAGTTAGAGTCACAAGTCAGCAGCAAGTCGCTGTACTTCGCTGTGCGAGGAAAAACAGAGGTAAAAGCTTTACAAGCACCAGAACTCCACTCCAGTTTGTTGGTTTTAATTAGTTTCAATATGAAATCACACTCTTCCTTTTATGACTTTTGTTCCTGTTTTTTAAAAGATATGATAACATGTTCAAAAAATTAAAGTTAAAATAGAGGTTTTCAGGGAACCCATCAAGTATCAACACCGCGTTGCGTGTAAACATTTAACATGAGAGTAAACAGGGAGTGACCTCTGTCATATCGAGTTGCAATTAGAATGCAACCCTCACTAAAAAATAAAATAATTTAACAGGAGCTTAAAGGTATATGTAGTGAATCCCTTTTGCAGCCAACATCAAATTCTGTAGAACTTTAAGAAACAGTTTTTTCACTAAGTTTCAGCAAAAGACAAAGGTCATAACATAAGATTCTGACCCACTAATTATTGCAAAAGAAGTTCAGATAGAAACATTCAACAGAAATTATTTGCTTATAAGTCTATATTACATCTTCCCTATGGACTTTAGCCTGAAAAATCATCTGGATTCTTGCATGTCTGTTATGCAGGGCAGGGTTTCATGAAACGGTCATAAGTACAAGTTCACCGACATCACATTGAAATGTGTGTTAAACTTGTACTTATGACGGTTTTGTGAGACGCTGCCCATGCTTCACTCGTCACAGTTCACATGTCTCACTGTATAGCTCAGTCTCAGCTTACATCATTTAATTTTCATTCTCAGTCACATAGTCATAGACTCAACCTCACTCAAGTCTAAACCTAGTCTACATTCAATTTCCAGACAAAATGTTTGTAATCACATTACTAGCTGCATACTTAATTGCACTTACTGTGTGTCCGAAAGATAAAAAAGCCCCTACCCTTTAAACTGTTTTTTTATTAAGATGGCTGGGTGCAAAATTACAATACATACCGTAACGACGAAGGGGTGCGGGGGTGCGTGCATGAAGTTAGCAACCGTAATAATGATCATCACCGTCATAATGTAATGTAAATTACTTACATGAATTTAATGAGGATTCCAGATTACAGTTGCTAACATCACACACGCGCACATAGTCGGTACGGTATAAGTTTGCAATTGTATGGTAATTATGCCGCTGTTGGCCGTGAAACCCGTGAGAAAGTGTATATTATGTCTGTTTTTAGGAAAAATAATCCAAAAAGACTAGAAAATTGACACAAAATGGGTAAGATACCTAACAACTTTTAAATCATAACCATTGTTTGAATAATTGATGAAGATTTAGAATCTAGTTGATTTTTAGGTAGACCCTACGTTTTACTTTTTAGCAGGGTATCTCAACGCAGGAGTTGCAGGTCGTCAAAAATGGATACGAATATACACTATAGAAACTACGTCACGGTGACATGACTACAGACTAGCGCCAGATGCAGATGTTTTACTTTCAAATTAAAAATGAGAGATCAAATCGATCTTGAGAGTTAGAATTTAGAAATTACGGTAGAATACCAAATTCTAGTTACCGGCCCTAGCTTTAAAGTAATTAAAGATGAAGGTGAGTTCTGGTCATGCGATTGCATTGTGAAAGAAACGGTGTGGAACCGACCAGAAAAGGTTGATCATCTAGCATATAAGAATGTGTGTGTATTGCAAGCTCTGGAATCATCAAAATGATAAGAACTTTGGCCAAGTCTTGGTAAAGTAACAAACACTGTACACAGAAAGATGTATACATGTATGGGACTACACGAACACGTGGCGTAAAAAGCCGCCCCCCCCCCCCCCCCGATTTATACGATTTTACATGCATATTTAGAATATGAAGGCATTTGAAGAGCCATGCTTTTCTGGGAACATGTCTTATCTGATGTTCTTCCACACTTGCATAATAAGAATAAGTAACGCTCACAAATTATTCTTCACCTCTTCCCAGAACTCAACCTTCTCTTTAAACTAAGACGTGTTTGCATGTTCATGTTTTTTTCTCAATACAAATACAAATTAAAATAGGAATCCTTGATCCAAATTATATCAACATACAAATTACAATCACACATACAGCTACAGCAACAGCAACCTATCCAAGATTTATTGGCCATGCCAACGAACAGTCGTGCTTGGTGCGCGGTGCCGCTGCGCCGGGCAGCTGCGTGTTCTGCATGCTGCGCTACCGCTTGATGAATCCCTAGATCTATGGCTAAGCATGCATGTTGTATAAGAAGAGAGCGAGACATAAAATGCAAACAGCAGTTACTTCAAACCCGAGATCTTCTTCCAGCTACTTTCTCTTTACACTGTTTATCACTTGGCACCCCCTATAATAAAAACGTGGAGAAGAAGACCGAATGAACTTTTAGATTTCACCTTCCAATGGCCCTATCTTACCTCCTAAAGTCTGCTTTGATGGATTCTTCCTTGACTCTTTTTCGGCTGAAAAATGGCGACAAGCAAATCGGCAACATTGAGTTGAAATAATGATTTCACAAAATAATAATTGCGCCATATTGAGAAAAAAAAGAAAAAAATAAATATATACAAGATGTTGTACCACAAATTATTATTTTTTTAAATATACACGTGTGTCTATGATTGTTAAATATACACGTGTGTCTATGATTGTTAATAACAGATTTTTGTTAATCAGTAAATTATAGTAGCACAGTGGAAGTATTTTTTTCCATACAGAGATCACTGACCTCAAAAAGCGAGTATTTACAGACATCTCGCCCTTACGAATTTCGGTCAGACATCGACAGTACACTAAACTTAGTTGATCCCTCCACTATTTTGGAGATTCCTGGAGTCCAATCCAACTGGTTAGGAGCTTTGGAAAGTTTGGATAGCATAATAGAACGAAAGGCATCAATTCTGTATAAAAAAAAGAGGGATAGTAGTTTAGTAGAAGAAGGGCTATTCTGAATTTCGGAACTAGATCTAGTCATGGAAAGGTAACATGCAGAGTAACGGCGTCGCTTGACCTTTTTCAGTGGGGGGGGGGGGGGGGGGGGGTTGTAGAGGCAAATGTCCCAATGTCTACAAATCTAACCCTTTAAACCCGGGACCGAAGGCTAAAAAAAAAATTGCCGATCGACCGTCATTATACATCTCAATGATTTGAAACTTCTGCATTGATAATAGTAGGCCTTACACAAGGATCGAGCAAGAATACCGTCACAGCTGACCCGATACAGCAGCATATTGTCTATGCGTATCCTTTCTTGCTCCCTCGACGAGACGACTTCATCTAACAATTACCCCCCTATCTCTTTTACTACCACCCCTTTTCTCTCAAGCTCTTACCCCCCCCCCCCCTTTCTCTCCTCTTTTCCATCCCCTGTGTATAGACATTTATGTACGGATGTCATATTTTGATAACTCATGTTTATTATGTGACATTCACAGCTAGGTCACTATTCTTTTTTTTTACCCTTTAAAAAAAATAGATGGGCCCCCTCCCCTGGCGCTCAAGGGGGGGGGGGGGGTGCGATTTTTCAAATTTTCGAGGGCTCCCCCAAAAAATTAGTGCTCACGAGCCCCCACTGAACGAATTATCGGCCGGCGCGATTTTCAAATTTTAGGAAAAAAAAAAAAAAAAATAGTGCTCACTCCCCCCCCCCCCCCCACCCCCCCCCCCCCCCCACTTAGCGAATAATGAGCCGGCTGTTTCGCGGCTAAACATTTTCTCACGAATTGGGCCCCCCCGTCCCTGATATCCTGACAGGTGGGGGTTGTCACACCCCCCCCCCTCTAGCGACGCCCATGGCTTTGACACTTAGGGTTCTAAATAACTATATTTTTTGCCTGACTGGGAATATGTCATTATCCTACAAACGCATAAAAAAGTACAATTTACAAAAAAGTTAGAAAAATGGCTATAGAATTCAAAGCTCATTTCACAATTTCATTTTTAAATGAAGGATAACATATGGTGTATATCTGTTGTTTCTTTTATGATATTTTTAAAGCAGTCTTTGTCACGTTTCTTTGTCTGCTCCTTTACTTTTGTTCTCTTTCTATACTTCTCTCTCTCTCTCTCTCTCTCTCTCTCTTTTGGCCAGCAGTTTATTTGTTTTTTTGGGGGGGCGACACCCTTATCGTCCTCCCCCCCCCCCCCCCCCCCCCCCCCCCCCCCCGTGGCTACGCGCCTTCTAAATTTAGCCTATTTTACTAGATAAACTATAAAGAAATAAGAACCAGTTTTTACCTATATATATAAAGCGCAGCCGAGGCCCATTCTCAACTTTACGGTATATCGCATATCGAGGACCGGACCTGACTGGGACAAAACTTATTAGGACGAGTTGCTCAGGCTAGCGCTAGGCAAGCCCCACACAACATCTCTATCGCTGGTATATAGATCTAGGCTGTCGCGCCGTGTGAAGATATCTGTTGCGGTCGACCCCCCTAGATTGACGTCCCCCTGCCGGTGCCCTAGCCCAGCGCAGACCGAGCCATACAGTTGCGACGTTGCGACGCTGTTCCATTTCGCACTGACTGCATAATTGGCGATCCGAGCGGTCTTCGAAGTAACGTAGGACACCTAAGTAGATCGTACTTGTTCAGAGGAATGGCTGTTTGTGTTGCTGTAATTGCTAAAGAGGTTAGTCGTTGGTCGTAACACTAATTAGGTCTAGGTTTTGTGTGCTAAAACCTTCCCATAGGCCATAATAGGGAATGGAGGATAAACTGCACACATCCCTATGTAGAAAGTCTAGTCAAAATTGGTCAACGTTTTTAAAAATATCTATTTACTTTTTTAGATTTAAACCTTTATCTGTTGTGATCTTGAAGGTGATTATCAATAAATGAGGTGTCATATGAAAGAGCAGATTAATCCCCATATTTCCAAAGGGGTGTCATTTCAGATTTCTAAAAATATCTTGTCAAAACAGCGATTTAAATGTTGTTTCCATGGGATAATAATTAGTTCTCAAGTCGTAACTCGTAAGGAATAGACATTGTTGATGTTCTTTTTTCGCTAGCCCCAAGGGATCACATACGATTTAAGTTCAAGCATATCGCCTAGATCTAATGGTAATGCGTTAGACTCTAGAATGTAGCTGTTTAGCAAAAAATGATAACTCGGCGCGGCGTGAACCACTTTTTTGTCCATTCTGACCAATATGCTATGAATATTGCAGAGTTTATGAGAGGCTGTATCTTTTGATAGAAACATCGGTGAGACTGAGTCTTGAAATTTTAAATGTATTTTTCTGAAAACATTTTTTATTCAAATATCAAACAAAAATGGTGAAAAACAATCCCAAATTGAAAATTGAAAAATCGTTCAGACACCCTAGTTTGGGATGTTCAAACCCCCCCCCCCCCTTTTTTTGGCAAAAGGGGGTGTTTTAGAATGTTGAAGACTCCCTTTAATTTACCAGTATCTGTGTTTTATCTATGCCCCCCCCCCCCTCCCTGACAATTTTTTTCTTTCTTTTTTTGCTCAAGGGGGGTGAATGTTGAGGAACAAGAAAGCAGAATGGCAACAGTTTGAAATGAATCTGACCAATACTAGTACAGTGTAAGGAAGTTATGAATGTTTGAAACATGAGATCACTGACTATACTTCTATTAAATAAGTCAATTTCTACCGTATGTGAATCTCTAATTGGTAGTTTGGTCAGTAGATTGTGACGTAGGATGTGGATAACTCTCCCATTTCATTTGCCGTGTACAAAAATATCATTAATTAATGTTTTCCTTTTAAGTTCCTTCTCCCTTGGGGCACTACTCAAATATAGGTCCTCTTAAAAGTTTAAATTTTAGTCATTTTATATGTTTGAACAGATGGAAAAGTAGTCCGGCACTACATCACATTGACATTACAGCTTCAGCCAATATGAAGTGCCCATATACATAGTGATTAAAACTTTCAAAAATTGATAAATTTCACATATTTAGTCTGATTAAATTGAAACTTTCATCAGTTTACTTCTTTGATTTTTCTGCTTTCTTTTAGAGTAGTTGTCTATTGGGGTTGGATTTCCCTTAAACTAGTACTCAGGGAACAACCATTGATATAGGCACGATTGCTCAGTTGGTAGAGCAGTGGTCTCATAATCCTCTGGTTGCTTACTAACAAGCATTAATGCTTTCTTAGCAGTCGGGTAAAATAACCACCACCACTACACGATTATGAGAGACTAAAGCTTTCAGTCTACTCTCTAGTTTCTACTAATACAATGTCACTGTCTGACTAGGCCCATTTGAGAGATGGAAGAGCTTGAACTTGAGGTAGATCTAGATTCTAGATCTCAATTATTAATTCATAAAATACACATGTCTTAAACTAGAAGATGCAACTCTACTCTCTAGTTTGAAAATTGAAGTTATGCTTCTGAGTACATGTACTTCTTTTTCTCACCTTCCTATCTACTTTATCTGTCTACCTAATCTTTGTTGTATATTAGGCTATATTTATAAATTACATGTACCCGGTATTTGTTTCCATGACTGTGTGTTTTTATGAAAAGAAACATAGATCTATTCATTTAAAACCTACATTCCGTTTCTCTTTGCTGCAGAATTATCCACTCTACATAAGGACGATACCAACAGAGAATGAGCTGAAATTTCACTACACTGTCCATACATGTCTAGATGTGATAGAGGAAAAGGTATCATCGGTAGGAAAGAGCAGCAATGACTTGCGAGAGCTCTACCTGGGTCTCCTGTATCCCACGGAAGACTACAAGGTCTATGGCTACGTAACCAACACAAAAGTCAAGTTTGTCATCGTGGTAGAGTCCTCTAACACTCAGATGAGGGACAATGAAATCAGGAATGTAAGTTGGAAAACAGTGGGAATATGGGATGGAACATTCAACTAAATGATGTTTAGGTTCATAACTCTCACTCTGTGTATGTAAGCACTATTTTGGTCAGATATTTCTGGATTAGGAGGTGCCATTTTCTCACTTAAGTGAAGTAAATTCTCAATTGAAAATTGTCGTGCATCAATCAATTTTCACTCAAAATGCCCAGGAAAAAAACGAATTAAATTACAAGCAGATTTGTTTTGGCTAAATCCTTATGATTGTCATTAACTATCTACACATATCTTATGTTCAATCTTGAGGATGGAATACAATACCGGTAAAATAAATAACTATTGCAAAATTATTTACTTTACTTGTATCAAAGAGAACTGTTGCTGAGCTAGCGCCATGAGCGTCCCTGGACGGTGTGCGCTCTATAAGTTTACACTATTATTATAATTATTATTATATAATACGCACATGTACTTTCTCTTCTGCCTGCAGATGTTCAAGACGTTACACAACGCTTATGTAGACATGCTGTGCAATCCATTCTATACTCCCGGAGAGAACGTAAAATCGAAGTAAGGAATTTTCTTTTTCTTATCTGCATTACTGGAAAAGTCTTTCAACACAATTTCGGTCTCCAGTAGTAATATAGGTTATGGACCCTTGTCATTCCCTTTATTCATGATAGGTATAAAGACTGTGGAAAAGGTCTTCATCATTCCTGGAGATAGAAAATGGTAATCTCTTGTTCCTCATCACCCAGTTTTAAAGATTTTCTTCAGCAGTCATGGTTTATTCACTAACACATGTGCATTGTGTGCCTGGATAGAAAACAATAATAATAATACTCAGTTTTTATATATCGCTTATTACAATCACTAAGCACTTCCAAATTTGGAGATTATTACCCCAACTTAAGCTGTGCTGCCATTACGGTGCTCTAGAATTTCAAAGAATTAACTCCTGCCAGGTACCCATTTACATCATGTCCTCTTATGGGGTGCAGTAAACACTCTTAGTCATTGAGTTAATTATCTGAATTTTTTTTTGATAGAAATGACCTGTTTCAATTTAATTCAATTTATTTGGCATCATACAAATGTTAGTTAATTAGTGGCATGGTTTTGTAATGTATAATGAGGCAAAAGGAAACATGTGATGAATACATTATTGTATTAATGAAGATTCTATGTATGTTTTTCTATTTTTAATATTTTTAAATACAGAGCTTTTGACAACACAGTGAACCAGATGATGATACAAGATTGAAATGTTTCAGGATCAGAGGGTCCACTGTGACTCTCTACCTTGTACGACGGTGAGGTTGAAAAATAGATCATGCCAAGGACTTCCTCTCAGGGTCCAAGAAAGCAGAAGAGATCCTAAACGACATCTAAAGATCCAGTGAATACTTACGAGGAGCATTCTCAGAATACTAGCATTTCTATAATACCAAATCATGTTGGAATTTGATTTGATTTTTATAACCAAGTTAGCTTCATGAATAATACACTTTACATTTTATTGTTGGTAGGTAATTTGTCAGAAAGAGTTACAACATTACAAATTGCAAATTGACCCTACATTCCAGCTTCCAAGTGTATCTAGTGTGTTCGATCCACTGGATATGTGCATTGTATGTATGAGTTATCTAAATTTATGCAGGCATTGCTAAAGTAAGATATGTAATAGTTTGTATAATGAATAAACAAAACAAAAAACGGATAAACCTGAAACTCGTGAAATAATAATATTTAACAATTTTATAAGTGATCCAGATTTGCAACAGTTTCATGCCGCGAAAGAATGTTTTACAAGTGGCACAAGTCACACAACACTTAATTTTTACAATTTTTAAAAGTTTCTTCCCTTATAGTTTACACACCATGCGAGATTCATGTCGCAAAATGTTCTGTTTTACAAAATGCAGTTGAATGTCATCATTAAGCCTAGTCATCGTGCATATTTCCAGATACACTCATCATATTTTTCTTGTTGGTTGCTGTTGTTGATGAGAAAGGCGATCCTTGCTGATTCGCCCTTTTTCCCAACGCTTTTCTTTTTTCCTCCTCTATCCTTTGTTTCTGTTCCTCTTTCAACCCTCCAGTTGCTGCCATTTTGTTTTCTGGTCTTCTTTGATTCAACTGGATCTGCACTAACAGGTGCCATCACACATGGATGCCCTAAATCTGAAACTTTTACATAGGGCTCATGCAGTTGAATCCAGACCCCCTTCCAAACGAGCTAGTGTGGAGCCCTGATTACATGCATGTGTAATAGCCAACATATCGCTCTGATAAGGATGAAGAAATGATTTGACGAAGAATAAATCCTGTACGGGTTAAAGTCTAGCAGAGTCTTAACTCTCCCAAATCTGTCATGTTCTGCAGGTAGCAGCAGAGATTTCCTATTTAAAGGGAAAAAAAGAATGCATAATGGTAAACATAAAATGTTTGATCTCGATATTTGAACAGTTTAGATGTTAGGTTCCATTGAAAATTAAACATTTTATATGCAGCAGTTGGTTTGTTGTAATTGGTTTCTGAACGGTCAGACTTAAAATGGTCATGTGTACGTTTGTCAAAGGGCATCCAACCTTTGTAATAAGTTTATTTGAATTGAAGCAGATAAAGAGTTAAACAGAATGGCAAAAGTTTGGAATAATCTGACCAATAATAACAAATTACGAATTTTTTAAATATGAGATCACTACATCTATGCATATCTCTAATCATCAATTTGGTCATTGGATTGTGACATAGTTGTAGATAACTCTGGGGCACTACTCAAAATATATTATAGAGAATATATTATTACAGGTCCTCTAGAAAGCAAAGTCCTTCTCGAGTCGCACATATTGAAACAAAAATAAAGAACCTGTGGGTTGGAAGAAATGGGAAGGTTGTGCGGCACTACATTGCAGTGACGTTACACAGGCGCGGATCCAGGATTTCTTAGGGGAGGGGGCCCAACTTTTTTTTTTTTTTTGCTCCCGAAAATTTGGAAATTGCGCCGGCCGAAAAGTCGCTCAGTGGGGGGGGGGGGGGGTAAGCGGACATTTTTTGTTTGTTTTTTGGAGTCCCAAATAAAAATCGCAACGACTCAGCCAGCCGAAAAGTCGCTCTCAGTGAGCACATTTTTTTTTTTTTGGTCCTCGAAAATTTTAAAATTTGCACCCCCGCCCCCTTGAGCGCCAAATTTTTAAAATCCATAACTTTCTCATTTTTGTCCGATTTTCAAATTATCAGTCTGCTTTCTTTTAGAGTTGTTTGCTACAATGGTTGGATTTCCCTTTAACGCTGTCATTTACATGTAGTTCGGCTCTTTTTGGTGGTTCATTAAGTATTCCATCACAATAAATTGTCTGTAGTGTTACTGCAGGCCCGAGGGCAAATGACCAAATCGTCCATTTGGAGCCAGAAGGGCTTCGACTCCTATACATCGACACAGAACGCACCCTTTTGGTATATTCTTGGTTTCAAAATAATATTAGGATAAAATGTAGCCATGTCCTAATACATAATCATGTATAGTGCTTTTGTTCTGTATAATTGTGTACATATTGATGTCGTGTATAAATTATATATGTAAAGTTTAAGATATTAAAAATCAACTCAATAATGTAATGATATTGTACATCTGTTCGTATTGTACGCAATTTAAAATAAGGCATGAATGTACCATACACATGTATATCTTTATTTTTCTGAAACTTTGTGAAAAAGATTGACTGTACTAGCATTCATGCAGCCATTCCAAGAAATCATTGCAGTACTGGTATATGTGATGGTCAACATACATTTTTCCAAGATGAATGAATACCTCCCTTCGTCAGATTGACCATTGATCCTATTCCATACAATCTATAACTTACAATATGTATGTACATGTTAAAGAGGAATAAGAAGGGCCTGAAGTGTTAAATGAATGGCAGCGTTAGTATCAATGTGAACATAAATTAACTGACAAGACAGAAAATGGCAGTTGCACAATGACAGATAGGGAGAGAGAAATGTGCGTTTTATGTTTGTGAGGAGAGAGAGGGAAAGAGTGTGGGGGTTGGAGATAGAGAGTTATGTGTGGAGGCCCGAGAGGAAGGGGGGGGGGGGTCGAAGATAGAGAGTTGTGTATTTTGTCAGTGTGTAAATTGTGCCTTCATTCTTGACCACATGTAGAAGAAATTCAATGAAACACTAATCTCACAGAATCGATCTATGCATTCAACTAAAAAAACTTTCAACATCCTTTCGATTCATTATTGACCAATAAACCAACATTACATACATTGACCAATCACCGATATATCTTTCACTGACCGATATATTCATCCACCTCAACAACAAACCAATTCATTCATACATCAATTAACCAATCAACACCTGCTTACTAATTACATGTACATATATTGACAGATTACTAATATCTTTCACCGAACCAATTAATCAATCGACCAACAAAATGAGAGCAAAGACTTGACGGTCAACTTCAGGCAAATTCAATACGGAGCCTTGTCCATCGCGTATTGAAATGTGTGCACATTACAATCATGCATTTACAAAAACCAATCAGAATGGCTTGTAGGATACACAATGGGGTATTGAAATTGCCTGAAGTTGACTGTCGAGTCTGCCGATAATCAAATGACCAACACTTAAAAAGATAAAACTTTGCTGAAATCACACACAAGTAAAAGGAAAGAAAGAAAGGAGGATCTAGGACGATTTCCAGGGAGAAACAAATTTTATTATGATTATGCAGCAGGAACTCTGTTGAAACAACTCTGAAAGAGAAGTCACAAAAAAAGAAAGTGAAATAGAGTTGAACCAGATTGCATCATACATGTACGTCTACTTAACTATCAAAATATGAATACATGTATTTTGAAGCAGAAATGGCTTATTCTGTTGAATCGGCTACATTTGAAGATAAAATGAAGATGCATATACCTGTACGTGTACGTGCATAGAGTTTATCAATTTTTTTGAAGAATCAAGAATTAGTAGAAATACAAGTTTTCTTTTCTTTAATTGTACTTTCTCAAAATTTGGGGTGACAATTTCAATTAACAGCTGATAGTTATTGCAGACCTACTTTGAAACAAAATTTGAACAATTTCTGGATCGAGCATTTCTAGTATTCCCATCTTCTAAACATCACAAATTCAAATTCATCATTCTAAAATGTCATGAAAATTATGTACAGTATTATCCCTTAATGTCAGAGAAGACAAAAGATTGACATTTTAGTGACAAAAATATAAAAATCAAATTTTGTTTGTTTTATTTTGCACTTGAGCATGACCAAAAGTTAATAATAATCAATACTTCAAGAAACTGAGCGGAATATAATTAAATACAGGGGGATAAAGAACTGTTTTCTTAAAGTGATGTTATAGATTTTCTGTATACGGTATGCCAAAATTTAAATTTGAACTCTCTTACATAATTTACAAGTAAGAGGACAATGAACATAATGAGAACTGCATGATGTACGGCAATTGTGCTAATCAATCAAAGTAACTCCTTATTTTCTACATACATACATGTAGCTTCTAATGGACATTAACTGAGTTTCATACACCACAAATGACTTCAAAAGTTAGGAAATTTTTACTTGAAGAAAAATTACTTCACAGCCTTTTGGTTTGTTACACTGATGATGCTCTTTGTTAAAAGTGGTACTCGCAACAATTTAACGACATTGCATAATTCAACAGAATTTGACAGGCATATGCGAAAGTCCCCTTCACAAAGCAAAATAATTAGAGGCAAAATGTATGTCATTCACTGTAGTCCATACCACTCACCCCCCCCCCCCCACATGTATTACCTACGAGGCTTCAACAGAAGAAAAACAGAAAACATGGATACATCATAAGTCGATTGTGGCGATTCCAATTTTAAGATTGATTTACATATGTACAAGATGTATGCGATTTTTGTTGAGGACAATTCCCAAAGCCAGGGTTTGATCCAAATCGACCAATGACCATAAAAACAATTATTCCAAGTTTGATCAAACAAGATAATTGCCTATTCACATATTTCAGAAGAGAAACTATATGGATCTCGTTGTGCAAGTGCTTCATAAAGCCCTAGATATATTGAAATGCTCCTCGGATCATAATAGAAAAATGAACATAATAAGTGCCAGATAAATAACTCCTTTGATACTCGAGTACGAGTTTAAAAATTACTTGCTTGTTCGCATGAAACCTTTTTTTAATGAATTTGTTACAGTTAAAGTAAGCCTTTCTCTCAACAATCTTTGTACAACCAGCTCACTCTCCAGGCCAGGGGAAGAGTTCTGTTGAAGCTTTAAGAGCCCATTACATGTACCTCACCACCACTCCTGGTTATCTTTGTCGACTGTCCTGTATTAAGTGTCTGAAGTACTTACACCCCAGTCTGGATTCCAGCACCCCTCAGCTAGAGATGGAACAGTCCAAGGTGTGCACCAGTAGAGAAGGTTCACCAGAAGCCCCTTTTCTTTTTTTTTAATTACACTGCTCTTTTATTCTTTTAAGCACTTATCTTTTTTCTTATCTCTTTTGCATGTAGCTCTTTTTTTCTTTTCTTTTCACTTCTTCTTTTCCTATTTTTTTTCTTTACTTTTTTTTCTTTTCTTTTTTTCTTATTCTTTTTTTTTTTGATACATTTTTTTTAACCCCTCACAATACTGGAACCTGAAAAAGAAATGAAACATAGTGTTGCTTAATCAAATGTTTATATATTAGAATAAACTACAGAAAATGAGATAAGAAAATGATTATCTTGTATATACATGTACATGTAGCAGCAGTAAATTACTAATGAAGCACAGCTGCTTTTAAATCTACAAATGGAATTGAAATATTGCTAGAACACATGTAGTGTCTTCTAAAAGAAAACCATATACATGTAAAAAGCAAAGCCTAAGAATCCATTTGTTCATGCATGAACAGTAGGTGCCCGAGTGACTTGACATTGAAATTCTTACATTACATCTACTACCTTCACTAAAGAATAATTAGCATGCCCTTTTTTTTCTTTCTCGTGCTGTTCTCTTTTTTTTGCTTCCAGGTCTTCAGTATGGAGAATATCGAACAAAACGGCGGTTCCTGCAAAAAGGCATAAACAAAATTCATATTACAAACAAGATATTGTGAAAGTCATACTCACACGTTATATATCAACTAAATCATGTTTCTTCAAGAAAATTCTTGTGGCTCTCAGAGATGATGAAGTCATCAAATGCTCGGGGATTCTCGTATCTAGAAGTAACACTCTGGCTGGCCAAGTACACATAGCTTTTCTCAAGGTCGTTGCAGTGTGTCAACTCCTCTCTGTTTACACCTCATTTTACCTCCAATTTCATACATTTAACTGTCAAAATGCTCCTTTTTTAAAAACCCAAATAACACTACAAAGTCACTGAAAAGAAAGACCACATGGTTCCTCAGACATATTTTCAAGTGAATTCTCATTGGTAAAACTTCAAATGTATTCTTTCTTCAAAACCAGCTGAAATAATCCCAAATAAAGATAGTCATTTGAACATCAACATACATCGTACATATGTATTGTATTTCAGTCATACATCATTGTACATCATACATCCAGTTCTAACATTTAAATCACATGCCTTGCTAATACATTAACCAATAAACCTCATTACTCTCAGTTGAGCGATTGTATTTCTCATCCATTGAGAGCCAGAAGGGCATTAACACAGGTGAACACCCTCCTGGCTTTCATTAGTTGACATCTCTTTACATGTCTGATATATAAAATTTGTCCAAAGTTGAGCTAAAGAACCTAGTGCAGAGTATCTCTCTCTCTTGAAACCTAATATTTTGTTTACCAACAAATCCAAGATATGTTTCCATTATTTCACAATGATCAATGGTGCCATGAATAGAGGATTATTGTTTTTAATTGGAGTCGCATAAGGATATTAGAATCATAGCAATCTTTAGTGATTTCATCAAACAACTTCACCAAGTCAAGAATGAAAATAACTTGATGGATATCAGTATTATATTTCTCCAAGAGCTGAAATACAGAAATACATGTACTTCATCACATTAACGGTATGAGGACTTTGCAGCCATTGACAATACATGGCGGTAGAGACCTTTTGCAGAAAGCTAAAGACTTTACTCTTACTTGTGTGTACAATATAATAATGTGATCTGTCGATATACCTTCATACAACACTGTTAATCAATAGCTGAAATATTAGCTGCATATCAAAGCACTGTACTCCATACTCACAGTGTGATTATAAATAGTGACAAGACAAAAAAATATTATTGAAGAATCAACATGTATCCTTTAAAAACTGTGATATATAAATGTTTATTGTGACTACTTTTAACCTTCAAACAACATGCAGACATTGTCATGGCTTTTGGTATTAAAGCCATCCATGGTAATTCAATTCAATCACATCTATTTGTTAAGACATCTGTCCTGCATCATTAATTCATACTACCTTTAATAATTTCTCTCAAAAGAATCCTGTTTAGTACAATATATTTTATTTCACCGATTTCAGTTTCTTGCACATTACACAAAACTACATCGCTGTTTTTGTAATCCTGTTCTGTCTTATCAAGATATATAAAATAAATGCCTTTAAGTGTTTATTTCACAGCAACATAACGTGCTATTTATTTATTCTTCTCCAAGATTGTGATAGGAAGACCAAAAAAGGCTAATGATGTATACTATTTACATTTTCTTGGCTAGTAACGATGATAAAACAAACATACCAATAATGCTCAACAACCTTATTGCATATAAATAAATTATTAATGCCACTTGCAAGGAATTCTTAAGGATTGAATTAAACTGCCATTGAGTTGGAGCCAAATTTCATTTATCGAGCCGAGGTGGAAAATAATACTTATATACCCCAACAGTGTTATCTCAATGTGAAATACATGCATGTCAAAACATCTGCTATAAATGTTAACATCCGAGTTTTAAAAATTAAATAGAGTAAATAAGTGAAGGCAGTGAGTATAACAATTGTGTAATCAGGATCGGCTTCTTGTATGAGTACCCCAAATTCCTTTTATCGAACCGAGGTGGAAAATAATACTTATATACAACAGTGGTATCTCAATGTGAAATACATGTATGTCAAAACATCTGCTATAAATGTTAACATCCAAGTTTTAAAAATTGAATAGATTAACTTAGTGAAGGCAGTGAGTATAACAATTGTGTGATGAAGATCGGCTTCTTGCATGAGTATCCTGTGGTCAAATCCACTAATACTGCTCACTTCAACATGGGTTTGCATCACAGAAATATATAGGTTAGAGAGAGAATCACATCTCCATCTGTACACTTGTTTGATTATACATGTAACTCCAAAGATTGTACAATAGGTGTATAAGACATGAAAATGTGTTAGTAAGAAAAATATAAATTAAATATAAGTGAGAAGAAACTAAAATATATTTGTTGAATTAAATAATAACAGACTACTTTTAAATGAACAAATCTAATATTTCTACAGACTGCATGAACTAAAATTCACCAACATTTACTCTAAACCATTTCTTATAAATTCTGAAGTATAATTTTGAATAGAGACTTTGTGAAAAAAGAAGAAAATTTATGACAATTTAGGAAAGATAAATTATGAAGTTAGATGAATGCTATGTACAACATTAAATACATTTCTTATTTCTAAAATAATCTCAATAATAAAACAATTGACCTTATTTGCACTTTCCCATGCAACAAAAACAAGGGTGCCTCCAACAAAGTTTTAACAAAAATTCGCAAACTTTTAAAAGTTGTTGCATGTACTGACATGAGAATGAAGGAGAAATTATGTGCATATGTCAACAATTTATCAACCCTTATTTTACTGTAGACAGCAGACACAAAAAAGAATTCCTATGTTTGTTAATCTATTCCTTCTGATCATATATCAAATACATATCTAACCAACAACAAGAAAATAAGTATAATAAAACAACCAACCAACCAAACAAAAGAAATAATTTAAAAATAAACTCGAGGTAGGGAATATTCACAGGTTCACTTTGAAACTAACTTGGGTCATATTTGGAGAAGAAAAATAATTTCTTGTTATTTCATGCTGTTAACACAATTGTACTGAAAGTGTTGCTATATCTTCAATACATTCAACCACCATACAACCTTAAAACAGGCAGTCAATTAGAAAATTCGCCAAAATTCTTCAAAATGGCAAGACCAATACTTAATGACCAGCATTCAAATACAGAAAACCTGTATGCCTAAACTCGTGAGAGAGGAACGTTGATACATGTTATCGAAGCACAAAACTCCTGTAATATCTGTCAGCCTTTTAATAATGCCAATGAAAATGGAAAAAATTGCAGTACCGTTCATAATTTTGTTAATCAATGCCGTGAATTTTCTTTTCATGATGTACAACATATACCTTCTATTGTAAATTTATACCCTAAAAATGCGAGACTTTTCAGCAAATCAACAGAGGACATATTTGTCCTTATCGTTTGCACATTACTCATAGAATGAACTAAATAAAAGTGAATGTCTGCAATAAATGGATTTCATGTACATATACTTAAAATAAAGCATACGACTAGTAATCGTCACTAGAGAGAAAGCGCTTCTGATGTTTAGGCACAACACAAAATGATCGTGGACAGAGGCAGTAACAAGGGCCACATCTAACCATGAATCGTGAAATGTTCATAAGAAGAATGGCCACGAAATGTTTCAAACAATCTAACTGGTGATTTAAATACACAACCAACCAACCTGGCACGATATTGAAGGATGTTTTTTCCCCAGAGTAATGCCTTTTTGACTTTCAACAATGTTGAACATATAATTTGTTCTACTCAAAGCTGAACATTTTATATCGATGACAACAGTGCAAAGTTGAATTTTGTAAATGCCATGGTAAGTTTACTTTCAGCGCTTCTGAATATCTGATACTTTTCTTATTCTCATCATTAACTTGAAAAATAGATTGAACATAAAATCCTTCGGGGGAAAATGACTATATTCCAGAATCTTTCAACAGTCAAACAGACACAGACTGTGTATGTTAACTATTCATGCACATCGTGTCTCGTATCTACCAGCTTGGTTTCTCTATTATAGACTGAACAAGCCCTTTTTAAGGGATCATGGCAGGTAAACGTTAGTATACATGTACATAATAATTAATTAATGCCTCAATAATTCAACGATACAATTTTCATCCTATTTACACACCTCCTTGCTCGTGACAAATCTATGCATTGGCAGTCAAATTGAATAGCATTTGAGAAAATGAATGGTAATTCATGCAACACTAATGCACACTATTCTCTTCATTCAATGCTAAACCATTACGATTCATGAATATAGTATGGCAGCTAAGCTACACTTATGAAAGTCCTGAAAGGCCAACAAAAGTTAAGTTTTTGTCCATCATTAAGTATTAGATTTCGTGTCAGGATATGACAAACTCACAAAAAAAAGAGTTTACTATCATATCATTATAGCTCCTTTTCAATGGATATTTCATATCAATTCAAATTTCTTTGCTGATAAATAATTTTAGTGCTGGGAGTAAGAGAGAAAAGCCTGGACCGGAATCCGACCAGAAATTCACAATATTCTTTCCGGTACCCGGAACCGGCCTGGAACTTGGAAAAACAGGAATATCTGATAGGTTTTTATACCATTATATGCGCTGTCAAGGCCATTCCTACTGCGGCGTAAGAAGCAGAAGTGTGTCTTAAACAAGAATCTATCGTCTATTTCACATGCGTTGAAATTATTCAAGACGGCAAATTCATTATACAGGTAAGTTTTGGAACTGGACCGGAAGCCCGAACCAGGCCTAGGATTTCCAGGACCTGGCCTGGTCTGACTCCCATCACTAATATTTTTCCTTACACTTTTTCACACAAAAGATTGATTTAATACCCCATGGTATTTGGCAAAGTAGAAATTGAAAGAAACAACTTATGTGGCACTGAGTGCATATTTTGCTAAGTACGTAAATCGCTTTCGCTGACCTCTCTAAATAGAATGCAATTTAATTATGATCAGAGATGCATGTTGTAACAGAACAAAGCATTCTATTACTGATATATCATTTTTTTTCTTTGCTAGGGAAGTAGTAAAATCCCCTTGTTAAATGACATGCCCTGTAGGTTCATACAATACACATCATTGTTGACATTATCTGCTCTGTTCCTATTTTAAATCCGTTTTATGGCAATCATTTGCATACAAGACACTGGGGTAGCATCAATATGATGATTTAAGTTTAACCCGACTGCTAAGAAAGCAATGATTGTACATGTAGATAAATGACCAAGAGGACCTATGATTTGAGTACTATCTGGAGGGGTTAGTAATTAAGGAGTGGTACCTTACTACGGGGCACCAGGGCACATCGACTTGGCTTGAAACCTGTGACCTCCAAAGTTGTGAGGCCACAACTCGACGACAAAGCTATTACATGTCTCCTTTCAAAAGGAAACATTGTATAAGATGTTTGGCGTTTCTTAAAAAGAAGCAGAAAACTAATGCGGTTCATTATGGGGTATCTTTGCGGACGGTCCCTCAAAACTTACCAAAATGTCATATTTTGAGGGGAAAAATATGACAAACTAATTGGTAACTTCATGAATAATAATTGTGGAAGATCCCTAACTAATTTCATAGGGGCATGTATTAGTTAAGAATTAACTGTTGACTCTCCTAGATAGTGACCTTGTTATCTATAATACTACTTAAAAATGTAAAATCGATACATTGTAGTTCTAACATGACACAAAAATAAATGCATCTCTGTCCCACCCAGTACTGCCACACACAACACAAGATGTGTGTGGTCAAGAGGTAGCTGGTTTAGCGACCCACCTAAATCTGGGCCTCGCCCTGTAGAATCCACCACCACCACCACCACCGCCGCCGCCGTATCCTCCGCCGCCTCCTCCTCCTCCGAATGGTGACTGGCCATAGCGCCCTCTACCTCTACCCCGCATGCCACTGTACCCCCCACGGGGAGGACGATCCGTGGTGCTGATGCCGGGACGGTTCGTTCGCTTTGCATTAACCTGTCAATCAAATTGCATTGATAACAGGTAAAGGACTATGGTTGAGCTACATAATTATTGTCTGCAGTATAAGGCTGTGCACAACAGTGTAATGAGGTACCCGAGTACACTCTCAGGCTTACAAGCGAATACTCGAATATTCGGACGCCATGTTTTTGAATTTTTTTGAATTTTTTTGCCACCACCATACCACTGCAGCAGTATCCCAGGTCAGCGCTGAAAACGCATGCAATTTTACTTCGAGTTGCAGTTGAAAGCGCCGATTTAATAATAATAATAACAGTAAACAATGCTGTTTTAGAAACCAAAGATGGCAGATTAATCCATTTTCCTCAGAGTCCAAACAGAAATCCGGACATTTGGTCCCAGTTTCTGAGTGGTGAGTTTGACAGTGCTTGAGTTGGGAAACATTTTTACCGACGGTACCATGCCAGCGGCCGCCGCTCTCCCTGGCACGGGTAAACGGGTAAGCGTCGGCCTGGACAGTGCCAGGTGACCGATTTTTTTTTTTTTGCGGCCGAATATTCCAGTACGAGAAATCGTACTGGAGTAGTTGTCAACAGTGCGGGTACTCAAGCATTCGACTACTCGTCGCAGCCCTACTGCAGTATATACAAAATGCAGAGCAAAGCAGCTTTGAAAATACTTTCATACATATCAACGATCAACGTTTCAAGGGTAGAACAAAATCTTCATGGCAACCATACAAAATCTTTTGGAAAATTATGAACAGCACAAAACTTCACGTCAATTATTTCCAAATAATTTGTCTTTTAAACGGTACCTCAGCCAAGCCGCGAGACTGACTCCTACCAACTGATTTTTGGCATTCAGTATACTGTAACTTTTTGTTCGGTCTAATGACGGTCTCCTTGGTGTGATTGAGGACTCAGACACCACAAAACTTTACAGAAATTGGATTTTTTGTTATGCATAAAATTACCAAGACAACATGAGGTACACTTACCCTAATCTGTCTTCCTTTAAAGAGTGATAAATTCAGGGTACAAGCTGTATCAATTGAGTCCTTTTCTACAAACTCTACATAGGCATATCTAGAAGAGAATTAAAAACATGGGTAAATAATAAATATACGTACAAATAACAAGCAGTATACCAATACAAAATCTGGGCAGTATCCCTCAGAAATATACATGTATTACAAGAATCTAGTAAACTTAACTTAAATGGGGAAGGGGTGGGAAGGGTGTTGGGAATCATTCCCTCCATAAATTTGCCGTGATATATCAGTCAAACATTCTATTGCTTGTCACTCTCTCATTCTCAATGCTGACTTCTGTTATATCATTTACGTTTATTATTGTTTGTCATTGTTTATATTATGTGAAAAGAAATGAAAAACAATTCGCTCTGTATAGAGCTACTACTACCACTACAGCTAAAAATTTGCTAATATGTATTACCCGGCCTGCAGTTCCATATCTGAAAGTTTTTATATCTTCCTTGGACTACCATTTTCATGACACATTTCAGTCTGTGGTAGATCCATCCAAATAAAGTTAGTTAACAATGATATTCCTACAACTTCTCTGAATTAATTTTTCATTCCTCAATTACAAAACTGAAAAAAAGTGACAAATGTGACCCAAATTAAAAAATCAAGCCCTTTTGGAGGGCAAACATGCTCTTAATATATCTACCCTTTAGGATGACCAGTAAACTTATCACAAAGGATGGTGACTCTGTTTATTGGTCCACAGCCGTGAAAGTGACTCTCTAATTCCTCTGCAGTTGCTGAATAATCCACCTGCAAGTTTGAGAGCAAAAGAGAGATATCCAAGTTGAAAATTAAGTATGACACCACGAAGCAGTCTCTATGTGTCTTATGTAATATGTAATATATATATATATATATATATATATATATATATATATATATATATATATACAGTTAACTCTGCATAAGTCCAATCTTTTAGGACTGCAAAAACTAGTTCCGACTTAGCGAATTTGACTTAGCGAGTGTAATTAATTATGAATAATAATACGTAAAATATATGTTCAGTCCTTAAATTATATTTTTCAATTCCAAATGCTTCCAAACACAAGAACTATAAGTCCAATTGTACATAGACCCTGGTAAATAGATCATACTTTACTCTTCACATTCAATATGATATCTATGTCATATGAAAAATACAAGAACGATAAAAATGCCTCACAAAAAATATGGATAAATAAAATTTTATAATTTCTACATCTGCACACATTTGTTTGTCAATGACTTTTAACTTGGCATTAAAACAAAACATTACAGAAGCTATCCCATCAATTGAAAATCAAAACGGTTCATTCAATAATTTTTCTTTTAATACAATGCAGCTTGATTTGCACCAAACCAGAGTTACATATCAAAAGCTAGCAATCAATATCTGCTGCAAGCTAGCTGAAAGGTTTGGTTACTCCAGGGATGATAGTGAGCACTTTTTTTCCCCCTCAACAACACCCCCCTTGAGTAAAAATAATTGCGTCAAACAACATTCCCCCCAACCAAAAAATTACTTTTTTTTTTACGAGGGCTCTTTTCAGATTTTCCCTTAAAAAAATAGCCCCCCTTAATTATTTTACGGTGGCTATTTTGGAGCTCAGGGGGGCTTTTTTTTTTAAAGGTTGTATTTTTTTTAAACGCGGTTTTACCTAATTCAATTCCAAGCAAAGGCAAATATAGATACAATTGTAGTGTACATATGTCATGTAGAGTATTGCAGACATTCAGATACCCATGATTTATTCACTTTGTGTTAAACGTGTGGCTTCATGATTTACATATACATGTAACTAAAACTTGTCAAAAGGAGTGTTTTGTTTAACTGTTCGTTTTTCATATCTTAAGAAAATATTATCACTGACACGCGGGCTAGGAATTAATTTTTTTATGGGGGCTACTTTTCCCCATTGCCTAAAAAAAACCAAGGGGCTACTTCCTTAAAGCCATATTGTAAGCTGTAACAATAAGTTGTGTTTTTCCTTAGCCATCATACTACTAGCAACCAAATTGGTAGGTAATATGTTATTTAGTCTTTTTTTCTGTCCCAAATTTAATTGTTATCATGGACAATGCAATCCCATTAAAAAAAAATGTAGACCAACTCCCTTTAAAATTGTGTTATTTAGACCATTTATAACCATTAAATGTGAGTAAATATTTTTACTGTTGTCCCACATACCGATGTAGGGTCTATTTGTTATGCCGAAACATGCAAAATCATGGCCTTATTTTTTTTTTTATAGACTCTAATTCTAAAGGCCAAGCCAAAGCTAGTTTCATTTCGTAGACAGAAATTGATGTCATCATCACTCATGACAATTGGCCTGGCATCGATCGTATATAAATAATTTAATTTAATTAAACAGTTGTAAGAAAGATTCTGAGGAGTAGGAACATCCTTTATATATTTATTAACGGTTTTTTTATAACAAAATTCAATTTCTGTGTACGAAACTTGCTTTATACCGATTTTACAGGAAAAAATCCGGCATTGATTTTGCACGTTTCGTTATTACAAATATATCAGTATGTGGGACAACAGTAAAAATATACTCGCATTTAATGGTTTTAACTTATAAATAACACAATTTTAGACGGAATAACATTTTTTTTAATGGGATTGCATTGTCCATGATAAAAATTAGGGCCAGAAAAAAGACTAAATAAACATATTACGTACCAATTTGGTCGCTAGCAGTTGAGCTCTCGTCACTCGCAAATACTTATTTGCTTCATACAAGGAGCGTGCGGGCGCGCGCTGGAGCTGAGCTAGTACGTTTCTGTGTATTGTGAACGTGTGCGAACTGCGTATGCATTCATGCTGTGCACGAAACCACATCGGGGCCGGTGGCCTGTCCGGCCGCCGGGAGCTTAGGCGCAGGCAGGCGGATACCGCTGTAGATCTAGCTACAGTAGGTACGACCGCCAATCCGCTGCAACTCACAAAACTTTTAAAATGTTGATGGAAGTTTCTAGTTTTGGAGTCGGTAGTTGGAACGGAGATTTCACTCAGACACATCAATAAATTGGTTTATTAATTCATAGGGAATATCAATTTATGGCGGGGGCGATTTTTCAAGATATATTGATTTTTTTTCGCCCTCGTCTTGATTTTTACCGTGGCGATTTCAGAGGTTTAGGGGGCGAATCGCCCGTCGCCACCGTGTATTTTTTTCGTTGATTCCCCCCTTTTGAGTAAGACAATTTGGAAAAAATAGGGAAAGATAGGGAAGATTAGAGAAAATAAGGGAAAAATCGGGGATAAAATAAAAATCAAAAAAAAATCAGGTAATTATCAGGCCTGTTACTCTTACATTTCCAACGTAGACAGATCGTGCATCGACCTCTCCTTTCTCTTCCAGTGAGAGATGTGGAGCGGCCTGGGCAGGGGGAGGGGAGCTAAGGTTCATCTGTTTATCCACTTCATTCTGCATCTCCTTCAGCTTCTCTGCCTCCTCCTCCATCTCACGGACGCGGGCTTTGATGGCTTCTAGTTCCTGGGTGATGAATTAGAGGAGAGTAATCATCATGAGTTTAAAAGCCTTTTGTTTTGTTTTGGTGTAATGTTATAAATAAGTTGCTATTAAAGAACAACCACCCCCCCCCCCCACCCCCCCAAGGAAGAAAACACAATACAAAGGAAAATTCCAGTTGATTATAAAGAACCATCAACCTAATGAAATGTGCAATGTAGATATACTTTATGGAAAAATTCTGTCCAAGTGGATATGACTGCCTACAGAACATAATAGAAGAAGACAATTTAGAAAAAAGACAAGTTAGACAAAATACAAGTTAGAAAATAGGCAAACTGTGAATATTTCTAAAATGAAACTAAAATGTTTTATTACACCCCAGCTTATACATCTAGAAATGAATAAAGTGTTCCTTCAATAGAAGAAGCCTACCGCATCTTCAATTCCAGCGTTCTCTTCCGTTGGTTCCAAGTTCATGGATACATTCTCTGTGGGTGATAGAAGGGAATCGTCTCCTTCGCTCACATCAGGCAGATACGTGCCATAGTCTGCTATCGTCTCTAATTCGGCCATGATGAAGGACCTTCAGCAATCTGCAGAGAAAATAAAGATCAAATTCATTTTGGCCAGGGAAAAAATTTTGGGGGCTACTTTTCAAGCTTGCTTGCATGAGAGTAACACTCTTCAATTTGTTTTACATTGAACTCTATGCACAGTTTTGGGGGCTTTTGGTGAATTTTGGGGGCTCTTTTGGGCATTAAGGGCCTTTAGGGGGCTAATTTGCCCTGAGCCCCCATTCTCCCCCCCCCCCCCCTGATTTGGGCTATGTCAATAGTGGAGCACATCTGGCATGGAGTCTCCTTCCAATTTGAGGGACGTTCCCCATAACACAAACTCCCCCCCCAAAAAAAAAAGAAGAAGAAGAAGGGATTGGCGCCTTTTTTGGCCTATTGTTATTGGGGAAACTTCAAACTGGTGCACTCAGCACTCTTCCACATTTTCATTTATTAAGTTACATTAAGAATGGCCGGCTAAAGGATGATAAAATAAAAAAATCCTTAACAGGCTTACTCTGAAGAATGTCAGGAATAATATAAGATTAAGCAAAATAGAGGAATCGGAGAGAGATTTTTTGTTCAATGCCAGCGACATAATAATAATAATAATAAAAACGTTACTTATAAAGCGCTTACCACCGAAGTCTCTAAGCGCTAACATAGTGACGTTCCAAATTTTGAACAAAAAATGAACACCCGAAAATTTTGGGAAAATGGGCCTTTATTTCCAGAAAAATCTGCCAAAATGACCCTTAAAAATTGGTAGGGGATAAAATATGTATGCTGAAATCCACAGAAAAGGCACAATATCCAATGTTTACAACTGCTGCGGCCTGTGGGCGCACTGCATCATTTGTTTACCTGCCTCTCCGCACGCGTCTATGGCAGCCGGTAAGGCTTGTCAATATCATTAAAATATTGCATCTCAGATTTAACATTGTTAAACGATGCCTTTAACAGTGATTAAGTCATAACACAAATTAAAAGGTCACACAATTATAAACAACATGCAGAAGAAATTTAAAAAACAGACAAAAAAAAAATTGTTTCATTTGATTTCTTCTTGGAACTTCAGTTCAACTAGACTCTAGTTCTTGTTCATCTTTCTATCATTCATCGATCACAAATACTTCAAAATCGTCTCAATGTTGCCTTAAACAATTTCACATTCACACTTTAATGTTCATCGTTATTAATGGTATTGGTAGACTGCTAAAAATATAACATTTTGTAAGATGAGGTGGGACTGAAGGACGACAAAAGATCAGCCATACAGCTGTCGGAAAACACATCCCGACAAACTACTATAAAGCCACATTCCTAAGCATAAATATCACCAAAATCTGATTTCCTTTCATTCATTTAAACAAAAAAGTTTTTTTTCTAACATACCTGATATTTTACACACTACGTTGTTGTCTATGACCCAAAATACATCTGGTAATTTTGGGGATCTTTTCACAGCTTGAGTCACAAAAGCCACGCGTGAAAAAACACTTCGAACTATATAAATCTGTCCGCAGATGGCGGCAAATCAACTATTTTATATCCAAGAATGTAAGCAATGTACAAATATAAAGCTTTATAAAGCAGACCTATATGAAAGGGTAAAATGTTTTCGCTAGTAATTTTTAAATTTTGAATAGAGGAAAACATGTGGATAGCACAAAAAAGGTTAACATGAGAGCAGAAAGAGAAAATAATTGAATGAAAAAAGCAAAGAGATGAAAGATGAAAGAGTGAGATTTAGTTTAAAGGGCCACTCTAACCCACTAACATAGCCTTTCAAAACATGAATACACCTCTACTTATATTCCAGCCTTTGATTTTTCAGAAAATTTCTAAATTGACCAAAAAATAATAATAACGTTCCATTTTTCACAGATCTCACAGATCTTGCTGGGCTACGCCCCTCAAAAAAAGGTAATAGATCACGTGGCTTAATGACGCATTTGACGCCATTGCGAACATGTCCGATTTGTCCTACAACTACGGATCTTACAATCTCGTTGTAATTCATAAATGAAACATACTGGGATTATCAAGTGCATATTATCTTTCAGATAAAAGTCTTTTTTTTCCAATTAATATCTTAGTTTGTCTTTTTATAAAGACATTTAAATGCCTAAATCACCCGCCTTTTCACCGAGAAATTTCCTGCAGTGACGTCATATGCTATTGCGTAATACAGCTCTGAAACTGGGCTTTCTTCTGAGCGTTCTGAGTTGCCATTTTTAAAGCTAGATTCCAAAATTATTTATGATTTCTAAGAAAAATCATTGTCATGTTCGGAATCTCTGTCAAAAATTAATCTGCGTCTTTATTTAATTTTTTAGCCCGTTTTGGTTAGAGTGGCCCTTTAACCTTTTTTTTTCTGAGACAAAAATTATTGTAAAAACAATTTTCAGCACATTCGTAAGAGCAAATATCCATTGAAATTAATAATTTTAGATAATCTTTTTAATAAATACCAATGCATTAGCCAAAACGACATGCCGTCAATACTTTGTTGAATTACACATGCATATCTGCTATATACTTTTGTTGTTGTTGTTGCAGAATTTCGAAGATTGGGGGCATTTGACAAAGAATATTTGGGAGAGAGTACAGAATTAAGAAATATCACTTTCTTCAAACCACCATTTCACAATATCCGAATATAAATATTGTTTGCAAGTCCTTTAGCAGTTTAAAAAAAATTGGGTAAATTGTTATGATAGACTATGACTTTCTACAATCCATCAGATTCCGGGCAACAATAACAAAAAGATGATGAGAATGGTTGTTAAACCAAAATGAAAATATATTCAATCAATCAAAGAAAACTTTTTAGAAGGCAGTACATGTGCTAATGGTACATTATGGGAAGAAACTCCCAAACTGGAACAAAAATATGCTGTTGTGTCTTTTGGTTGCGCATTCCCATAAACCTGTATTAACTCCAAAATGTACGATACTTTTAACACAAAAGAGAATTTCATTTCAAAATGAAAAAGCTGGTTAAACAGTAGTCTAAACAATTGGACACAAATACATTCATTTTCATTTTTCAAGCATTTTTTAATTTCATTATTGACACAACACTGTGTTCATTCACTCAACTTCTCAACCCTTTGGAAGAACTGTGTACAAAGTGAAGGATATACAAGAAGAGAGCTGACAAACGTTGTATTGACAAGGAAAAAATGTACAACAAACATTATCTATCAAGACAATTGATAGAAAAAATAATAGGTTCGAGACAGGACACATCAAACATAAAAATATAGATCCTACAACAGTTGTAACAAAAAAAAAATTGTTTGAGGTACCGGTAAATATTCTGACAAACAAAACACGATGCTATTTTCCTGGGTTTGTTGAGCATAATTAAGCCATACAAACTCCATCTATTACTTCAAATAATTAGGATGGTTACATTTAAAATGTTACACTCTGTTCTCTTTAGAAATATTATTTGGTTTTAAATGATTACTGGTCAATGGTTTTGGATTAATGAGGTAGTTCCGAAGTGAAGTAAAGATGCAATAGCTGGATGCAAGGATGTTGGTTTTGGCTTTGACCTAAATAGAAAATGGCTAAACTTGGAATCTTAGGAATAATCTAATGTAAGGGTGGTGTTTACAATAACAAGGATTTTCTTAAGTGGATTGGAGCATGAACCTACTTAGTTGGAGTTGGGGAATTCCCCCGTCGGATTCCCCCAAGCATGTGGGTTTCTCATTAGCCTTACATGCATTTATGTATGTGGAGCCTGAAAGGCATTTCAAACTCATATCCTCTAATACAGAGTTAACATCCTTCTGGCTCAGAACAGATATATTGTTTCTTTCAAATGTAGACAAAATATCAATAATAACCACAGCAAAACAAGGTTTAACATTTTTTAGACCCTTCTTATGAAGTGCCACTTGTAAATTGTCTGTTCAGAGACAGAAGGACGTTAACTCTGTATTACATGATATGAGTGAATGCCCTTCTGGCTTTCAACAGACAAAATGACAGTTCCATTTAACAATCTGTGTTATTGCTTCGACATTGGTAGCATGCAAAGAATGGAGAAAATTATACAGAGCAAATTAAACCGAGAGGATGAATAAGTAAATAAAAATAATATGAATATGCATCAGTATCACACCGTGTGGTAAGAGTAATGACAAGTGTTTTCCATAACATTTGACAGACAAAAAACAGCTTGTGTCCATCAAGATGAATCAAGTGCTCTATGAATTTCAATACTTTTTCTCTCCTATGAGTCATAAGAGCATACAAAGTAACAATATCCCTTTTTTCCATTTTGTGTAAGAAATAGTTTCCTGAATATCACAATTATTTGCCCCCTTCCCCCCCCCCCCCCCCCCAACTCACTCAACTAAACACTGGCTATAAAACTATCAAATGTTGCTGCTCTTTATGAATAGTCAACACAGGGTAGATATTGAATAAAAAGAAATGTTAAAACATTCATTGAGCGGCTGATCATTTAACAGAATGCTCTTAAAAATTTAAAGATAAGTGTCGACAATCTGCTGATAACTGAAATGGGTGACTGAATTAAACAACAACAAACTTAGAATACATTCCACAGCCTTTAAAATGGCATGTTCCAAGGCATTCTTTCCAATATAGTTCCCTATGAAGTTTTATTTATCAATTTTATTTAATTGTAAATTCTATGATCAAAATATAATGTGCTTAATGACATTTCTATTTAATTACTTGAAGCCCTTAATAACTCACTTATTTCATCTTAGTGAACTTCATGGAATCAAATATTAGATAAAAACTACAGTTTTGCCCAACCAGTCAGGTGAAGGGACACAAAGCAATTCTCTGAAATGTGCCCTTTACCATAAGAAATGGAAAACCCCTTCCTATGAACGATGCGGTGGTTCTTATAAGTATCATTACCAATAGCAAATACTCATATTAAAGGCAGGGTATTTTTACCAATGTAGTTTTACCAGCGCTGCAATGTATTTTTGATTTCGCCATCATTTTGGTGAAGGCGTACATAGAGAGATCTCCGGTTCCTGTACCCAAGAAACATCGTACCTGCGTCACGCAGTTGGTGATGCATGGTGGGACATGGGTGTTGACATATCAGGACCATTTTGTGAGCAGCAGATGGCAGTATATGTACAATCTGAAGTAAAGTCAGTAGAACACCCTGCCTTAAAGAGATTTGTCATTTATGGATGAAAGAAATGGCTAAATAAACATTACACCTCAGGGCACATTCAACTGCCCAAAAGTTGTTTAAAATTTGAGGATCTATGCAAAAGTTGATAAACAAATGCTCTCACATCAAAACAAATACACGTAGGAAAGAGAAAAACGGAGAAGCGGAATCATAATTCTACGTAGAATTTCATATATACATGTATTTTCATATTAGGGTTTTTATACAAATGTTAACAGGGTAATAAATATATTTTCCAAAAATTGATGGGCAAGTCTTCCTTTGATGAGAAGCAGGGTTCAATTTCTACAAGACACAACATACATTATGAATTAAATAGAGCATAGGTATTAGTAGTGATAAGATCTTATTCTGACTGGAGTCTAACATAAGTGGCATCAACAAAATGGCTAGGACTACGGGGAGAGAGAGTGAGCAAATTCGCGAGAACCATTGAGAAATTACTAAAACATGTAGAACCATTCATCCAACTAACTTCAAAGACCATGCATTACTTTAACTTTATTCCTACCATTAACAACTGCTTCTATTTTGTTAACTTTAATTCACTTTACATATAAAACTCATGTGAAGCAACAAGGCAACAGCATTGTCATACAAAGTCTGGAAGATGGTACGGTTGTTGTCAAATACAAAGGGAGAGAGCAGCTTCATGGGACCTTAAGAATATTTATCCAACGGAGGACTCTTTGCATGCACTTTACTTTTCACAATTCCTATTTACAACTTCAAAACATTGCAGTGCATGCTATCAAGTACTGAGTGTAGGTTATTTCTGAATCCTGCTTAAGCAAAAACATATTCATGTATTTATTCAATTTTTGTCTCATTTCTTCTTTGAATAATGATGTTCATTATTTTACAGCATTTCAAAATCAACATTGTAAATTGAGGAAAGGATAAAATCACTCTCGCATCGGGCTTAACAACAAACATGAACTACTCTTTCATCAGCTTCGTTTTCTTAATTTTACAGATGAATACAATGGCATAAACAGGGTAAAGTGGGAACAAAGACTCAACTGCTCCTCATTCAGCCTTGTATTGCTACCTTCATAATAGAATTGATGACAATTCTTTTTGTAAAACTTACAAAATATTTGGTTTCTATTCCTTAATCATTGATTCTTTCAGCACCTAAAACTATTGGTGCAGTAAACCAAAGAGCCAGAGAGCCTATATACTGAGGCAACTTGCTGCTTTGGAATTTGTGAATTTGTGAAATGTTTTACAATATTCTGGATGGAGAATAGCTATAAAATGAGAGCTAAACATTTTTGAAAATCCCCAGTAATTTCTGATTAAATATTTTCCATTTCTGAGGGCAGTTGCAAATCTAGATGCCTTTACCAAATGTGCTTCGGAGCAACAAGCATGAACACACAAGAATCATGCTATGGGGTAACATTAATTGTTCGCTCATTGTAACAGATACAATGGCTAAAAAACAGCCTAATTTTTTAGTCTACTTCATCGATTGGGAGTACTGGAATACCGAGGTATAGCCTTATGCAGCAATGCTATAGCATGCAGAGAAGGCATCGTTCACTTTCCAATTGGATAAATCTTATTCAATGGACAGACTTAATACAAAATTAAGAAAATATCATTAATGTGAACACAATTATCTTTCACTGCTATCATAGAAAGAATGCGAAAACAATGGATTTTTAATATTCATAATATTTTCCTATCAGTTCATGGCAATGATTATTCATAAAATCATAAAAATATTTTTAAAAACCTCTTGTCACGTAGCTCATTGTTAAATTAAATACAGTAATAAAACAAATCAAAAATGAAAACAGAAGGAGGTATATTTAAATCATATATATATATATATATAGATATATTATATGGCTTGTAGCTCCACAGTTCATTGAAAACAGTTCAATCTACGTCATAAATTTCAGAACAAGGATTTGCAACGTTGCCTGTGATTACATAACCCAAAGTTTGATAAAGAATCACATTATCAATGAATAATACAAAACAAGAAAATGAAACAATACAAAAAAATCAAATTCATTCATTTCATTTGTTCTTCAAAAAAGGCCACTACTAGTATAAAAAAATGAACATATAGAAAAATTTACAAGGAATGATTTCTTTGCTGGAGCTTTCCCTATAATTGGGAAAAGAGATCAAAGAGGTCTGCAGCACCTTCACTGTCATCAAGATTGAAGTAATAGTCTTGATCGTTAGGCGCAGGTGATAATCGCAATAAGGGATACGCTGTGGAGATAAAAAGAAAGTAACAGCATCTTGGTTAAATGCATTACCATTAGTTCATTACATGTACACGCATATTAAGTCTCTCAATCTCCATTTTGTAGGAGCGTGCAGATCACCCATCTGACAAATATAGTATGGTCTGTTTCAAGTATTTTGACATGGCATCTACTATCTTGACAACTACCTGTAGATGTAGTGATATTTCAATCACAGAAATTGAAGCTAACTGCTTTAATAATGCCTACAGAGGAGCTAAGGACGAAATGCTACAATTATTACACAAACGCAATACTGTGTAGTTAGATTTAGAAGGGAAGATATGTTGAAGAGTCTTGTACTACCATGTTTCAGGATAAAATGTTCTTATTTATATGGGTAATTAACTCCCCTAAACAGTTTCTGGATAACATATTCATATTTATACGGTTAGATAGCTCCCGTAAACAGTTGCCTTTTGCTATAAAATATAGTAATTACTTGAAATCAATAGTAACAAATCTAATAGTCATTCTGACATTCTTTAATATGAATCACAATTAATTGTTACTAATTTCATAGGTGTACATCTGCTTGGCATATGTAATACTACAAGGCCCAGATATAATTTTTGTTTGCATTTGATTAAAAATTTACCATAAAGACTAATAATCATATGGTGTTCATATGTTAACATGAATCATTTCCATTTGAAAAAAATAACCAAAGATACAAAATGTGCATTCTACCATTACACATTCATTTCCTGTTACTTTAAAGACCTTAAATTTATCCTTTGACAGAATTCAACAATTACTATAGAACAAGGGCAAATTTTCTTCACCTCTCTACAGACACTAAACCTCAAAAACACTCTTAAGTTACAATGGGTTCTTTGTAGTCATTTCCTATTGGTCCCCACCCAGCCTGGGGGCTTTTCTTTTGAGTTTTAAAGGCGAAGTTCAATACCGGTCATGCTATTGCATTGTGAAGGTATACTCTAGAGGTTTTTAATGGAAAAGGCTGATTACATGTTCATGTAGCTAAACATGCATGGTATAGTTTTGGGATCATTAACATCAGTGATTAAGAATCAACTTAATATTGATGCAAAAACAAGAGTGAAAAGCAATTAATGGGACTATGCATACATTTAGGATTAGGTTTGTCAAGACAGTTTAAACTATTTTTCTTCACATTCAGAATACAAGGACATTATAAAGGGCAATCTTTCTCTTTTGACATCGCTACGAAGCAATGAGGGGGGGGGGGCAGCCCCAAATAAAATTAAAACATGGTTTATTTCTAGTTCGATACCAGGATCTCATCATTACACAGCAATTTACACATGTTGCTGAAATTATGTGATTTTCTGGGGTTTTTTCTCACTTTTTGTTGTGATTATAATTTGTTACATGTTTATTGAAATATCCCAAATTTATAGTCGGGCAAAAAGTTTTTCTCATTATGCCACTGATACAAAGTCTACTATGACCTTCTATATCTGAATAAACAGAATGAGAGAGAAAGCCAAGAAATTACTTTTCACTTTTATAAACCCAACTGTCTCTTTAAGTCTTGTCTTTCCCATAGGACCTCTTGTGGGAGGGTGGATGTATTGATTAGTAAACGTGTGAAGTTCATGAATAAGATCTTTTCTCTCTCAACAAAGACCAGGATTATCTAATCAATGAAGGATTTGTTGTACTTAACACATCAATGCTCACTTCAACATTCCAGCGTTTCACTGATCAGAAACACAGACCTCCTCTGTGATACCATAGTCTGTATAAGTGCATTCCAGACCTCTTCATGCAATATGTTCATTAAAAGTTCCATTCAAACTAAACACCCAAAAATTTTGAGACTCACTCCTTTCTTTATGAATAATTCAATATTTGCAATGTAAACATTGCTCAAAATAAAGCTATATTCTACAGCATTTTAGTAAAGCTACATCTTTTACTGAAACATTTGTACTTGGATAAAACATTAGCAATCACAAAGACAGCCATTCATTAAGTACACAGATTCATAATGAATTGACAAAATTAAGTTGGAACAAGAATTAGAAAGTTTAAAAAATGTACTTTTGACACTTTGTCAGGAATCATTTTTGCCAGTTTTCAATCACTTTTTAAAACATTGCAAGTTTAAAATTGATAGAGCTCAGTAAAAGTGAGAGAGTACATATACTAAACATCCTCAGGCCTCCCGATTCAACAAATCTGTAGCTGAAGCTCTTTATTTTCCAGGATTAATAGAGAGAAAATGCTTACTTTCAAAGTGTCGAAATGTTTCTTATTAATAATCGGTACTTGGTTGATGTGATACATGCAATGCATGTAAATGAAATATCATAAGAATTATACTCACTTTCAGGATCTGCAAAGTCATCCGTATACATTCCTTCCTTATAAGGATCAAACAGCATATCCGTTTGAAGATCTTTCAGACTCTCTGTAACAAGGAAATATGTAAGATGGTTATAAGAGGGCAAATGAGTGTGGTAAAATAATAAATGCTACATTTAAAATGCTGTACCAAACCAAAGGGTGCTCAAGATGCCTACAAACTTCTTAAGAAGTCATTGAACATACAATCAATCACTCTGGAGTCTTTTCATCTGAAAATAGGAACGTCATTCTCCTATAAGAAATACCTATTGTGGAGGTGTCAAGGTCATTAATCTTCAAGTGAGAAGTTGGGAGTTTGAATCCCAGCCTAGCGCTAACATCATTAGGTAACTATATCTGTAAAGTGCAGTGCTTAGAGACATTGTATTAAGCACTATATAAAAGCGGAATATTATTATTATTATTGAGTCATCCTTCAACATTCCCTACTCTTCACCTAAGTGTTAATGTGAACCTGATATGCCTCAGAACTTCACAATGGCCACTTGGCTATAACTAAACATTACTTTAATATTGCACTGTATGGAGTATCACAGCATGTGACAGATAAAGGGGCTACACAGTACAGGAAGCCAAATCATCATTATCATCATTGATAAGATACCCATGACCTTGACAATCTAAGATGACCTTCATACAAGTACATCGATTTATAATGAAAGTAGGTTAAGAGAATCAGACGCGTGATCGATATGGGTGTGAAACACGACACTGCCAGCAGGATTTTTGACACCTCAACTGTGTGGAAGTGGAAAGGTCCTATCTTGTAATCCAATACTACATGAGTAGATCACATGCCCAACACAATTAACAGTGACATCATATGTGTGTACACACACACACAAATTGTATAGATATCCTAATTTCAAACTGCATGAAGGGAATGCTGCTTTAGGAAAAAAATATCAACTTTTGACTATTTATTCCTATACTGGACTGACCCATCTTGTATTTTAATAATAATAATAATAGCCTAATAGTCCACTCCAAATTATATTAAACCAAATGGAAATTCTTTTTGCCCAATTGATCGTGAGCCCGGCAGCCACTGAGCAGCGCCAGATCGACGTTGCTCTATCCCTTATTGTTGAACGCCAAACAAGGTAGCAACAACTCCCATCTTTTAACCTCTTTTGGTATGACGCGGCCGGGGTTCGAACCCACGACCTCCCGGTTGTGAGGCGGATGCTCTACTGACTGAGCCAACACTCCGGTTCATGCAGCCTATGGAAGGATCATAACATAAAATTCAAAACCAAAGGCAGCTTTTTCTTCTTCTGAGTTTTAGTCAACAGACAAGAATATGCAAAGAATGTATTTTTGTAGGATGATATCAGATTTATCAAAAAGGTTAGAGAGACAAATGTACAGAATTTGAAGTAAATAAAGTACAAGATAAGTGAACCTTGGAGTAAATGAGGTAGGGAGTGAAAAAAAGTGAATGGCGAAGGGGAGAAGAGCACAAAAGAGAAAATAGAGACAAAAACTGAGAGAGAGAGAGAGAGAGAGAGAGAGAGAGAGAGAGAGAGCGGAGGAGGAGGAGGAGGGGTGTGCATGTTCCATCTCTCCTGGACTAGGGATGGAATGGAGAAGACTTTAAAAGAAAATGAAGAGATGAACAGAAAGAGAGAGAGAAAGAGAGAGAGAGAGAGAGAGAGGGAAAGAGAGTGACAGAGAGAGAGAGAGAGAGAAAGGAGACAGAGAGAGGGAGAGAGAGGAAAAGGAGACAGAGAGAGAGAGGAAAAGGGATAGAAAAACATAAAGAACAGGAAATATAGCAAAACGAGAAAGAGAGAGAGAGAGGAAGGGACTGGGCAATTACAAAAAATCTACTTCATCTCACCTGGACTAGCACCATTTAAGCTCTCTTCCGTCACCTCTTCCTTGATCTTGGTTTCAGTAAGCATAGGTTCTGCAACAGGAATGACAGAGACTGGGGTTGGTGTAGCCACTACTGTAGGTGGTGTGGGTTGCCTCACTTGCTGCTGCTGCTGCTGTACTACTACTGACGGCGCAGAAATGGCTTGTGCTGAAAGAGTAATCAATGTCATAAATGATAGTTTATTTGCTTGTAGAATAAACAGTAAAGATCAGTTTGCAGCACAAAAATATTCCCTGTTCATATCAGAAGTAAATCAATAAAAAAAAAAAACTTTTTAATACAGGATTCAAGTTTACTGTGACCAATATCGCAATAGGTTTTAATACAAATTTGACAATAATTTAACAACCTTAACCAAATTCAGTTCAATCTTAGGATAACCATTTTCAAAGTGTACACAGATAGTTTTAGAAGCATTTGAAAAATTTAGGTGCTTGTTCAAAAAATATATGTGACAATGCCACAAAAGCATTTTCAACTAATGATGGTCTAACAAAATAAAAGCAAACACCAAATACTGCACTACTCAGGTACATAAACATTTTTAAACTAGACCCTTGCAGATCATTATCATATATGAATGGATCTTTGAGATGTAACCAAAAAGTGATGAGAAAATTTATTCTATAACATCCATGGTTCAGGACATCACCTCCACAAGGCCAGAGCTGCCAACCTTGTGTGACCGAAAACCAAAAACAAATGAACCATGATGGCAAAAAAAAGAAGGATTTCATTAATTCGAAACTTACGACCACGGAAGACACACTTCCAATGCAGAAATGTCCATTCCTCATGATGTTTTTTTCTATATTAGGACCTATAGTTTATTTACAAGTAGTATTTTCATTTTTTTGGAGAATATTTTTCTCTTCAAGTATGTTTTCAAGTATGTTTTAACCATATTTTTCTATTGAATTTGTGATCAAAATAACATTAAGGGCAGTTGTTTGGCGTGCGGTATGTTAAAAAAAAAAAAAAAAAAAAATTATTTAAAAAAACGTTTATGAAGAAAAAACATAGTACCGTAATTTGCATTAAAAAATGGAATAATTCAGAGAAGAATGTAATGGTTGGCAGCTCTGCACAAGGCTTCCACGATTTGTTACCTATTGGTTCTGCCGGCACGAGCCGACTAGCTCTGGTGATTCTCTGGGCAGGTGCAGGAGGCTGGAGGTTGTGGGGCGGTACTGGAACCACCACAGGACTATTGCTCGTCTCGTCCTTGTTGACTAGAAGCACGTATATAGGACCGTTAAAACTCTTGAGGTGAACCATGTATCTTTTCTGATTGTCTGGGCCCTGGAGTGACAGAAAAGAAAGACAACAAAGTTGTTTATATTACTCATGCAGCAAGGTGACAAAGCAAGATTACACTTGTAGATAAGCAACCCATAGACTACAACTTTAAGCCCTACTCAAGGGACTTCATAATTGGGGATTTATGCCTTAGTATGAAGGGAATTAAAGCATCAGCATCATTTTTATCGCAGGACCTTTGGTTAGAAGAAGAATGCTCTACCACTGAGTCATTGCAGTCCTAAATGCTAATTTACATATGCAGGAAAAAACACTTTTTTTTATTAACCATTTCAAGACAGGATTTATTACATATTGTTCCTCAAATTGGCAATAATAACACCTTCTTGTATAAGCCAGTTCAAAGATACAATCTGAGCATGAGCAGATAAAGGTCATTTGTACCAAAATGGTAAAACCCACAGAGATGAATACTGGATATGCGCTCATGAAAGTTATGTAACATTATTCATTTATGCACCAACGGTACATTCTACGATACGCAGGTGGAAGTATTCTTTTCAAGAGGTCAAACAAAAGGTATTCATGAAGCACATCTAGGACTTTGGCAGTTATTATTCTAAGATGCTCAAAGTGGAACTTCTCCATGTGTAAAAGATCTGTGGATATTTGGGGTCATTTGTACCATGTGCTATCTGTAAACTCCTTTATTGCCTCAATGTTAAAATGTAATGTAATTATTTCTAGGATTAAATTTTATTACATATTGTTCTTCAAATTGGCAACAATAACACTTTTTGGTATTGCCTCAATGTTAAAATGTAAATTTTCACAAAACAAAATATACAGACAAAAAGAATTATCAAAAAGTTGGAAAAAAATTGAGAATTTTGATCAAAAAGTAATGACTTTAAATCTCTCAAACTCAAACTAAGAATTTCAAATTGTATTTTTCTTTTTTTAATTCCTGACATCAAACACAACATAGTCAAAAATGGATTCAGTGTGTGCAGAAACTTTTGCCATTTCTCCTCATGCATGTAGCACATTTTGTAAGGCTCTGAATCAGACTTTATTAAGCCAAACCACAAATTGTGGAATGATTGTCACATAAAGGTCAATGAATAACAACTGCATACCTGTCCTAAGTGTATTCACTTAGCTCTGTGTTAGAAGATACAGAAACGTATTACACTTCCTGCTCCATCACTAATAAAAATTAAAAACTAATAAAACAATGTGGTTCACTGCATCATATTTCTGAACAGGGCTCACCTGGCAGGAAAAAGTTTAGTTTTCGATCAAAATTCACAATTTTTTCCATCTTTTTGATAATTCTTTTTGACCATATATTTTATCAGATTTTGGGTTGCCATGTCTGAAGAACATCTCAGAATAAATCAAAAATAGTTCTACTATATAGCAGAAATGAGCATTGACAACATCGATTCTGAGAAATATCATAATGTGTATTTACATCTATTAAATTGTATATAATTTTCCTTTTAGAAGCCGACAAAAAGGAATCCAAGAAAAGGTATTTCTGAGTTCTTACCCTTTCAGGTACAGGTACTTCCAGCTGCGTTCCTGAAGGGGCTTGTACTGCTAGTAATGTGTCGCCTTTGAAACATCTGCATAAATCTTCATGTGTTACATACGCTAATGTGTGAAAGAGTTAAGGAGAAACATGAGGGTGTTCACTGACATCAAGTTCACCAGATCACCATCTCTAAGTTCTATATCAAACATTGTCTTATGTACTTCAAAAAAAGAAGAATAATGGACGCAGTTGGATTAACACGTGTGTGCCTGTACAGTATTGCTTGCTGGTATGCTCCCTAGAGAGAGAAGCGTATACACTTATCTGTGCAACAAAGTAACTGAATATAATGACCTTAGTCATGGTTACTGTAAAGCACTATACAAATGAAATCATCATTATTATTACTATTATTGTAAAATCAATTATATTTCAAGTACAGATGTTTTGCACATGAAATAGACATATTTTCAAGAGTTGCTTTCATATGGCTGGACTTAACTAAATTGTGTGCTACAAATTCCAAGAACCCTACAAAGACCCAACAAACTTGGCAAATAATGACATCCTTTTCAGTACATGTGTATTATGACAGAAATGACAAGCACTTGTAAATGAATTCCTCCATGACAGAACTACCATAAAACAAATCCACGGGAACACTACTAACATATTTGCCTGGATCAGTTTTATGTCGGACGGGCAGTGTGCACAAGAGATACCTAATCATATTATCTTTTAATGTATTTTACCGTCACTAAGCAACTTACCCACAAATAGTAAGTATCTGGGGTTTTGAGTCCTACTTTTCTTTGAGGTACTAAAGGTACATGTACACGTCAGACAAAGTTATGACCAAAGCAATAGAAGGTGATGCACAGGTCTTTTGTTTTATTTGTTTTGTGTTTTATTTCTTGTTGTTTGCTCTGAAATGCTAAGTACAGTGCTTTGGCATATCCCTTTGCACTGCAGCCTGTCAGTGTTTACATGACTTATTCTTATTACATACCATTCCTTTTCAATTTTCAACACTATATTTACAATGTACATGTACATATCTTAAGACCTGTCCTACACATTCATTCTAGTTGGATCCCAATTTTTTCTTCACACACACACAATTCCATTCCTCATGCTCCACATCCAGAAGACCGAGTCGTCCTCAAACCATGAAAGGATATCTGCTATTCTCTACATCATCTGTCACGTTCCTGATACTCTGTTGGACCCTCGACCTCTGCTGGTCCAGCTCCTGCTCAATTTGGTCTAACTGGTCAAGCTCTAATTTCAGTTCCTCCACCCGGTCTGTGGCTTCCTTCGTGTTGCTACCCGGTCCGCCGCCCCTGCACGCAGAAGAAAAGAAGAAGAAATTCAAAATGCATCGATCATCATAAAAATATTGACTTTTTGCATAGTGCTTCAATATTACATTCCTCCAGTGCATGCTTGGTACAGTCAAACCTGCTTTAGTGACCACCTATCTACAAAGACCACATTTTTGGTTTCCCTTGAAAATGGTTTCTCATTGAAACATGTACTAAAGGAACCTGGCTTCAAAGACCATTTTTTGAGTTTCCCTTGGGGGGTCACTATAGACAGGTTTGACTGTACATTTATCCCCTGCAAGTCTCATTGCATAACAAAAACAACATCTGCTTAAGTGCCCATCTTCTTCACATGGGTCAAGACAGACAAGTGGGCATAGGGCAAGGATTTGAAATCTCAGCCTCTTCATTGAAATTCCTGCAGTTTCTATGATAGAGTAGTCAATCCATACTCAAAATTTCAACTATGTTTCATTACATGCAAGAAATTAATTGACTTAATTCATAATACATGCATTTACGTACCAGTGTAAATTTGTAAAGTTGCTGCTTAAGTATCAAATTTCGAACCTATATGCCATCACACCAGGGGGGTGTTTCATAAAGCCGTTCGTAAAGTTACGCATGACTTTACGAACGACTTGTATATGAAGTGCCAGATAAGATGTCCAAAGTTTTTCCTTATGTTTTTATAACCTCAATTAAATTATCGCAAAAATATATACTTTGCATTAAGCATGTTTGTTATAATGAGAATGTTAATCTACATCTGCATAGTTCAACTTTAGTTGATGCAGTTAATAATGATTGCGCATCCCATTTGGCTTTTCATATATAAGTCATTCGTAAAGTCATGCGTAACTTTACGAACAGCTTCATGAAACACCCCCCCCCCCCCTGTACTATAAATGGGATAAACAGTCATCAAAATTTTCCTACTTGCTCGTTTCATGTACTGCCAATAACGAGCATATGTGTAGATCATCCATATGCAAAAATCAAGCTAAAAAATATTCAATCTTTTATCTCATTCTTGCATTTGAAACAACCTGTGTGGAGAGTACAAACAAGACATCAAAGGCTTCTCCTCTTAAACCTATTGTAACCTGATTTTGCAATGGCTGCGAAAAGTTTTTTTTCTTCCCCCACCCCAACCAGCAGGAATTTGATGCAATAAGAAGCAGGCTGCTACAGAAATATCATATAACGCCTTGTACATGTAATTCAGGACATTCTGTACATGAAAAGAGAAAATGTAATACTTACTTCCATTGAATACTGTTCTTTGATTTCTTCTCTATTAATCCAATTCCTTCAAGTACATTTGTGATGTCATATATTCTCCTCTTCTGTCGTACTGCTAATGTGTCAGCCGCCTGAATGTCAAAAAAAGAAAAGAAAAAAATATAATTCTTGATGTAGAATTGTGGAGATTTGAGGGAAATTAGTGACAATATTAGCATTATTTCTTTAACTCTGAGCATACAATGTCTTCTGTTGTAGAAGCATAGAGAACACATAAGGTGATTCAAGAGATAAAAGTAATACCATACATTATTTCTTTCAAATTCAACTCAAGCATACAATGACTTTTGCTATAGTAGCAAGTTACAGATACATGTTCCATAGTACATTACCAAATGCCAAGTATCATAGGATTCAAGGATTGTGAACATAAATAATTAAATATATTATTTTGTTGGATGCTTTGTCTGATTCAAGCTCTAGTAGGGCTATTACATGTAGCTGTAGCTTCATACAGTCAATACTATTAAAAATTTAAGTTATGGTTTGTAACATATCAGGCGATGGAGAAAAATTGCTTAGACTTCCCCTAATGACCTTTAATTCAAATCAAACCTCCACACATGACCTGCTTTTAACCTTATCTCATCTCATCTAAAATGTACCTATTTGTTATCCCTTTTTCCTCCCCCCTTTCAATTATTTCCTCCCCTTTTAACCTGCAGCCTAGCCAAGATTATGTTTTCCAGTGGCATTCTTCAATCAAAGTTCAATGGGTTTATTTTCTCCATCTGGCATCTAATCCCCTTAAAGGCCCACTGCACTACTGGTAGCTACTTGCGCCCTCTATATAACAAACAATGCCTAATCGGTGACCATTGGTCCCCCATGATCCTCTTTTTCTTATGTTAACTGAGAGCTGAGTTGATGAGATAACCACCTGTCCAGTGACCTTGCAGAGCGGTCTAATCCCTCCTGTAAACTACGGCAGATAAGCTTTAAATACAAAATGCATACATACTTGCAATGTTTGGTTGAATGTATTGAAACTGGTTAAATACATGCACATAATTATTTAGAAAGACACATACATGTACATGTATGTAGTCAATTTTGCTATAGTGGAAAGAGAAATGATATATATATATATTTCAACAAGTTTTCTTTGTTGTTTACCGTACAGTTCACAGTCGGTTAAAAATTCTTCACATCAATACCTGTACATGTACAAATAATTAGAAGAAATACACAAGATTCATACTGAGAAACTCCCAACTGAAATTATTGTATTACAGGAAATGAAATGTGATTCCATGAATATCAAGTTCAACAAGCGTTGTCAATTATGATCCCAACAGAAAAACTATTCTGCTAAAAAGTCTCAAAAATATGTTATTACAGATAAACTATCAGTATCAATGAAAATTAAATTCTTTGTTTGGTACTGGTAGCCATCAGGCAACTGATCCACTATATTTTGACTTCTTATGTTTTAGTAAATTGAATTCCAAAATTGAATTTTGTACAGTAATGTGCAAATTTTTTGCCGAGAATATGACTTCATTAAAAAATCCATGGAAATTTAGATTGTCATAATAGTTCTGAACTTCTGATTTCACCTTGATCAAGGCCTTTGTAATTTTGAGCATCAATCAAAATTCCTCCTACAGTACTTTATTTTATTTTTAATGTAGAAATTCTATTCACATTCTTCGCCAAGAAATTCCTTAAAGGTATTACAAAGTTTTGGGAAATTTGTGAAAAGTGATTCTGTACAATTTTGATATATTTGGATGCTCCTGTAGATGTATTATAAGCACAAGAAAAATTAGCCCCTAAAACACTTCTCCTTTCGAGAAAACTTGAATATAAAAATTTACTGGTGCTCCCGGTAAATATTGATAAATTTCAAATAGCATCTACAGCTGTACAACGATTGTGACCATGAAAATCACAGAATATGTAGTTGTGATATATATAATTTCCAAACGAGAATAGCTAATTGGTCGATTTTGGTCAAGAAACATTGCTTTATAGCTTAATTAATATCTTGACCTTGAGCTATGTAACATAAAGAGTTTATTATTTACAATTTCATAACTTTAGAATCGATTTCAACCGCAACAACGATCCCTGAATATTGTAGGATCGCAAATGCTTCCATGTTCATTCAAAACAAATTCATGACCCCATCCCAAAACTTTGTATTAGCTTTCAGAGTACATTCATATTATTTCTAAGGAAGCACCCATTTTTCTTTTGTATATGTGCTTGTAAAAATAGATCACTATTAAGGCTCATTCAGATACGATGCGGCAAATCTGCAACAGCTTTTTTAACGATGAACTAAAGTGTATAAAGACGTTTCACATATCTGTATCTTAGACCCCGTTCTCATTCACTTCGTTGGAGCGGTCTAACTAAGACCCGTTCCTCAGGAGCAGTTCTTAGGTGAGTGAGAACAGTCAAAGTGGTCCAGGAAGTGGACTTCTGGACCGCTCCAGAAAACCACCTCGGGAGGTGGTCTTGAGGAACGGGTCTTATTAAGAGCGGTTTGGACCGCTCTAACGTGCAATGTGAATGGAAGCGTACTTTGACCGGAAGTGAGCTAGTGACGTTCCGTGCGAAACATGTAGTACGGTACATACGGTTTGTATTCCGCGCGCGAAAAAAATGACCTGCTGACCTGAGCTGCCATAGCAACAAGACCACTTTGACTCGTGGAGCAGTTTGAGCCATAAAAAACTGCTCGGAGTGTGAACGCTCGCAAACCGTTCCTCAAGACCCGTTCCTCTGGAACGGTCTAACTAAGACCACTTTTAAAGTGAGTGAGAACGGGGTCTTATATCACAGAGTTCAGACAGAGAATAAGTGCAGGACCTTAGTTGCACGTAGTTGCCACTTATTTACCACGCTATATCTGAAAAAACCTTAAAGGACAAAGGATAGTCCTGTAAAAGAAAAGAGAAAAGTCTTGCAATATAATTCTTGTAAAACTGCTGAAGTTGCCAAGGTTGTGTTGTCACATTTAATGAATGCACCACATACTGTGACTTTAAAAATAATAGTTTCTTTTGTGACTATACAACATATCAAATACCTCTCTGTGGACTGTAACAACACAGTAGAAGAAAAAAAAATCTACCGGTACCCTAATATTAATCGCATCGTAGCATCCACCCCTCCCCCCCCCCCTTATTTTGGCGACCATTCACACAACATGTAGAGTACAAGGTTGAAAAGTAACAAATATTTGGCCAAGGTCTGACAAATTGCCTTGTGTACTTTTTGATCAAGCCTTCTCATAAAGCATGCAGTTTCTTTGTTTGTCTGTTTGTACTTTTCAAGCAGTGCTTGGGTAATTTCATACATAAATAAAAAAGACTACCAGTACAATGCATATTGAAAATAGAAACTAGAAAATTCTACTCGTTTTCACCTCAATACTCTGTGGCTAAGGTTTATGCAGTATCAATGAACTTAAAATGTAGTTTTGAACTTTAAAAAATTCTGTCTGTTTGGACTTTTCATGCAGAGCTTGGGTAATTATTTCCACACATGAATACAAAAAACTACAATGTATTCTAAACATAGAAACTGCATAAGTCTACTCTCATATATCTACCTTTTAACCTCAAATACTCTGTTGCTAAGATTTATGCAGTATCCATGCACTTAAAATGTAGTTTTGAACTACAGTGAAACCGGATGCTAAACTTGGATTGCCCATTAACTGGCTATACTAATGGTCTTGGACCATGCAGAGTTTTGTATCACTATTATCAAAGAAGATGCTAACCCTGACATTTCAATTGATTGAATGTGGGCAGGAAAAAAAAAAATAGAAATTGGTCAGCAAAATAGAATAATCTGATACGGAATATACCTATGCAATCTCAAATTGGAAGGTTAGTCACAAAACTGAGAACAACTCCCCTTTTGGTACAAGTACACTAATACTCTTTTAAGACATGTTTTGCTTTTTACACATGCTGTTTGAGTCCCGTACTAAGCGCCTATCCAGGGATAAGAAAATTCAGTGTACTCACTGCAATTCAATCGCCTGGACTAGCTGTATAGCGTGAATATTCATTAGGGCATTTTCTGCAGCTGCGCACTTGCTCAATCGCGTCGTCGGTGCGGCAACATGCAGAGTATACATTATATACATGAGTGATCGATCGGCAGCTCATCCGCTGCAGTACAAGCCGTAAAATAATCAAGCTAGGAAAAGTTTTGCTTTTATTACATCGCTGGACTTTTATCTCCAATTATGGATCACTTTAAAAGATATCTATTTGTAAACTTAAATACATGTGCAATAGAGAGTATTCAAGATAAGTTTGGAAACCCCCAGCTTAGAGTACTGAGATATTTGAGATATCATATGATGATATGAAAGATGGTGATTTGTTGATCTAATGTTAGATTTAGAAAGGCACTTATTGGACTTTATAAAATGATGACGTGGATCCTAATCAAATGATTGGTTTAAAGCGCACAGGTGACCATGCATTTATTTTGCCTAATGCGAAATTTGGATAACTACCGGTCAATATCCTATGGTAATGACCGGTCATTGGTGATCATGTTTTGCGATCGAAACCAATGAGATTTCATCGTTTTACTTTTACTTGCGAAAATGGCTGCCGCAGAATTTAAAACACCTACGTTTGAAATGCTTTTGACTGAAGAAATGAGGGTGAATAATAAAATAACAAAGATCCACGTCATAATTTTTTAAAACAAATATTACACAGCATTTTGTTCGGGCATTGGTAAAACTACTCATACTAATAAACTGCAGTGTATTATTTGCATACTAAACCTTTGGTCTAAACCGAGGGCATATTATCGCACATCGACATTATAAACTGTGTGTAATATGGCTTTGTGCTTGGAACCTTTGTCCATGAACACCTTTTCTTGTGAAAATGACATTGGTCATGTTGTTCTTGCTACTCTTTAAAACAGAATTCAAATATTATAATGTATGAAGAATTTTGATCTAAGTCTGCAAACTCTGCATGTATGTTAGTGCCCCCAAGTCCCAGGAATAGAATCTTACTTTTGATATTTAAAACTTTAGATCAAGTTAGATTTGGATACCAATCTAGTGGCATAGATCTAGAGGCCATCTGAAATTCTGTAGTTTGGACTTTGCTTCACGCCACGGTGCCACTAGGTCTAGAGTAGAGTCTAGTCAAGTAGACCTTGATTAAGTTAAGACCTAGAACTTTGATAAATGTCAACAGTAGACTAGAGGCAGAAGGCCCATTTGTGAGATTCTCTCCCATGTTAGAGATTTACATGTAGCTTACAAAAGAAACAGCAAAACATTTTTTGCCTCTCTGAATTTAGTTTTTAGGAGATCATTGGTTTAGTTAACAAAATCTGTTACAAAATATTTTTTGTTTTGAGTCGAGGTAATCCATTTGCAGCAAATGTAAATAAAAGATATAGGTATCCCAAATGGGAAACTGTCTCCAAAATAGGCTACAAATAATCTTGACATCATTGATGCAGAGAAGCTGTTTTTAATGGGATTAGAGGAATAGAGTAGTTTTGGAAACGCTCCCCCCCCCCCCCTCTCAAAAAATGAAATGGAAGCTCTATTTCCAATCATGTGCAAGAATATGTTTTGACTAATACGTGATGATACAAATTGTGCAGGGAAACCGCCTTCTAATTGATATATTTGGTAAATTATCATATCAATCCGGCCTGGATAGATACCACGAATGCCCTTCAACATTGAACATTTGGGCATATATTTCTGCTTTTTTGCGAATTTGGGTTGAAGTATTGCCATCTAAACCTCTGAAGGCAATATTTAAACAATATTGAATGGATATTTTGCAGCCAAAACCCTTGAACCGCAATTTAACCACTACCAGTCTATATCTTTAAGCTTGTCAAAAAGTTGGCAATAATCGCAAAATAGGGCGCTCATTGCTTTGGTAACCCTTTTCCAATCCCAAGGCCCAGACATTGCCTAGACCCCACACACAAAGTGAGTGCGTGCAGACAAGTCACATGAGCCATTTCCAAAACCATGATAATAAAAGACCCCCAAAAGTGGCCTTTCAAGTTTCACTTTACCAAAAGAACCTATTAAAGCATGATCAGACAAGTGACGATTCAAGCAATGATGAATGAAAGAGGAAAAAATAAAACGTTCAGTCCATCAATTACCAACAGTAGGGGCGCTGGTTCGAGAATAAAGATAGTCCGCATGAACGAGGATATCCTTGTAAATAGATCTACGGACAAATCGCGTCCTAAATAATTAGTCTACATCTAAGAATCATCCGCATTTTTGCAGACTCCTTTTACTTTTTCTGATCCTCGCACTGGCAATCATTAAAAACGGATTCCGCGTAATAAAATACCCCAGTTCACCATTTTTTTTTACGAGTTGTCCGTCTTCCCAATGATTTATCGTTCATAACGGGAAAGTTTCTGTGCTGCGTAAATCTTGGAGCATCATAGGACATCCTCGTTTATGCGAACGATCCTTATTCTCGGACCAGCGCCACCTACTGCCTTACTCATTAAATGATCCAGTCCAGGCTACGACATCAAATCAATCGTTCATTGTAAAAATGGAAAAGTATCACAGTAGAGACATTCCATTGCATTACTACATTAAAACGAAACTAACTTTACGTCGACATGCTGGCCTGGCCTAGAAGTAGGCAGTTCAGTTTAGACCTTCGCGATGGGGACAACTTCTTATAGTACGTACGCAGGTGCGCATTTCAGCTCCCTATACGAATCCACATACATCAGGGTGAGCGCGCTTTCGGCCACACTTTCGTGAGCTTTCGTGGTTCTGCCGAAAAAAAACACTCGGTTTATTTCGGATTTCCCTGCCTTCTGATTGGTTAAAACAATAAAATATGACGTCATTTCTCTTCGACAATTATCGATGCACATCGGAAGTGAGTTGTACGTTGAATAACCATCGTAGTAGATGGTTTTGCTCAAATCTGCCGACAAATTGATGAAATTCAGATGGAAGGAGTTTTTCAACTAACTTACAACTCCGTAATTAACAAAATTAAACATCTTACCTTCTTTCCTGAAAGTTTCATATAATGATGATGAGTAGATCTTATGGTAGATATGATAATATGATTGCAGTTTTTGAAAATTGCACGAACCGATTTTGATGATGCGACGCATGATGCGTGTACATGGTGTGTACGTGAATGAAACAGCTGTGTGAGTGACGTCGAGACCATTTCGTAGTCTTTGAATTCAGACCCGTTTGTGACTTGATTGACTTGTTTTTTCAAGTTTTGTTTATTGTATGTTGTATTTTATTGATAATTGTGATATTTATTTTAATATTTGGAATAATATTGTAATAATCTAGCATGAATTGGTTATATTTTGGGGGTAAAGTAACGATATTTTTTCGAAAAAACTGTTCATTTACTGCAAGATTGCTGCAAGTATAGACTACATAGACGATTTGTCACCTCATCCTTTTGTGTGGGTGTGTGCGTGCGTGTTGAGAGAGAGAGAGAGAGAGAGACTAGGAGAGAAAGACCGAGAGAGAAAGACCGAGAAAGAAAGAAAGAAATAGAGAGAGAGAGAAAAAAATAAAGAGAGAAAAAAGAAAGAGAGAGAGAGAGAGAGAGGGAGAAAGCGTGCGTGTGTGCGCGTGTGTGTGTGTGTGTGAGAGAGAGAGAGAGACTAGGAGAGAAAGACCGAGAGAGAAAGACCGAGAAAGAAAGAAAGAAATAGAGAGAGAGAGAAAAAAAGAAAAAGAGAAAAAAAAGAAAGAGAGAGAGAGAGGGAGAACGTGCGTGTGTGTGTGTGTGTGTGTGTGAGAGAGAGAGAGAGAGAGAAAGAAAGAAATAAATAAATAGACGAAGATCATTTGGTAAAAGTTTAGATTCAAAGGGTTTTTATTTACCTTTTATAACAATATGATGACAAAAAAATGGAAATTTGCATAAATTTGCATATTTTAATACGGTGCTGTTTAAAGATATTAAATTTCATATTTGCCAAACATCACTGAATATACTTGCCAAATTTCAGCGAGTTTGGTCATTGCATTGAAGAGATATGACTGTTATGAGGCTTAACAGATCACAAACTTCTGAAAACAATGGTGCCACTGCTTAAACACAGGTTTAATGGACTTCAATACAATTATAATAGGTTTGACCTTTTGATCTTTTGTCCTCATCAATATGGTTCTGAAAATTATTTTAAAAATCCGTATCTCTGGAACCGTTGGTCCAAATTGAACAATTCAAAGTGCATTGTGTAAATAAAAATGTGATCTTTAAAATGATATAGAAATCATCCCCTATCTCCTACAAAAAAAAAATCACCTGAACTGCCTACTAGAAGTCTACACCCTATTTAAATTCTGCGTTCATTGATCAAACACAACAATGAATGGCTAATTTCCATTAGACACACAGTTGCACCGCACTGTGCGCGTATACAGTGCAGTGCACACAGAGCGTTCACGGGAAGTTACGGGGCATTTACCGACTCCCGAATGAAATGTTATGGTCCGAAACGGAGCTAAAATAACACCATTCACCACCACTAATCATCCTGACAATCATTTACTTACTTGCTTAAGATCTAATACTCCATCTGGTGCTTCTTGAAGTAGACCAACGAATTTCGTAGTGAGCAAACCGAGGCTCTTTTCATGTCTACTCAGTGGCGTCTCAACAAGGGTAGCCATGCTTTCTCGCGAGGACCGTTACTATTATTCGAAGATCGTGGCTGTATTGTACGACATTGTCTCATTATGGAACAGTAGAGGGCAATATAGCTAATAAATTTGGCTACGGGAGCGTCCTGTGTCGTCAGGGTGACGGCGAGGAGGGTGACGAGGTGACGAACACAATGTTCTCATCTTACATTTCTTTCCCAATTTCCTCACTTTTTGAGGCACTCCAAGAGAGTCGCATCCCGCAAATTTGTTGGCCAATCTTCTAAGCGATCAATTATGCATGGTGCCTAGCTACCATATCCGTTCCACTTAATATCCCATACATTTAGTTTTGACACGTTTTGCCATAACATCATAGAAAATCTGATTAAGGAAGCCTTTTCCTTGCCAAATATGTTTGTAAAGCATTCCAATTTGTTTATATTCTGCAGATGACGTGTTGAAAATGGTTTAACATATTTAGGAGATAATTTGAAGGATTTAAACTCTTGCACGTCTGGGTTTTTCAACAAAATCTTTAAAGGGGGGTTCTCAACCACAATTACCTACCAGCCAACTAAATGTGAATTAATTAAGCCCCGATTTGTTTCAACATTTAGAACATCTATTGATTATCAAATGTTTTTGAATGGACCCAACCCATTTCTAAGGACAAGGGTAGGTATTAAGCCTATAAACTGAAATACTGGGAAGTGTATGATTTCAACTTGATATTACAATAAATAAAAAAGATGTCACCACCATAGTAATTATCAGATCACATTGTCATCATCAACATCATCATCATTACCATAATAACCATTCTGCAAGTCAACAACATAATCACATTTTGTAAGGTTAATGCTTCTTTACAGGTACATTCACTAAAGTGAAGTAATCTATTCTCCCTTCATTTTGTACATTAACACAATGCATAGGAAAGAAAGGGGTGGGTCATCTGATATGAACCTATATCTTTACTGTTTCAATATATTTTTAAGCATTAAAGTCTTTACTGAAAATTTATAATTATATAGTTTCATAATATAATATTTCACAATGTTCCAGAGACCGTTGGTGCGTGGTGTCCTTTTTGAAAGTTAATGTTTTTCATTTAATTTTTTTTTTTAGATGCTTTAATAATTTAAAAATGAAATAATCTTTCTAAAATTTGTAAACAGAGCTTGTTTTTTATCCAATCATTGTAGATTAGTTCAAATTGATTGACAAATAACTTTATCATTATTTACATACAACAAACAGAAAAATAATCAACAGTAATCTTGACCACAACAGACTTTTCTGTGTACATGATATCATTTATTAGATGTGCCACATGATTGATAAGTTTGTTCAGTTCAGAAGGAATGGAAGTACGGAGATGTATCAAACAATCAGAAATATCCACACACAATTATGTACAAATGAAAGACTAAATTGATATATATGTCATAAATATCCATCGTTAATTTCAGTCCTACAGACTGAACAGGCGAGTGAAGATTGGTTCATGTTCCATTGGACGGACAACTAAGGCCTTACATGTCATACAACAATCAACCAATTAATGATTTCCAAATAAACCACAGACATTTAGAACATTATTTTACAAATATGTTACTTTTCTTTCTTTCTTTTAATTCACTAGACCTTTCTATTTACAATGTTGCCCCTTCGAGCATGATATATGTACAAATGTTTGATAACTGACTGGACGGAAGTATCTGTTGAAGAAAATACAAATTGATATTCAGTAGAATTTGACGTTATTAACAAAAGTTGATCAAACGTGATAAAGACTTCAATGTTTTATGAAATTGGTACAAAAACACTTACAGCAGGTGGTACACTAATAATATCTAAATCAGGACGGCAGTTATCTAAGGGGTCATGTAATCCAGCGTCTGTTTATTCCACAGGATTACAATTCTAACAAACATATATGGTAAAACTTTTTTTAAACAAATTTTGTCACAAAAATTGATCTGAAAGAATGTTGATTATAATATGAACAAATATTATTGAAAACATAATCTGCTACAGCTAAACGTGATACTTTGTATATGATTACAATCATGTAAAAACTATATCGCATCTATTTACAAAGCTTGGGATCTCATTTATACAGTATTTCCAAAACTATTATAAACACATATTGTCTCAGGCACTTTTGATTTCACTGGATTCAAACAACCCCAGTCATAACAGTATGTAGAAATAAGATTGCTCACAACAGGACTCAGCAAATCTTAAGTGACATTCTTCCCAAATCCACCAAACTTGTGAAAACAAAAACATGGCACTATATAAATGCTGTGTCATCATCATCATTGTGCTTAATTTTTAGGAAAAAAAGCTAAGGATGTTTGCAAGAGCTTAATAATTAATACTTTTCCAGAAGCTATTTCTTGATGACTTTGTCTATATCTTACTAGCACAAGCAGTTTAATATACATGAGGATCATATTGTAATACATACAATGTAATCATGCAACAATGCTTTCTAGACAGTTCCTCTAAAATCACACTTTCATTACCACAATCCCAGAGTAACTTTTTATTACATAAAATGACTTGAAAGACAGTATAGCATACCTGAATATCACCTGAAGTCACTGGTATAGAATCAGAACAATAAACACTAATTATAAAAAAAAATATCGAGTAGACTTGCTGGTGGAATGATACAAGTATTTTTGTGTTGAAAGAGATGGGACATGGACATGTAGGTTTTGTATTTGTGTGTGATTTCCTTCTCTTTTATCTAGATTTACCTTTAAACATACAAACTGAAAGCCACTGTACCTTTATTCATTCATATTTAATATATAATACAGGCAGCTGCTCAACTCTGGTTCTAAAATATATATTTCTGTATCTACACCTCTGAAAATTTGGGTTTATATTTATCAGCAATCTAGCAGTTCTCAACCAGAAATCACAAGTTTGACTGAATTTATACAAAGGCAACCTTGAAGTTTGTAAATTTAAATATATAAATACAGGTGCTAAATGAATATGGTCTCTGCCACCTGAGAAATTTATATTCAAATCTATCATACCGGTATATAATTTTATATTTAATTTGTCACATCATATACACTAATCTATATCAAAATATACAGCATAGGTTTTACCATCTATATTCTGTAGCACAGACAAATATTGTACATCTCATGGAAATATATTGCATATTTGCATAGCTAATATTCAAACATGAAACTCAAATAATTAACTTCCAGTAAGTAATATATGAAATTCATTACTTTTTGTTATTTTTCACAAGATAGGTTGTATTTCGTTTTTGTATGGAATAAACAATAGGCTCTGCCCAAGAATGCCCTAGCTGGACATCATTCTTTTCTCTGTGCATTTTCTTAGCACATTGTGATACAGAGATGCACATTACTTTAAAAGCTAGAGGGTTACCTAAGCTAGCTATATCCAAAAATCCCCCTATAGCACACGAGAGAAGTCATGCAATGATTGCTCTATACCTATTGAATTTGCGTATATTGATTCTTACTTCCATTGATATGCAATGTCATAAATAATATTTCTGTAGGTGACCAAATATACAGATACATCCTTATCATGATATAAAATATCTCTCTACATGAATGTTTGCTAACATTTTTAGCACATGAAATAACAATTGTATTTACAACATAATTTCCCTTTAACTACACAGGCTTTTGAGTTATCAAATCTTGAAACAATTTAGGATATTTGACCTTAAAAGAAGTGTAGCAAAAAGACATACTTAACTTAACATTTTGATAATGGGTGCTCATGTATAGCATGCTCACCTTTACATTCATGGCAGTACCGTAGGTGCTCTGTATATTAAGATTCCCTTCAATGGTTTATAGCACACATAATCCATTCGACAGGCCATGGAGTATTACCTTAATTTTAATTCTGGATTCTACAATTTTATAATGTGATTAAACATCATTTTGAAAGTTTAGCAGTTTCCTTGTCAAAATTTTAAAGAAAATAAATGCTGATTTGAATTTAATCAAAATTTGAACAGAAAACAAAAATGTATGATGAAATATATGAAAAGCTCTTACATTGAGAATCAATGGCAAATAAAATCATATCATATGAATATACTGTCTATATACTCACAGAGATATCACAGAATATATTAAGCTATGATAAACAGTTGAGTCAATTGTTATGTTACAGGGCCCATAACTGTTTACATCATTTTACCAATCAAACTGAAAGTCGTGTTTTGTCATGTCATACAATTGCAAGGCAGAGTTCTTTAAAATATCTCTTTAAAATAGCCTCACTAGTCCATGTCTAAATCGATGGTGTATGAATGACACCACAGTTATTCCATTTAATTATATTTATACTATCCCATGGTATGTTCTGCAAGCTGACGGAAATTACATGACGATACATGCCTTGCTACCGCCCTCTACTTTCTCCCCTTTGTTGTTTGTCCTCACGACCGTCCCAGAATTCCCTGGTCCTGCTCCATTCTGCAGTTGCATAAGCTGTGGACATGAAAAAGAAATCATTATAAACGTTGTAATTACCCAGTTTTAAATCACACAATAGCTCGAGTGATATGTTTTATAATCTTCTGTTTAACTTTCTGTTCTGCAAAACTGAAAAGTCTTTTTATATAGTCATCTTTGGATGAAGGTTTAATGCTTTTCATAATATAAAAATCACTTTGGTATGCAGTTTAATAGGAAATCACAGAATTGGCGAGAAGTATATTAGAGATATAATCCTTTAGTTTATCCTCATAACTTTTTCTCTGAATATTCTTTGGGTAGGTTGTTTTTTCATATCATTTGGATAACAGATTCCATGTGAAGTTCAGCGAATGACCGCGATTCATTTTTTAACCAAAGTTATTCATTGACTTATATCACACGAACAGAGATGGAACTAAATGTATATTTGAGGTTTACGTTAGTAATACCCGTCACCTTGCATTAACAGCAGCAGCAACACATACCCCCAAAACAAAAAAATACATATAACAATGAGTTAGCTTGCATGACTGTGCAATTACATGCATTGTCAAAAATGGGGTCGTTAAATGCGATTTCAATGAATTCAAATACAGTCAAACTTTGTATAATTGCCACCTTTTTATAAAAGCCACCTGTTGGTAGAATTTGCCTTTACAATTTTAACAAGAAAAATGTGTCAAACCTATCTACAAAGACAATCTGTTTGCAGTGTTGGCTTTTTGTCCATTTCCCTAAAAATGGCCTTCATTCAAAAGTCTGACTGTATTTATAGATAAATGATTAATGCAATGTATTCATTTTGCTAAAATGCAATGGTATGAGGAAATTGTAATATATTTTTAAACAGCAAAAGGGCACATACTTGTACATGAACCACTTTGTTAAAAAAAATCATTGTAAAATGAAAAGAAACTGTATGAAATGAAATTATACACAAGAATTGAATTTAAGACAAAATGTAACCATTAAAATGCAATTATTCCATTAAAATTACATGGCAAATGAATGAGGTTAGCAATTTATTGCAAATTTTCAATTGGAAAATATAAAATTTAAGAAATGAACAGATTTAAAAATAGTAAAACAAAGATTTGTTAAAGGTTTAAAAAAAAAAATCTACAGAAAGCCATACTCAACTAGTATGCTATTTTTTTAGATATAGACATGACAGTTAAAAAAAAAACTTGTAGCAGACATGGACTAAATGAACTGAACCTAAAAAGAAAATAAAAAATGCAAATTTCACTCTAAATTCTGATTTCAAATAAAACAATAAATCTAATCTTCTAAGGAGCATTTGCGTCAGGGCATGGATGCAATAAGTGACATAAAAAAATCCTAAAATGTTATGCTAATATGATTGAAATATTGAAATATTAACCTAATATAGATGAAAAATAGAAAATGAGAAATTAAAGTAATATAAATGACACGTTTGTAAATGAAATTGAACAAATTTTTGGTACAGTCGATGAGCAAAATACAAGGAAATTAAATTAAAACAACAATAAAGTCAATAAATTTGGATCAAGCAAAGAATGCAGAAACATAAAAAGCAAAGAATGCAAAAACATAAAAAGCAAATCAAAATAAATAATTGTCAGGCGTAAATTAGCAATAAGAGGCTCTGCTGATGTAAGGAAAGATCCTACCAAGCTGCCAGCCTGCCAGATTTTGAAATGAAAGGAGAGGAATTATGAGAGCAACGGTGATGGATATGAGGGGGAAGAGGAAGAGGGGGTGGGGGGGGGGGGGGTAGTCAACATGGTTGGGATTAAAAGGGTGCAAGAAAAGAGGATCATTGATTAAATTTGGGGTAATTCTTAGTACATTGGTTAATCATTTGTGGATATGCACTTTTTTGTGTCAAACAAATCTGAATTAATGCAATTTTGCCTCATTAGCTATAAATCAAATATATAATTAAATATCCAATCACATTATAAATTCTCAAGAAAGTGATCTGAGACTAAAATCTTAAATCATGCACTATGGATGGACAGTATAAAGGTAAATATAATCATGCAACATGGAGTAGAAATCATATGGCAATATCACATGAGTGTCTGAATAACAATGTGGAAGAGAGAAGGATAAAAAAAAACACTATCTATCTCATACCCCATTCACAGTGGCTTCAAACACCGCGACAGCAGCGGGACTGTCCCGCTGCTGTCGCGGTGTTGTCTTCAGTGTGAAGGCTCGGACCCGTTATAAACTATCGCGGGATAACACCGCCTCGCGATAACGCCGCGACAAACTATCGCTAGGTTCGCCTAGCTACAGCAGCGGGACAGTCCCGCTGCTGTCGCAGTGTTTACTCAGTGTGAAGGCTCTCCGCTATAACACCGCGACAAACACGTGTGATTTGTTTACTTACCTATCACTGACCTCTTTTCTCCAGCAATGGGGAACATAAAGTGAAATAGAAATAAAGTAACCAGTGGATTCAAATTGATTTGGATTCAAATTGATTTTATTATTATGTAGATATTATAATTATCCAAATAAAAATATTTCACACTTCAAAAAATTAAAATATTCTGACTGGAAGCAATAAAAATGCTAGTTTTTTAAAAAGTAATATGATCGAAAACCCCGCGCTGAAGTATTTCCGGTCATATCGGGGTCACTCGCGGGTCATGAGCCATGCATACACGTGTTTGTTACGGAGGTAATAAAAATCACCCGCTGCAGCGTGAATGGGTACATGATATTTATCCCGCTACTGCAGCGGGATAACTTTTCTACTGTGAATGCATTTGTAGCGGTGTTATGGCGGTGTCGCCGCTCCGCTACAACGCCGCTACAAATTTCAAAACCACTGTGAATGGGGTATCATTGAAGTAAATGCAGGAGTAGATAAAAAGAGAAACATTGTGAACAGATTTCAACAGAGATAGGCTTTAGAAACATTCACCAAAAGTGCATAATATCCCCAGGCAAAGAAGATGGATATTGTCTGTAAAGCTGAATGACATCCTGCAACTAGGCAAGAGAAATTATACTAAACACAAATACAGAAGCGAACTTATACAGAAGGCTTAAAGTGAACTTGGAATGTACAAAATGGATGTCTATTAATCAGTTCATTTAGAAGAGTATTTCCGGCATTTTGAAAACTGAAGAAAAATAATCTAGCCATCAACCTGCAAATTAAACTCATTGTGTCAATTCTTGTTTGAACTTTTACTGGATTTTTACAATTAGAATGCCCTTTTTACCATAACTAAATAAATCCATCTGTGCTTAGTTCTCATCAGTCTTCTTTTATGGAAAAGTAGGAGCAGACACTTTGCAAGAAAGGTATCTCATTCTATTCATACAGTATTATGCATTATTAAATAGACTGGGACTTACATAATACAGCATCTTGAGATTTTAAAAAAAAGTATAGCTATAATAGCTATGTATTCATAGGTACATATATTAACTTAGTATTCAGTAATTGTAGAAGTTTATAAAGCGAATGGGTTTTCTGTAAATTCCTTTAAAAGTGGCCATTTTGCATATATTTGATTTGCTTGATCTGATATTCATTTTCAAGACATCCATTTTGTACACCTTCTTTCTCATGCAGACACAACATTGTAGAAGCAAACACAAAGAAAGACAACACAATTTGATAGCACAGAAACAAACAATAAGCAACGAGGGACGAGTATCCTCCTACTATTCTAGTCTCACATTGCTACATTACGGCACAGACACCAGACTGAGGTTTCTTGCCAGTGGCGGCTTCATGGACTCGATTCATCTAGAATAACGAGATTAAACAGATACAGACAATCTAGTTGAAAACATGGTGATTTTTTTTAGTCGGTGAGTTGGCTCGACTTGAACGGTGACATGAATATGAACGGAAAACTCACACAATTACCGGGTCATCTTTTTGACATTTGTGCCAATAAACAAATTAACATGAGAAGTTAAAAATTTTGGTGCTCATGCAGTCCCAGTTGGACGAGTAATTCTCATAAATACAGATGGCACATTGAACCATCAATACATTTATTGAATACGGTAGTGCACTGCACTGGTACTTTGATAAATATTGCATTCTTTTTGCATCAAATTAATTTAAGAGAAAAGTGATATATGTATATAAGAAATTGGAAATGCTTTAATACTTACTTAAATTTGAAAATAATATAACATAAATCAACAAAATGTAATAATTTCACAGTTCACACACAAATTTGACATTAATTACAGTCAGTTCATTTTTCTGCAAATACGTTTTGGAAGAACTTATTGACATTTATTACTTTATAAAGTATTGAAAAATGTCTAGAAATCAACCTGACTTATAATCAAATGACATTTTCTGAACAATTCTAAGTTGTAACACTAATCAATATTGTTGTTAACATACTTCCTTTAGCCCTATACATCATTCAAATAACCCTATGAACTACAAACATGGCCATTCGACAAACACACAGACAGACAGACATATCAACAGAAATAAATTAGAGACAGACAAATGACAGCAAGAATTTTTTTAAAGAGATGATTTAATCATGCATTTATTGCATTAAACATGCATCTTTCAAGCAGGATCACTACCTAAAACAAGAGATGAGAATTGAGAAATATGTTGACAAAGTATCAAAAAGTGTCTTCATAAATGCAGAACAGTACTAATTAGCTAAATAAAGAAAAAAAGAACGTGCAAAATTGAAGGAAAAAAATACATGAAATTCTCAGTTCAATGAAAAAGGAAGCTTCTAAAACCATGCTCAACTAATCCTAAGAAAATGAAATAACAACAAAAAATAATTTTAAAAATGGAACAGGAGATCACTAGGAGATAAAACTAAAAGGCTGCTTGAAGAATGATTTATAAGCATCGATCAGTCATTATTCACGAAGTATGTTAGTTGAATTGTTAAGCAGCAAATCTGACCAAAAGTTGACAGAGATGGAGATTTGCAGACACAGAACCATTTAGGTGATAGTGCTAGAATAAATAACAAGGTGCATGCGTGAAGTTATACAGCAGGGTGGTAAATTGGCAACTTTGCATGATGAATTTATAGAGTGTTAATTTATCCGGTGTAATTGCTGTAGTGGTTAGTGGTATTGCAAAGGAAAATTTGGCCAAGTGCGCTGCTGGATGCAAGTTACATGACAATATTACTGACAAGATATTGCTGGACTGCAGACACTTGGTTGTTTGATTGGGTTAAGGAAAAACATGTCCACAGAAATACCGGAAATTATAAAACAAGGGATTAAACTGAAACACTGGCAGCTGGACCTAGGCATGTCCCTTACATCAGCTTTTTTGTCGCTTCCATCGTTTGGGACTGGCAATTTGGTATTCCCGTTCGAGTCTGCTGGCGATGTAGGAGCCTGGACTTTGGCTGGTGAAATCCTAGAAGGCCCGTTGGTGACCTTCGTAGATTTGTTTGACGCAGGTTGCATTTTATGGTCAGGGTCTAGCTCAAAACTGTAAACGCTAACTGTGTCCTCCTGTTTGCAAAACGATGGAAATTGGAGACATAGATTTCTAGTGCTCGATCACTGCAAAATGGTTTTAATGTTTGTCAAATCCCACTTCTTAAATGTGATGTTAATATTATAAGCACAAACAAATCAGCTTTGAATTAATTGTCTAGGATATTCGGTTCCAGAGATTGGTAAAGAATCCTTCTGAATGGGACAAATCAAATCTACCGTACCCATGACCACAATTATGATTACACATAACCCTAAACCAAGCAATTATTTTTCTGCAAACCAGGAAGATTAAAAGGCAGCCAGTACAAGACCCCGTAGACATGCATCTACCATAGAAAGTATATCCTTATTAATATCGATGTCTCTACTGATGATATAACTCTTTCACTGCAATTTATCATGAATTGTAAAGAAAGTTCATTTGAAAAGATGTCACATCTAAACAAACATGGTTGAAGGATTGTCTGAAAATATGAAGGCTTTCAGAAAATATCTAAGCTTCTTGTTTACATGCCTACTACATAATGCATCTTGGTTTAAATCGGTGAGCTTTAATATATACTCAACAGAAAAAGAGCACTGGATCAAGCTAAAAAAATATAATTATGTCATGCAACTGGAAGTTGGAAACCTGAATTTATAAAAAAGAAAAGGCTTTATCTTCTAACAAAAGTTAAGAAATATATGACAGCTATTAGACACAGTATAGTAATTGCATAATGCAAGAGACTACACACTGATTTTTATTCCATGTCAAAATTGCTAGAATTAATGAATATAAGCCTACATGCTGAATTCCAAACTATGCGCCTTAATTCTAGGATACAGCAAATTTTAAAAATAATGAATATATATCATTCTACTTCACTGTGTGTAATCCTAAAAATAGAGAGAGAGAGAGAGAGAGAGAGAGAGAGAGAGAGAGAGAGAGTGAGAGAGGGGTATAAAGTATGAAATAGAAATAAATATGATTCAGTCTTCTGAAACACTCATGACATATTGGAACTAATATATCATGACAAGAATGCTATACCGGTATATAAATTCAGGAAAAAAGTGATGAAGGATCTCAATGGGTATTGTCAATTGGGAAGGGAGAATAAAATTTAAAAAGTGACCTCTGAACTGTAACCCTGGTGCATGGCACTTGCAATGAATCGTAACTTGTTCAACTCCTTGCTGGCTATCTATTGTTACTCACAGTACAAAGTCCACATGATTTTATTGTCTTTGAATATCATAAAGAAGAACTTTTGCCTAGTTTTTTAAGTTGATCATTCTAGTTCTTGACATTTCTGGCTGAGTGCGATGCCAATGAAAAGTAATGTTGGAAAGTGAAGTTCCTAATTTGAATTTGGTGACACTTCATCTGGATGCTAAAGCTATTCAAGTTAGGAAATATATTGTTTTGGTAGGATTGTGTAGAATACTTCTTGATCTAGGTGCAAGGCATGATGCATGTCTTCTTTTGCCTTTATTTACAGTAAACCCAAACAGATCAGTCTTTGACATTACAGTTTCATGAAACAGGGTTACGGTTTGATAAACATTTTGTGCAAAACCTAAAGGTTCGTTCGCATATGCCATAGTTAACTATGGTGTTTTGTAATTGTTTTAGAGAACAGTACATGGGGATAAAACTAAAATAGCTGCATGAAACAAAGGTCCCATACATACTGACTTATCTGTCTGTGTTATAAGATACATAAATGTGAAGTGAACTTCACTTATTTTGTCAAAGAAGTTACCATGGCATATGTGAACGGAGCTTAGGAATAATCACCATGTCAGTGAATGTTAGTGTTGATCTATTATCATGATCATGGGGTACATAAGATGTCATGATCTACATATACAATGGAGAGCATTCATGATAATATTAGACACTTGGTGGAATCCAGAACTGCACTCGGCCCTTTTTCCTGAAGTTACTGTCTCACATTCTAGGCTTACGTTATTATTAGCACCTCCGTTTGCTGCCTTGTTGCGGACATAATTATGCGCAGACATCATCTAGGTGGGGAGAATATCATTTGTGATTAGAGATTTCTGAATAAAACAGGAAACATCAGATGGAGTCCATTAACCGTCGCTGAATGCAGGAAAGTTGCAGAGAGCATCACGCAGAGGAATGTCTCGAAATAACAACTCTTAATAACCCCGGCCATTAAGGATAATAGAATGTTTACATCTCCAGACAATTCCAATTCAGGAAATTAGGAATTAATAACAGGAAAGGGAAGAATAATAATGTCACATAGACATGAGCTTTAAGAAATTCTATGAATTTTTAAGACAATATGAAAAGATCTGTTTTACAGGAATGTTGGATGGATTCCAAGTTGTGTCTCCTACTAAGTGTTATAAAGTATAATTGTTGTCAAATGTCAAAACAATCACTTCAAACAGACGGTTGATTGAATGAACTTGGAGACAAATTTTTCTCAGGAAATTGTTAATTAACAACAGGAAAGGGAAGAATGATATTAATGTTGTTTTTACATAATAGCCTTAAAAAATGTTTTACTTTTCAGGACAGTGTGAAACAGAATATTTTAAATGAATGTTGGCCAGATTCCAGGTTATGTTTCTTACACTATTCTGCAAAATATCTGTCACATGTCAAAACGATTAAAAACACATTTCCTTTCCTTTGAAACACTGGAAGATTGAAGAATTATTTTGTTCAACTCAGCTCGAATCACATCCAATAGCATTGTCTTTTTGAGGGTGAATTATATATATATTAAAATTCTCTTTTTTTTTAGATGTAGAATCCCATTTTGCAGCAGATTTTTGTCACTTTAAATAATGTTGTCTAGAAATATTAATGAGTATTCTTTTACCATTGTTTATATGCAGGTTAAGGCCTGCTTCTGAATGCTGAGATGTTATCCAGATTGTTCAACAAAATTACGCATGAAAATCTATCGTATTTACCATTTATTTGATTAGAAAGTTTGTACTTTGAGTGAGTTTCATAGCATTTGTATACACATTCCACATAATTTATACCACCTTTTTATATTATTTTAATTTTATTTGGAAGCCGAATAACTCTCCCTTGTTTTTATGCAATAAGAAAGGACTTAGAAATGCAGATCTTAATACATATATAGCCATCAAAATTATTCCTGAACAAATGCAAAATACAGCCAGTTTCTTCCAGAAAAATAAAATTACTGCAAATTTTGAAAAGTCATCACTCATCAGGTTTTTGCATATATATGTCTTCTAAAGAAAAAGCAAGTGCTCCTGTCTATGAATATATTTGGCAAAGAATTTGTTAGAGGAATCAATATATGTTTCATAGAAAAGTAACATGCTACAGAGTTTGATATATAATTCTGATGAATATGGCAAATCTGTAAGGACAAATCTATAAGGACAGAAAAGGTACAGGTATAAAAGAAAGTAAGATAAATGTAATAAAATTCAGAAAGAGAAAGAAAATCACAAAAATGTACTAATAAACACAACCATGCTCCTGTATTTTTTATTTCTATCCTTCTATCTATTTTTTTTTCTTTCTTTCATAACTGCAACAGGTTGATTTCCAGGCAAAAGTTTAAAAGTTATGATCCTGTAAGAAAATGCAATTAACTGCAGCTACAGATTGTTTGTTATTCAATACCTAACTAGCTACATTAAAATTCATTCTGTGAAAGCCTGTCCTATAAATATGAGCATACCTTTAAACTTACAGCGGTAAATGATTACTCAAGAATATTAAGAACGTCACACTTTCAGTTAACTTAAGCATAAAACTACATACTTTGCATGAAATTATACTAATCCAAACTTGCATACTATAAACTTTGAATGGGTAGATTGATACTTTGTAGACAGAGCAAAAATAAAAAGGATTCTCCCCATGAACAGAGATTAATTATATCCACATGCAACCCTTGCAATTATAGCCAAGTTATAAACTTTGTTATTTTAAAAAATATAATAAATATCTACTGTATGTTCTGATTAAGATTAGATACTTCAGCATGCAAAACCACTCACTGCCTGAAAAAAATCACATAATTTCTAGTCACAAAAGAATAAATTGTGTTGTCTATTGTATGTATTAAGGTCCTAGTATTTAATTGTATATTATTGAACTCTGTGTGGTGCACTATATTAGAAATACTGCGTTACATTATATCAAACATCAAACCAGTGCTCGTCAAAATTTGTTTAGTATTGCTGGATCATGTTTCCTGCAACAACCAATCAGAATCAAGATATAAGTTGCAAGTTGTTGAAAGGAGGGTTCTGATTGGCTGATTCAGGAGAGTTGTCATAGATTGTGACTTGTGATTGGTTGTAAATCTTAGAGAAACAAGGCCCGTGTTTGCAATGATGATTGATCAGCGATGTTAGTTAATGGTCTGCTTTTTGTTTCAAATCACATAAAATCATTAGATTCCACCATCTGAAAGTCCATTCCTAAAATGAATTAAGTTAAGAATTATCAAATTTATGCTACACTGCAAAAAAGAAGATATTTCTTGCAATTACAAAAGGATCTTACCTTATTCAGCATCTGGACTCTGGTTTTGAGTTTCTGGCCGGTGGAGTTTGCTACCGCCGAGATAGACCTGAAAAAGGGAGCAAATTGTTGCTCTTCAGGGGGCTTCCCCTCCCACTCCTTGCAAATGTCCTTAAAAAAAAAAACATACATACATACACTTGTAATTCAAATATTCTGGGTGATGTATGCTTTATCAATAATCATGTATATACATGTTGGTTTGAGTAAGAGGAATATGAGAGTTCATAAACTGAATCTATATTGTGGGGTTGGCATCCAGTTGACAAATACACAAGAGCAGAAAACAAGCAAAGTTCTAGAAATCTTCAAAAAAATTGCTGGGAAACTAAAAAAATAACACTGACAAGTCAATACCAACACATTAAAAACTTTGAAAAACATCTAATTAAAAAACCTTGATTATGCAAAAAAATATAAAAAAGTGCCATTAAACAAAAAGTAATTTGTTTAAAAACCTCACTCCACAGCGACATAATTTCTTGTCTGTTTTTCTTTACTTCTATTTTACTCTCTTTCTTCTCTAATCTCGTTTGTGTTTATACTTGAGCATGAGGAGGACCAGATCTTTCCTCTCTCACAGACATACTTTTTTTTTAATGCGGCACCTCCCCCCTCCCCCCTCCCCGTTACCCTGATAAGGTCATGTATTCACCTGTAATCTCCTCTCTTTCTTCTCCAGTCTCTCATGTTTCTTCTTGAGGAGTACCAATTCACTCTTGATCTGAGCTAACTCATCTTTCTCTGTCACAGACATGGTACGTTGAAGGCCTCCGCTTCCTCCGTCATTCAATTGCTTCATCTGGCGTAGCTCCTGTGAATGGAGAGAAGGAAGGAATCACAACCGTTTCATAAAACTTGCTATAGACACACATCAATATATCTGCTCTTAGCCATTCAAATGCAACGTTTTCAGTAGCTTATAACAAGTATTGTATCTTGCTATTGATAACAAGTTTTATGAAACAAGTCCCAGGTTCAGACCAAGGTTATCTTGTCCATGTTCAAGTCAAAGACATTACAAGACCAGAAGGAACAGCAGTTTGAATTGAATGGGTTGTCTTATCGAACATGCAAGATTCATTTTCATTCTATTGTAGTATTCATGATGTACGTGAAACTTGGTTATATGAAGACTGCCCAAGGAAGGCAAGAAAATTGGTCTTAATAGGGAGCTTATCTTTGAGTATGAGTTCTTTTCGAACACATTTCAATGAGAAACACTATCCAAGGGAAACTGGTGATTATAGCAGGTGGTCTTTCTATACAGGTGGTTGCTAAATTAGGTTTGACTGTACTGTACAATTTAAACTTGCATGAGGAGAAAAGCCAAACATTCCTGCAAGCACTGCATCCATTTTTGTTGCATGACAATATTACATTTGATGCCAGGAATTTAAAAAAGGAAAATTGGCTTTAAAAATCCTTAAATTGGCAACCCATTGCGAGGTTTAAAATCATTGTTTTTTATAATTTAAATTGGTCATTTATTCAAGTTTTTGACAAAGATCTAACCCATGTATATTGTTTTCAGAGACATTAAATTTTTTCAGAGCAATGTCGCAATAGAAGAACAATATTGTTACCAATTTGAGGAACAATATGTGATCACTATAACCCTTTAAAAAGTCCTATCCCGGGGGTGTTTCACAAAGACTAAGATCGACTAGTTCCACAATTTTCTCTCACCATTTACTGGCATTGGTCTATAGGGACGTACAAATCATGGTCACAAATCTACAGAAGTTACATTTTTTGATAATTCATTATTGAAATAAAAAATATTATCTAAAGACCATAATTGAGAGACCTATGATGAGAGCAACTAGTGACATAAATGGCCTGCCATAGTTAAGTCCAACTTAAAGTTGATCTTAGTCTTTGTGAAACACCCCCCTGAAAGGGTAAGATAGAAATCTGACCTTTGTGGTGAGTTTGGTGAGGTTAGGGTCGGGATCGGAGTCGACCTGTTGTCCATAGATCTGGAAGGAGATGCTCTGCGAGTCAAAGAAATCCAAGTGGGTCTGATCGACGGCAGGAATGGAGACCACTCTACTGTGCTTCCACTCCGGAGACAACGTATCCTTGACGACGGGCGTGGCAGTGTGGTCGGGCTCCTGCATGAACCGGTACTTGACATGGGTGCCTCTGGAGAAGCGAGACTTGTTGATCTCACCCGATCGGATCACGACCTGATAGGAATGATAGTGAAACAAAACATAAAATTCAGTCTGGAATAAAAAGTATATCTTTCAGAATGCTTCAATATATGGAAATGTTGACTAGAACAATATCTGATAACAAGATAAGTGTACAGATTCATGATTCCTCAGTGAACTTTGGAGTATTATCTCTTGGCTTACTAAATTGCTTCATGACCTTATTACTCAGAAATATGTAGACTGAAAAACCAGCGAGTTCTTACAAAATCACTTTTACAAGTAATGATTACTAACCAGACATCTAAAATGTTCACTATGTTTATTTTCAATTCAGTAAATAAATTTATGGTACTCCAATGTCTATGCTAACAGGGTAGATGACTGAAGTACCTATTTTCAAAGTTGTTATTACCATGTGACAACATTTCCCAATGCCGGCTATCCATTAATTTCACATCTCCTAATCATCATAACAGAATTCCAAATTTTATCTTGAGACTTTTTCAAAAACTTTTATGAACAATTTTAAATATTTTGACCAATAAGACTGGTTTGTATTTTCCTTACAAAATTAGAAATTATGAAAACAACATAGTGTGACGAGATGTAAACAATGTAAATATTATGTATGTGAAACTCTTGAAACACGGAGATTAGTTGAGACTCGACATAGTGTCTACTTAGCAAAAGTTTGGTGTTTCAGGATCATGAGGTTTGTAGCTCTAGAAATAGAAGTTGTACTAGCTCTTACCTTGATGTGGTATGGTTTTCCAAGTAGTTCTGAAGGATCGTCAACAAACTCATCATCAGGGAGAGCTTTCCCAGCCTGGTTACAGGGGGCTATACTCACAACCAGGTATCCTTGTTCGTTACCCTGAGAAATGATAAAGAAGATAGTAATGATGATGACGATGCTTAAACTTATTGATAATTATATTTGATATATCAGGAGCTCTTGCAGCAGAGTAGAATATATTCATATATATGGTGTCTGCACTTTATAACTGCATGCACATTATCTATTTGTTTACCTATTTATGACCTACCTTGAAATCAGTAATGACGACCTTATCGTCAAAGTCTAAGGCATAGGAGAGACTCTGCAGGAAGACATTAGAAGTGCCGATGAGAACATCTTCAGGAGGTTCCCAGAAAGGATCTTCTTCTTTGGGTAGCGTGAGGACATCGTCGTCTCCATCAAGATATCTCTGATACATGTCCTGGAAGGAGAGATAGAGAGAAAAAAGAGTATTGCACAAGATTTCACATTTTCATTGTCACATATGGATGGATGAAACAACTGCTCAACATGGAAGTCAAATAAACACACTCTTTGGGCAATTTGGGAATTTCACATCATTATCAATAATAAACACTTTTATTGTACACATATAGGCTCCTCCTCGTTTGGTTCCTAACAGGACTTTTAGGAGTATATACAAAAGAAGAAGACTAATAAATATTGTTTCTTGTTGTACATTAATTCAGTTTTCTTAATCACTGATATTGTAGGAATATTGACTACTATATATTCTGTTGTTGTTTTTAATACAATTATATCTCTTACACACATTGCCACTTGTTCACAAACCACCCCATGCATAAAACTTAAACTTTGCTCGCCCAGTGGTTTGTGAAAATGGAGAATATTTATAAGAAAATCTATTGAATAAAATATTTAAATTCTCTCTTGACATCCACTTACCTGGATAACATATCTTCTGTTGATGAATTTGCCTCTCTCCCAGAGCCATTCATTGCCATTGAGAAGACTTGTCATCTTCACCATAACCCTGGTAACAACACAAATAAAGGATAATAATATAAGCAAGTTGAAACATTGGCAGGAGATGGAATATTTTCCTTTAGCATCACACACAAAAGAGAGTTTATGGGTCTAATCAACTAATCATATATGCAAGTTGTCCATGATAGTATAACACAGTGTGCTACATTTCGGTTGTATTTGACAGTCTTATCATTTTCATTCTGACTTGACCCTTTCTCTATGTCGTACATTATCATCATATTGTAGGATACGTACTCATAATTCTGATCATAAGATTCAACAATCATTAGTGCAATATAATGTAAGTTACATGAAATTGATGCCATTGTAACCACAATTAGAAAGCACTCTGCCCATATACTAGTATCCTTACAAGTCTAATATCCCGCAAACCAGATTTGAACAAGGCAGAGTAGAAATGGCTTCCTAGCTGCCATGCTTACTTTGTTTCTTTGTTAGGACCGTCTTGTGCAGCCCCGCTGATGAGCACAATCTCAAAGTTCTTGTGCTTATTGAGTTCTTCATTAACAGCATTCACTTCATTCACCATGGGAAGCAGTTCCAGGATCTGGTCCTGGGCCCTTTGTTGGTCTAAACAAATAGATGCACAATAATGTAAGAGATAGCATATACCGGTAACTTGTTTATCATTACAAATGCAATATTTTACACTCAAATAAAACATTTTCAATATAAGTGAACAAATTTGCACATTACTTTTAACGAAGAACATGATAATAAGTGATATATAAAACAATGCATGCCAACATAACTCTGTTCCTCTTTAACAAAAATGGAAAATCAACTTAATTAACAGTAAATATATAGTCAGGCTACATGAATGTCAAATACTTTCCCACATCTACAAATGTCTCTTTTTTAATCTCTATATTTCCATTTATATTTTATTGAACTGCTTAAATAATTCAAACTCAATTTCCTGCATGTCCTCTCCAATTATTGCTGTAGTATACTTTTAAAACTTAATCATGATCATGAGGAGAAGGAGAGTACTTTGTACCTTTATTGAGTCCACTGGTGTTTGTGTTGAACCCTTTAGCCTGAGCCAGCTCCTTCTGAGCGAAATCCCAATCAACAGTAGCTGGGGATCCCTCTCCAGGCTGAGGCTTCGAGGGGTTCTTGAAGATGTACAGATGATTAGAACCTACAGAGGGGAGGGAAAAGGGGAGACAATGAGACACACAGTGAGAAAAGCTAACAATTTTCTTCTATATTCAGTCTAGAAACATGACTTTTCCCACATTCTTTGAGATGTTTGTTACACAATACAGTCACTTTTTTTAGAACATTAAAGATAAAGTATCCTCCACCCTTTATAAGTACCACCTTCAACATGGAAGCCATATGCTCCCATCATATAATGACAAATAACCTATAGATCCTCAAAAACACTGAATCTATATTTTGTACATTATTATTATTTTATGAGAGTAGTATACATTAGACCGACTACACAACAAATTTAATTACACTTTCATTTATGGTAATAATACCTTTTGTAACAAAGCAGACCTTTAACTGAGTAACATTTAAAGCCCCATGCACTGTCTACTTATAGCTACTTGCTCCCTCTATATAGAAAACTTCTCCAATCGGTGCCTGTTGGTCCCCCATGATCCTCTATTTCTTATGTTATTTGAGAGCTGAGTTGATGAGATAGCCACCTGTCAGTGACCTCGCTGTGTGGTCTAATCCTTCCTAGCCACACTAGTGTTGATAAGCTTTAAATGATCTGAAGCTATCTGTCTGCTAAATCTTATTTTCTAATCCAAACAAACTTCAAACTCTGGCTAGCCGGGGATTCCTTACCGAACATGACTCTGTCAAGATGGGACAGGATCCTCTCCCCTACCAGAGGCATACCATTGATTTTGACCTTTGCCCCCGCTGTCGCTGGCTTGATGGAGATATCACCATTCTCATTCTTCACCAGCGCATGCTGTTTCTGAATACTGTGTTCAATACAAGAAATGACAAAGAAAAATGATCAATAAATTTACATGAGTTATTACACTCTAATTTTTTAGAAATGTTTTGCTTTACACTGACTGCTACATAAAATTAAATATATTTTCTTTTATAGAAGAAGAACTGGTTTCACCATACTCATTTTCCCCAATAGACTGTAGTGTTATAAAAAAACGTTAGGAAAACGAAAAATGAAATTTTGATTTCCAATCCTAAATATCTTGATGATCAGACAGGCGATTGGCTTGTAAAAGTCGTGGGGTCTTGACTGACCTAAAGTTTTATAATTATGATTGCAGCATGAGCTAAATCCAGGACTTTTTTACCTGATCCCTTTAAGGGATACTGATACAAAAATAACATGGTGATAATTTTCTAGAGGTCTAGCTTCCTCACCTGAGACCACTGAGTGGGATGGTTGGTGCAGGGCTAGCATCTTTCCTACCAATCGTCGTCTCGCTGGCACCCAAGAAATGCAAGATGACACCACTCAGAACATTATCCTCATTGAGGTTGGCAAAGTGGGATTCTTTGTTCTTGCGTTGTTCCTGCATGGCACGCTCCCCGTCATCAGCTGCATGTTCCGTTCTTGTTTGTTGTAACTGTTGGAATAAAGCAAACCCAATGTATATGATAATAATAAATGTAGTTTATCCTACAATGTTTGAACTTGTTCGACTAAAATTGCTCTGGACCATGTCTTCTGAAGAAATGAGACTCTGGGTCCTGTTCATATTATATTTTGGAAGCATACAAGCAAGACCAGTTTTGTCATATTCCCTTATCCTGAATTAATTATCTCAAGCTACATGAAAATTTGACTGGTTTTGCTTAATAACCAAAGAAAGAGACACAAAGCTAATAAATGCTTTATGATATATTTTGTTATCCTCATAAAGACATTTTTGTGCTAGATGTAATCCCCAATAACATTTCTTCGCATATCACACACTAATCTCATGGTAATACTAAACCAAGTGTATTCAATCTGAGTCAACTAGATCATAACCAACATCATCACATCCGATGTGATGTTACCATAGCAACTGCATCATTTCTCTTACCCTTGAATCCCAATCCATATCTGACATTGCTTCCTGGTTAGCCATGAGCTGTGCTCTGATCTCCTCCTCCATCTGCTTCTTCATTGCTTCAATTTCTGAAAACATGTCAAGAATAGAAAACAAGATTCAAACATTTGATCCAGGGATATGTCCAGTTCTTGGATCTAGATATTGGATTTATATATGGTGACAGCCTACATGCCTAAATCTCAATATAATGAAAAAAAATATATACACCTGCATATTTCTACAAACAACTTTATAAATGAATCATTTTCTAAACGCATTCAAACACTTTAACTTAACTTGAGATAATTTGTATATACTCTAATCTATTTTTTTTCCATCCAAATATATTTAAGTCATATTTACAACTATTTACAATTTATGCATCTTTAATTCAATTTCTAAAATGTCAATAACACATTGGCCATTTTTCAACTTAAATTAACTATCTTTGTTTTAATCTTGTTGAACATCATTAAAACCAAGTTTTGGGATGAATTGAAATAGTCACATATGTGCCAAGATCTTTACCTCTTCCTTCAAATAAAAAGATTTACCATTAATTTTGAGGAAGAGGTAAATATGAATAGCATGGCAAAATGAAGCAAACTGGATATTAATTTAGGGGTTGGGAGATAAACTAAGGATTTCTTTATTGAAGAGGAAATGCATATCCATCTCTCTTCTTTTAAAAACGATCTGAAAGTCTAAAACCTAACAATAACTAAAGTTTACCTTCTGGGCTCATTCCAGCTGATCCCTCCATCGCCATCACTCCTCCTCCAAGAGACTTCTTCAGTTTCTCATTCTCCTCCCTCAGCTCTCGGATGAGCTTCTCCACCGGGTTCTCATTCACCACGGCCTTGTTCTTGATCTTCTTGGCACGGTCGGCGTACCTCAGGGTTCCTATGGTCTCGTCAAAGTTGATATCAGCAGGCGACAGGGCAGCAATCATAATGGTTTTACTGGATGGAGAGTAAAATAGGATTGGAGAGTAAAATGGGATTGATGAGTTCATTTTACAACGTCAATACCATCACTGTAATTTCAAGAGGGTACTTCTTACAACCAAATTTGAAAAACAGATTCTTTCCTCCTTTAAACCAAAAGGAATGCCCAAATTGAGGTAAAGTAATATAAAAGGATCGATAACATGGGTTTCCAATTCTTAGGTGTTCCCATACAGCATTAACATCAACATCTGTAAAGAAACCTTTTTTCCCCCCTAAAGGTCGACTAGGAGAAGTACAATAAAAATTTTAAAAAATAAAGATTACAAGCCTGGAGTGTTTATCTGCATTTCTTCTAGCAAAAGACAGAGTCCTGTCAAAGTCTTTATTTCTTATCTATTTCTCACCCCCCCCCCTCCCCCCCCCAAAAAAAAATCTTTGAGTAACAGATATATAACAGCAGACCAAGATCTGTGGTCTATAATTTTAACACATTACTGATCTTGGATGAGCATTATATCTCAACCTACTCCAGACTCTCTCCTCTCCTTAAAACACAAACAATGAAGTAGAGTGATACTCATGACAAAGAGAAGAAACCATTGATTCTTACACGGTACCCCAAGTATAATATTAAGACCTATCCATTGAGTAATTGAGGTTTAGTAGTAATCATTATCAATTTCAGTGATTTTTATTCTTCTTTGTTAACGTAATATCAAGACCTTCCAGGAACCCTTCGTCTTCTTAACTTAAAGACATATAAACCAAGGTCAGGGGGGTGTTTCACAAAACTTATCATCAGTGAAAAATGACAGTTTTTGTTATAAGCTACTGAAATCCTTGCTTCTGATTGGTTATCAGCAGATTTGTCATTGACTTTTATCATTCGTCATTGAAAAAAGCCTTTGTGAAACACCCCTCAGAAGTCTTCATTTCTTACCTGTTACCACCCAGAGCATTCTGAAGTAGCTTGGTAAGGACGGAGTCACGATACGGAACCATTATCTTCTTCTTACCCATTGAGAGATCAGCCAAAGCCTGTAATGGGTGAACAATAGCAGCCGTGAAAATTAATACTCCTCTTCAAAATTGACTCTTTCAATTTCTCAAATAAATAATGCCCATTTCTCATATATTGATTGGAGAATTTACAGAATAGGGTTCACATTTACTGACCCATCATATGTTCCACTCTGCAGTCTCACTGAGAGCTGCTTATGCAATATATTGGAGATAATATCATCTCCCAATGTTTTCTTTTGAATTTATGTATTTATCATTCAAGAAGATGTGAAATAATTATGTGTTATCATTAAGTTTTGGCACCACCTAATGATATCTGCGTGTTAGCTTAATATGTAAGAATCATTAGTATACAACTTACGGTACTCTTATATCCTAAACAAATGATTGGTTAAACACGGTCATGTGCGATTCATTTACTGAGATTATCAAATTTGTTTAAATGAAAAAGCTTGCAATAGTTTAACGATGCACAGCAATGTGTTCAGATTATGTGTGCGTAGCGCTGCCTATAGAGTGGTGAAGTGTGACGTCATCAAAAATCTATTTTTAGAATTTCTCAATTTTTCCTTCATATTCTGATGGTCATATTATGACCATCTGTATGAATATATGTCCTATGGGAACTCAGTGTTATATGCTCTGGCTCCTAACCATTAGGAGCCAGAGCATATAACACTGAGTGTTCCTATGGGGAGTATATTTATTCAGATGGTCATATCTCAGCCAATACTTAACATATTCAGTTGGTTTTCGATATTTGGACATTATTTTTTATGTTCTTTCAGAATATGAAGGAAAAATTGAGAAATTCTAAAAATTGATTTTTATGACGTCACAGCTTCGGTACTCTATTGACTTCAAATGATACATGCATACAGCCTCAACTCGAGGGCGGATAGGTCATATTATAATGAACTAATTGGCATGCATTTGTATAGTCTTGTACGGCTGTGTCCAACTGTCGCTTGAGACAGCTCTATCTCAGTTTCTGATTTGTCTCTTAACTGGTGGCAGCGGTGGGATATATATGAACCAACCCCAACAAAATGACTTATAATTGTGATATAGGGCAATACTATGCAACGTGTTCTGTACAACGTGACTCTCATTAGTTTATTTCATCCCAAAATGAACATCTCTTGATATGTACTATTGACAACTGATACTGATAACTGCAAGAAACATTTGTCAAAAGTCATATTAAAAAAAGTGTTGTTGTCGCTTTTTAATTTCAATTTTTTTTTTAAAGGAATAAATGAATAAATTCATGTCTTACAGAACAAACTGCATAGAGTTACCTTAACTCCAAGTCACCCCACAAAGGAAAGTACTTTAATTTTACAGCCCAACATGTGGTCCTTTTATAAAGACATTTTTATTGATGAAATTTCACATCTTACTGAATCAGCAGGGTCTCCTGTATAAAAGTTTCAATAAAATGCAGCATAAAATTAAACACATGTCCCAAGTGAGTAATTCTTTTATGTTGAAAGTAAAGTTACTTTTTGGGGTTGCCTTTATATCAACTTTTGATGCGAAAGGCCCATTTCAATTATTTCAATTTTCATTCACTGTAAGCAATTTGGGCCTTATGGGAAAAGAGCGGTATAAGTAATAATAATAATAATAATAATAATAATAATTCAGTCGCATAAAAATAGATAAAATGATGACTAGACTTACCGAGATAACATTGCCAAGAGCTGATAGAGATTTGTTGATATTTGCACCTTCTTTTAACCTGTCTCCTGTAGCGCCCGTGGAGTCTGCCCTTTCACTACCTGTAGTTCAAATGGAAAAAAATGATGTGAATTCATAACATAATAATAATAGTTTGTTCTTATATAGCACTTTTCAGGACCACAGGCCCTCTCAAAGCTCTTTACAGATATATATTATTACCCTGGTCATCTTTAAATATTCTCTACATTACACAAAGAAGATAGACAGATTATAACAAAAAATTAAGTTATAGATGATGAAAGAAATTAAATAATGATAAATGGAAAAAATGAAGCAACAAAACATACTTATATTTTTTTCTACAATAGTTATTTCATTTTGGAAGTCTAAAAATATATTTCCTATCTTATTCATTTTTATTTTATTTCATATAATGCTTTTTAAATGATGACAACTAGGGCAGAGGATTGAGGTAAGACTTAAAATATAATTTAAACCTGTAAACCTGAACCCTTAAGAAGACAAGACTATGTCATGTTGTGTACCATGTTTTTAACTAATCAAGGTAATGGAAATTTTATTTTTGTCTATCCTGTGATTCTTTAAAAAAGAATTGTAATGAACCCATGTCATTTTACTCTCAAATAAACAGTTGTGAGACAGAACATTAGTTATCAACTTCCTGCAATTATGATGGAAGACACATGAAATGTTAGCGTCTAACTTACCAGCCAAATCCACCAGGTTGATAACACTGGTTTTCTTGGTCTCCTGCCCGACATCATTCTTACTGATCTGATTGAATGTGATGGTGATAACAGTATGAGCTCTACTGCTTGTAGCATTCATCTGTGTGGCTGCTACGGTCCTGTTTGCTGTACCTGTGAGCAAGAGAAAGAAATACAGACATAATATTAAAGCCCCACACAGTGCACTTCTGATAGCTACTTGCGCCCTCTATATAGCAAACAATGCCTAATCGGTGACCATTGGTCCCCCATGATCCACTTTTTCTTATGTTAATTGAGAGCTGATTTGATGAGATAACCACCTGTCATGTGACTTTGCAGGGTGGTCTAATCCTCCTTTACACTAGTACAGATGGGCTTAAAGAAACAGTTACATAAAATGATGTTTTCATTACAAATACATCATGAAGTGATACATGCATAGGCCTATATACTATACCATACCATATATATATATCTGTTTAGTATGCTGTTCATTACTCTAATAAAAAAAATATTTATGGGGATGGTGGGGGGGGGGGATTGTTATAAAAATAATAAACGTATCATTAGTATGCAGTACTTCAATGAACTAATTGTACTTTAATTAAACATCAAGGTAAAAAGTTCATACGTCAGACTTTTGGTTTTAGTTTTTTTTTTAAATTCTAAATAGGACTCTATTTGCGCAGTGCTTCAATGCTTGGCATCATATTTGGTAATAGTACCATCAGTGTATTACCATTAAATTCTAAGATTTTAATTTATTAACATTCAAAAATTTATCACCCGTGCATCCATAATCAAAATTCAATAAATATTTTCAAATGGCAATTTCTGTCATCTCTTTTTTTCTATCTGTTTGTCATCCTCCCTTTTGATATAACACAAAGCCCTTGACTACAAGATTGCAGATTGCTTTCCACACAACTACATAAAAACTCATTTAATGATTCTAATATCTCCATGGCAACTATCAAACAACACCAAAGTCTAATTGGCATGAATTATTGAAGTTGAGCATTCCACTGTAGTCATACCGACAGCGTGAAGTCATTAACAGACCGCACACGCAACATTCAAGCAGGGTATATTAAGTGGTGTAAATAGAGACGCAACATTTGACAGGCTAGTGAAAATGGCTAGGAGAAGAGAGAGGTGAATGATTAATTATATTTGTCTGTTGCTAATCAAATGCATGATTACTCAGTGAACCCTTCCAACCAAAAGTATTTGTCTCTTGAGAGCGAGAAGGACATTAAACTGACTCTGTGCAAAAAATATGAGTTAATAACTTTCTGGCTCTCAGCAGAACCACTCCAACCAACAGTGTATGTCTGTAGAGAGAGCCGAAAGGGCATTAACTCTGTGCAAAACAAAATAAGATGTAATGCCCTTCTGGCTCTCAGCAGACAATACGAGTTCTACTTCAAATTAGAGTGCTCATGCAACCATGATATCCATTAGCTTTTATCGACAGAGCTAGATGCTCTGAATTTAATATACTAAAAATATTACTAACAGGGTATGATTTTATGTTATTACAGCACTAGTCTGAATGGCATTCATCCAAAAGTTTTAATATTGCCTTAAAGGGCATGCAGGGATATGCAGTGTGAAATCTCAAAACTTAGGACTTGTGCCACATACAGAGATTACATCACAAAGAGTTCCACTGTTTCCATTCAATTATTCCCACCAATCTTCAATAAAAACCAGCTAGACATTGGCACGATGAGCAATCTGCTCATAATGAATCGATCAGCAGAAAATGGATTGTAAAAGGGAATTTCCCCTATGCTATCCCCTGAAATTACTACATGGTATCCTTGAGGAGCTATTGTATGATGGACTAGAATATATCCCAGGCTCATGGCTAAACAAGGAACATATCATCACTTCATGGCCAGAAGGGCTTAAAGTAAAGGTTGAGTTCTAGGAAAGGTAAAAATTAAACATTTTGTGAGCTTTTTCATTCTTGTTATGGAAGTGTGGAGGAATATCATCGAGAAAAGTGTCTTTGATAGTCCTTCAAATGCCCTTATATTAATAATTTTGCCCAAAACAAGCAAAAGTATTAGGACCCAACCCAACAAGACAATGCAGTAAATTTCTTATCATTTTGATGATTACAAAATCCCACAGTATATACTTGTGTAAAAAACATTTTTTCAATAAGTACCAGACAGTTTCTGTCACGATGCAATTGCATGACCAGAACTAAACTATATCTTAGCACAATTAAATCAAGAGTATGTACATTAACGCCTTTCTGGCACTCTCTACAGAAGAAATCATCTTTCAATTACCTTCGTCGACCTTCCTCTCGATCTCTTTATAGCTCCCTACGGCAGCCTTCTTGAGATTTTGGACATAGAAGATGCCTTCCTTGGGGTTCTGCCGAACAGGTAGACCACCCTTGGGGTTGATCTTCTGGAGCAGATCACGCACCTGCTCGTTGTAGATCTCCAACATGGAAAATGTGACTTCATATTTCTGGGGAGGGGGTAGATTAGATACAGGTTTAATATTGTCATATTGTTTTAAAGCTCAAGTAACGCTCAAATAACGCCTTAATCCAATGACCGGGATAACATATATCTGTAAAGCGCTTAGAGACATTGTATTAAGCGCTATATAAGCGGAATATTATTATTACTATTATGTAATTCTGAAGTGACAGTGTACATATATACAATTTACTGCTTTCTTTTATCCATAGCTTCCCAAACTGACAGCAATATTACACATGCCTACTTCAAAGATGAAATATACATCTAAATCCAAGACATCATTCTCATATGAGGCAGTACATTGCCAAAATGGAAAATAAATATAGCAGGTAATATAATGTAATGCTGATCTAATAAAACAACTGCATGATGTGAGCCTAAAGTCAAGGAAGATTACCAAATTTTCATTTAATCAAATTATTTCTCTTAAAATTCCATAGGGGTCCACTTTTCAGAATGTTACAAGAGGTTTAAAAAAATAGCAACTGGATATTGCTACACCATTTTCAAAGGGAGACATCACACAAGAGTACAAATGCCAACAAGTTAGCAGATTTGTTTTCTCCAAGTGAATACACATACACACAAAAAAGAGTTATTCAATTTTGGGGGATTTGCAGGCACTAGGCAGCCTGTACTTAATAAAAATTTGCTGACAGAAAATATATAAAGGGGGAAAGGGTGTAACACGCCCCAAGCACACCTCCCTCTACGGACAGCTCTGAATAGTAAATGGTTTAGAGAACCATACTCACTGTATCTGTAGTAGAAGCTTCTATGGTTTTGAAGAGGGCATCGCATGTGATAGGTACAATACCTCTGCAATAATAAAACATACCGGTAACAGAAAATTAAGCATTGTCTGAGATCAAAATCCAAGCAATACAATAATATAATGGAGCTACATCCAGTTATTCCAAAGTTCCATTAAGTTTCTTTAATCTTTGTATTTATTATGAACATATTCTGATTTCACATTTATATGCATCACCTACAAATCAATATTATGTAGGGTGATAATTATATCACTAATAGAATTAAATATAGAAAAGATTTGTTATGTTCTCAAAATAAAAAAAGACTGCAAATTTAAACTGACTTCATACTATAGTTATGTCAAAACTATAGCATACTAGCTGTTTTTTTTTATATAACAAAATGAATTAGAACTAAGTATCTTTTAATAATTATATATCAGAAGCAAGCCACTTTGCAGCAAGCATGAAGCTATGGGGTGTCAAGGACTCTGACCTGTGTACATGTGGTCAAACTCAGACTCTGACCCGTGTACATGTGGTCAAACTCAGACTATTGTCCTCAGTAATATTAACACACAACTGGTGTCATAATTGTCAGCTTAAAATAGCTATAAAAGGAGATAATTTGTGGGATTTTACAATTATGATATACAAAACTTAAACCACAAGAAAGCAGTGTGATAATGGACGTTACAAACTCACTTGTTTTTTCCATATCCAACCATACTATATGACTTGCCAGACCCAGTTTGCCCATAGGCAAATAGTGAACAGTTGAAACCTGAAATGAAAAGGTGACAAGCAAATTATAAGAAGATTATCTTTTGATACAAAACTTCTACTTAAAAACATGTATCACAACAAATCTTACATGTCTATGATGAGCATTAATGAATTCACTGTAATTCATTCATTTGAAAGTCTGGTCACAATTAACATTTAAGAAGCAGTGACTAATAATTGGGAGAAGAAAAAATGTACAAGTAACAATTTTATTTTCACAATAACAAACCAAACAATTATGAATATATAGAAAACAGCAAAAGGGAATCATAGCACTTACTGAGAGAAAATGTTTTTGTGTATAAATCAAAAACTTTGAACTAAATATCTGAAAACACTATTGTCTCATATATGTCTCACACTCTACACTTTTTGTTAAAAATAATATCCAAATATCACAGTCGATTTTATTAATGAAATTAATCCCTTACCTTTGAAAGCATTGTCTAAGACACCCTGCCCCAGGTTATCAAAGACGTTCTGTTGTGATGCGTAGTTACTGCCTGGTACACCGTGCAGAACGCCTTCTTCATCTTCTGTAAAGCCATCATGGGACCTTGGTAGTAAAAACAATTACATTTTAAATATCTCATAACATTGTATCACAAATTTAATTTTGTAATGCTATATAATAATAATAATGATAATAATACTCAATTTTTATATATATATTACAATTAAGTCTCTAAGCGCTATGGAAATAGAAACAAAAATCAAGAAGTGAGTACAGAAGAATTTAAATGATAAGAACATAATAGCATGATGAATATCCAAACTGGAAACTATACATGTATTATACATTGTATTGTATAAAGAATGGTACAAAATTACGTTCCTAGAAAGTAAAAACAACACTTTATAGTATAAGTAGCTCACTTGTTATATTAACAAGTTTACTCTCACAATCATGAAATAATTTCTAACAATCCAACACAACTGGTTTTATTATCTGTTTGAATAGGGATGTGAAACAATGTATTGATTTTCCCCAAAATGCATATTGAAGTATGGAACTTCAAGTTAGTTGCTGAATAAAGTTGTTCAGCTGTAAAGCTTGAACGAAGTTCAACACAGTATCGCTGGGTGTATATGTACGCATATTTACTGTATACGGTATTGCAGTAATTGGAGTTTGTTCCCCAAAACACGTAAATCAATTACAATGGCATTCTTTATCTATAACTTCCCATTGGAAGATCAAAATTAAATGGGTAAACAAGATCTAAGTTTCAAAGAGATTTATTGTCAACTAAATCTATCAGTTTCCATTATTTCTGACAGAAAAAGACTTTTTTTCAGAAATATTTTTGAATGAAGTACATTTCTAATAAAAAGTTATAAATCCAATTCATGCAAGTTCATCTCTTTACTAATGTGATTATTTTCAGTGAAAATTGCAGTACACTATATGCATTTTACGAGGAAAAGATAATTTATTCCAGTAATTATAGTCATAAAGTTCCCTGATTAATACAAATTGGTTTGTTCAAACACCCAGCCGGCTGTAAGTAGCCACACTTCGCTAATATGGATGAAGGCTAGGGAGACTTTGACAAGTGCTACCATGGTAATGCCATAAACATGACACATAAACCGACAGAGCAAGCGATTAGCTTGCTAATTATGTGCTGCGGAGCAAATACATACAGATTTCTCACACAAGTCCATGAGCAAAAAATGAAACTATCATGACTCTGATCAGGAAGAAATAATTATGAATCAATGCCCTTATGGCTCCCAACAGACAATTAATGTTTTTTTCATTTCAATGATCACTTTATTTATGGTACAACCAGCCCTGCGCAAAGTGAACCTGGTACCATGTGATTAGGATACTAGAAGGCCCGTCCTCATCAGCTTGAGCTTGCCAAATGACCCGCTATTTTCAGACTTGGGATATTATCCCGAAGCTCGAAATAGCGTCTTCACCAGAACGATACGGTCACGGCAATACGCTCATCACAAACTAGCGCGGACGGGCGTAAATTAGCCCGCTATTTCCCGAATAGCAGGATATTTTGGAAACAAGACCTAGATTTCTCTGGATATTTTCTTGACCAAATATCCCTCTATAATTGCAACTGCGGGCTGATGAAGACGCAAATAATCACAAATTAACAGATAATTGCGAACGGGATAGTAAAATAGCCAGTTATTTAGCAAACTTGAGCTGATGTAGACAGGCCTTAATATTCAGTTTATGAGTGAAGCCGTATCTTTCCATTCACGGAAGGCAAATCCATGTGTTTGTGAACAGGGGAATCAGTCAGTGGGGTCTTGTTATGGACTGTGTCTATGGACCCATGGTAACAGTTTATTCAAGGTCTGCTCCGAACAGGGATCGTGTGTTTCCTTGCTTGCTTTTAGAATCCCTTGCTTTGACTGAGTGGTAGCGTTGAAAAAGGGCTTAACATTACTTCAATCCAGGGGCACAAAAGCATTGTGTGTCCACATTGTACTTTTTGTTTTTTTTAGACAATGAGGCACATAGTAGGGGAAGTACGGGAAAGGAGGAGAAAAGGAGGCTGGGCACCTCTAGTTACCAGTAATAGATCCACCTTGGTTATGTCATGCAAGAGAAATTTCTTCTTTTATAGAAATAAAACTAGCGGCGCAATGTTACACTGGCGTCTCACACAATTCAAGAGCTGCAAAGCGATCATCCTCACTAAAATGTACCCCCCTCTCCCTCTCTCTCCCCCCCCCCCCTCTCCCTCTTCCCCCCCCCCCCCCTCCCTCTCTCTTTTTCTCTCTTTTCCATTACATACAAATGTATTACCCATTAAGCTACATATACCTTTATACATTCATCTGTTTTTTTAATTTTAATCTATTTTCTTTCAATGAAATTTATTCTGAAGACTACACGTACATGTATGAAGGAGGTATAACATCCCAAATCAACCAGTTCAATTAATATATTTAACATCACTCTACTTAGGCAGCAGAATACTCATTAATCTAACAAATCACCTTTTCAGAATTAGAAATCTAAAAATATACCCGGTATAAGAAAGCTACTATAGATATTCCTCTTCAACACACAGAGTCCTTCACTCAAATGATGCATCACTAGGCCCATCTTCACTATCTCGAGATTGCCAAATATCCAGCTATTTGAACTATCCCGATCGCAAACTATCCAGCTATTTGCGTCTTCATTAGACCGAAGTAGCAAATAAGCTGGATAGTTGGTCGGGATAATATCCCAAGATATCTCGGTCTAGTTTGCAAAATATCCCACTTTTTCCCAACTAGCGGGATAGTTTGCGACCGTCTTCATTAGACCGAAGTACGGAGTCAAATATCCCGATCCCATCATGCACAACGATTTCCGGTTTTCCTCGCACAGTATGCGATCTATACTGCTCAGCGCCGCGCTAGTACAACTAGTAAACACGGAAAACCGCAAACTAGACCGAGATATCTTGGGATATTATCCCGACCAACTATCCAGCTAATTTGCTACTTCGGTCTAATGAAGACGCAAATAAGCTGGATAGTTTGCGATCGGGATAATTCAAATAGCTGGATATTTGGCAATCTCGAGATAGTGCAGACACGCCTAATAAGACTCTTCAGTCAAAATTCCCCAGATAGATACGAACAAACAAATACAAATAAATTGCTAATTATATTGGCTACCAATGATATACCACTCTGTCTACATTAGAAAGTATCCTAGTAATTCATCACTTCATAAGGACCTAATAAAAACATCCCCCCCCCCCCCCCCCGGTGCTCAGATGGGAAATGAAATAGCAATCCATCTCACCATAAATGATAAATAGATGATGAACTAAAGTGCACTGGCCTACTTTAGTACGACACCAGACAATAGTCTCCATAACAATAATGAAATATATCAACAATCAGGCACCATGCGGCAGTGTTTAATTATTAATTATCCATTAACAATAGTATGTCCTTGCACCCTTATCACGGAGGAATCAATAAAGCAAGTAATATTAAAGAATCTTCCTGGAATTGACTTCTTTCCAACCTGATACAATTTCCCTAGCTATGAAGAAAATAACCATCAACTATGAATAGCATAATATGAACTCTACATCTAGAAGTAAATATGACTGAATCAAACTAACAAATCATTCATTCTACAGTATTTTTATACTTTTCATGTGATTTCCATTATAACAAGTGGAAAAATGAATAGCTTCTTTCTAAACTTTATTATCATTTTTTTTTTTGAATATCAGAAGGTATTCCATATTTCCTGGGCAGTTGTTGTTAATATTATTTTGAAGAAAAGGGTCTTCCATATTATTCATTTCTTTTTTTTACAAGTTTCCCTCTGTATTAAGAAAACACTTCACATCAATTCATTACAGCTTCTTCACAAATATCGCAAATGTTAATCAATTACATCAAATATAGTATGTTTTATCAGCATTTTTGCAGCTCTTTTTGTTTATGTTGAATTTCTATTTACAAAGTTTGGTTTGTTTTGCTCTCTTTATAGTATTAATTTGTTACGTTCCCCTTTTTTTTCAGCAATGAAAACATTATCTGATTTAATTCTATTTAGTGCTAATTTGATAATGAAAATCAATGTTAATAGTGTCAAAAAATATTTTCTGTTCCCAGGAGCTCTTTCCATCAAGATAAGGAACAAAAGTTTCCAGATCTATGTGATCTTTACATTTTCCCTACGCCCCCTTGTATTATCCGGAGCTCTCTTCAGGATTTCCACTGCCAGATATAATTCACTCTCTGGAGTCTCTGCTCCATCCAACAATAATATCACATGCATGAGATAAAGGAAACCATGGTATCAGTTTGTTTGCTGTCAAATACACCTGCACCATACATCTAAGCTTGATAAATGTATTGAAATAAAGAAATTAATCTTTGAAGTATCGCATAATGCTGTAGTAGACGGTCATGAATCATGATGGATGACTTAATTTCAGGAGCGTATATATCATCTTCCCATTCTGATACCTCTGTCACACTGATAAGACTGAAACCAGATAGACAACACACTGAACAACAATTTATGTTATGAAGAATTGGTTGGTTTGCAGTCAGTGTGAATCGGTGTGGCTGTGGGACTGAGGAATATCCCTTTTACATTGTCATTGTATCCTGTAGGAATGGTTATTTGCCATATTTGGAGTTGTGACATATCTAAGGCACATTTCATACATTATCAAGGAATTGTCTTCCAGCAAAACACAATAAAACTATTTTGTTGACAATAAATTGTTTTTATAAGAAAAGAAAAGAAAAAAAAAGAAGAAAGATGTAGATTTTCAGGCAAAATTAAATAATTGATATGATACCCCACAACCAAATACGCTATCTAAATTCTCATGAAAACAACTGGCACCATAGGCACCAAAGATCAACCACTCAAACAAATATATATCTTTATGGCATGGCAACTCTCTAAACTGCTATCCTTTGAGTAAATAGTTCAGGTATATTTATAGTCTGGCCAAAGTAAGCTTATTACTATTTGATCTGTACTTCTGTAGAGAACGAATGAACGAACATCTCAATGTAAATTGGAATCCCTCCTCTCCCATGAAGACTGTACGCTTGATTAGGTCCCTTCTGAAGACCCCTTTTGTTTGCATAGCCATCGGGTCTTGGGCATAATGGGAGTAGTTGCTAAGGATACTGTAAACAATGGTGTTCACTAAATACCTCCCACACCACACATGTAAAGCATGCTCAAAATATATAAAGTAACTATTATATTTAGCTCTGACACAAGCTACAATAGAAATATTACCAATGTAACAAACAGTAAATATGAGCTCCCTTATGTAGGTTTCATGAATATCATAAGACATAATTTTCTGTGCCAAGAATTTGACAGGCCTGTAAAATTCTCTTCACATTCTTGTTGCTCATGTTTTGTTGTTTGTGTATGGATCAATATTCTTTCCAAGGATAATACTGTGAAATTGCCTTTAAAGCCCTTTGTCAATTGGTGGTTTAATGATACACTGTATGTGTGTACGTGCCATAAAGGCTATGTCAATGATAAAGAGTTTTACTGAGATATTTGATTTGTAGTGTAACCCCAAGGGTCTAGAAATGGAGTCAATTAAGCTATCGAACTGAATGTGCCAATCACATGCCATCCATTGTGCATTGGATAATGGTCAAATAATATATCACTGAATCTGCTAAATGCAAATGGTTAAGATGCAGTGATAATATCTTAAACAAATATATGGACCATACAGTACATTTCATTATCTAATCATGCTAATGCTAATTAGTAATTAACAGTTATTAACTCTATGCCTACTACTACTAGATCATCATAACTCCTCATCTCCATTAACAGTATCCAATTTCTTTCATAACCACATGTAATTATCCTTTATATGAGCATTGCAGTCTTCATCCCACAATACAAGTGAGGAAGACGGGTTGGATAGGGTCTCACTTACAGAACCCGGGCCCTTATAAATTTGATTATTCTCAATATTTTCAAGACCTACAGATTAATAGAGTATCAATATATTAATAGAAATTTATAACTGGTCCAAAAATAGTGTGACGTAGTGACATTCATATTTATCATTCCATCTGGGACTACATGAAAAATTGACATGATTTTTGTTTTAATTGCACCAGCACTCTTATCTTTCTACTTAGAAACTGAACAGTCTTGTAGATTTAGTTGAAGATTTTAAGTAAACATATTATTTATTTGGCTTAGATCACATACAATGTAGATTTAAAAACTGTATCAATACATCATTGAGTGACCCTTTGATACATGATACCATCATAATCTTCCCTCTCTTTTAATTTTCTATTTGTATTTTCCATTTTCATATAGAAAATTTAGACTAATTTTTTTTTAAAGTATGGGATATATAAGAAAGTAAGAACATTTCCTTGATCTCTACAGATATATACGATCATGATTTTCATTATGAGGGAAATATTGAAGGTCACTGAGAACATTACATCAACATAACCTAAATAGATTAGGGCCCCTATCATGCATTTCAACTCGTGCATTACCAAATGGATGCTACATATTCTAATTATGATGCCGCTGTAATGGTCCCACAGATCCCAGTTCAGATAACTAGAATACATGGTATAGCTATACGACCATTAATTATCCTTTTTCTAGTCTGAATGTGATGCAAAGAAACGCTATATTACAAAACGTCATAAAACAATGTTTGAGTATCCTTTTGCAAGGAAACTTGATAAGGGATCAGGGCCAAGTTCTAGTCTGGACGTTGTTTTGTACAAAAAACGTTTAAAACTTGGCATGGCTTATCAAGGGTGCGCACTGGTGATTGGCCACCAATCATGTCCACTGACCTATTAGAAACTAGTTTCTTGATACCACTTTTCCTTATACAACGTTCTTTCTAGTCTGTACACCCCTTTCACTATATAGTTTCATTAAAGCCTATCTGCACTAGTTTGGCCAGGAGGATTAGACCTCCCTGTATGGTCACTGACACTGGCAGGTGGTTATCTCATTAAATCAGCTCTCAATTAACATAAGAAAAAGGGACCATGGGCGATCAACAGGTACCACTTAGGCATTGTTGGTTGCATAGAGGGCGCAAGTAGCTACAAGTAGTGCAGTCCCACTTTAAAAAAAGTTTTGTATGAATCCTTATAGTCTGAACGGCTATTACTCCATCGCTATTCTCATGGGTGATTTGCATCAATTGCCAAGGGAAAAATGAACAATTGATTATGAATACAATCATTAATTGTCCTAGCAACAGGGAAACATTAATAATTGGTACCCATGCAAATCTATATTTTGCAGGTCCCTGCCGACTCCCTGGAAAGATGAAGGTTGTCTCGACTCAGCTTATACATATTAAATGAGGTAGTATCATCTGCAAAAATATATCACTGTCATAGTTTGTCATCGAGAGCCAGGAGGGGTACTAACTCTACGTAAATGATTTTATGCCCTCCTTGCTCCCAACAGACGAAACTGATACAGGGTTTTGAGCATGCTGCCCCTGAGCTTTAGAATAGTATGTCTCATAATGTAAGGCAAGCTAAGACTGTTCAACAATTCACAGTGCTTTTAAAACATATTTATTTGATTGATTAATTTACTTATTAGTCAAAGAAATTTTCCTGATGCTTTTCTATTTGTAACTTTTGTTCTAAGTGCTTTGAGACATTTTACAACTTAGGTATAATGTGCGATGAGAACTGTTCTAGTATTATTATGCTGATGATATTTTAGGCTTCAAATATCTGTTAGTTCTCCTAAATATCTATAAAGAGGATAAATTATCACAATAAAGTGACCAAATAATGGTACAGCATATATACTTTGAGCCATTATTATATCCTCTAATACTGTAGGACAGTGATGATTTTCAGGAAGATACAGATCATACTCTTACAGATCATCTTTTATGAACATTTTCATTTTCAATGATTTATTTTTAATTGTTATAATCAATTTTCCCCTATTATTGAATAACATTATAATTCACCAGATATAACCTTGACAATAACTGAATAATTAAAAAGAAAACGATCAAGTAAACAATCAAATCATGTAACATAATCTTGTGAACCAATACACAATTGCAAAATGATTGATTCAAATATAACCTTGTATACTGATTAACAGTTAGAAAAAACGGACAACTACATGTATGCCACATATAATGTGACCTTTAACAAACATTCAGTTATTATCAACTACATCACAATGGATTTTAACCTTGTAAGAGAAGTACAGATATGAAATGATGAATTACATAAATTTCTAGTAATGTACCCCTGGGAAAAGATTCAGCGACACAAGGTCACTTTTGTATCAATCTAAAATGGTAGATATTGGGAGCAGTATTAAAACTTGAGCATTAATGTTGCATGCCATTAGGAGAGTCTTTCCTTACACTTCATAACAACAGACAACAAATTTTTCATCTCATATGCATCCATTGTGAACAGATATAAATCATATCTCTTCGCAGGCAGAAGGGTGTTGGCCCCGTTTGAATGGTTTAAAACTGGTTATTAAAACAATATGAATATCACTTACCAATATGAGTGATCAAATGTGAACTGTAAAAAGAAAAGAAAAGAAAACAAAATGATAAAATCTTTTTCAAAAAACAATTGCATTTTTCTCCCAAAAAATCATCTACTAAAATGTTTTAATTAGTCTGACCCGTCAATGTCAGTCCATATCAAAGTGACCGCTTCTCATTTCACTCCAATGTTTACTCTGTAACTAGGAATAAATTTGTTTTACAATTTGTTTGCTCTCATTTTAGTACTTGAACAAAGTGCAAAATCTTTTCTAAAAATGAATAAACATGGGCTTGGATGTCCAAATATATGATAAAAGTTGCAACATTGTCAAAAACAATATACCGGTATGTGAAAAATGTATGCATGGGTGTCTGATTGAGAGGATCATGAACTGTTCAGTCAAACATCAAATTTACTCGACGCAAGACTATTTGCAATTTATTAATTACTACATGAAACGTCCTCGACTTCTGTTACATCACTAGGTACTGATGGACAAAATTCACATCAAGGGGTCTGTTTCAATTTCCGGAACTGACAAAACACCTGAAATTTATAGATTCCGTATCAATATTTGACAGGCAAGAGCTTGCTGACTGACAGTGCTCTGTGCACTAAAACCACTGAACAAAGTCCAAATATTTTCAGGATTGCAATCTTCAGTACACATCCTGGAAGAGGGATAAGTTGAGATAAGTTGTACCACTTGATTAAAGTTCTTTCTAAGAATGATTTTATGTTCCCCTTTTTACCCCCCAATTCAAATGACATAATTTAGTACTGCAAGATGACAGCCATGTGACGAACCTAAAACTTGGATTTTAAAAAATCCATAATTAATAACCTCAACTACAAATTGTTCATGAAACTGAACTACATTCGCATTTGCATTTTAAGCTATGCAATCCAATATATCTTAATGCAATATGTTATATTATATTCTTGAAACTAGATATGATGCATTAGGTGTGAATAACTTAAATAAATCAAATATACTTACAGATCTGGGTTCATCCTCTGCAAAGATAGAAACACAAACAAAGAAAGAAAGGAAAATTAATATTTTGCAAAAAATTCCTAAAGAGATAGGTACAAACAAATCCTCATGAAAAGCTTATCAAAAAAAGATCAAATGATCAGTGACAAAATCTGGTAATCACAAGTCATTGACATATTCATTTAAAAATGAAAATTCATTAAACAATTCAGATGGAAAACTTATTGGCAAACTAGGTGGCTGGTAGGTCTTTCAGGTTATTGTGACACAGTGCACAGATGAAAACATGAAACAAAGCGATTTCTAACAAAAAATTGTCAAAATCTACAGCAGCACCAAGACCTTATTTTTTGTGTAGGACTTTGGCCACTTAATGTCCAAACATCCCTCTGTTCACACATTAGCACATGTAGGCTAATGACTGTGAAAGTTCACTTCTTTATTTCCTTATTTTGGTCAATAGTAGCCAGAGTTTTAGTGACTGCCCTGTCTGTAATTCCCCTATACATGTAGTTGGAACTACAGAAGAAATCCTCTTGGATTCTTGGATAAACTTAAAGATTAATCCCAATTATCTCTTCGCTTTCATTCTTTAATTGTATTCTGAACCATACTTACTTGGGGCTTCAGGATTGTACATCTTGGTGGTGGCACCGGACATCTCCACACAACATTTTGCCCCCCTTTCTTTTTCCCTGAAAAAAAAGAAAAGAAAATGAAATCTAATTAATAAATTCATTTTTTTTTTAAATGACGAGATGGAGACCACTCACCAGGTCTCTTAAAACTACCATATCTTGATCACACAATACAGCCAGAAACTGGCATGCAAAACAAATGCAATTCTTTTTGCTTATTACAATAAGTTTAATAGATCAATTGCATTTTTACAAAACAATACCAAATGTTAACAAACCCTGCAAAGGAAGCAGTCAGAGCTTTGTAGTGATTTTATCCCTGCCCCATATTGTGTCCTGCGGGTTGGAAAAGTATGATTTTTGATCACTTCCCTGGAGCTGATTTTCGTATAAGAGACATTTTCTGGCACCAGTTGCTCTCTCTCTTTTTTCTTCACCAAATTTTATTCTTATTCTGTTCCTGTCTATCAATTTACCTCTGACAAACTCATTGATTAGGTAGTATTATTTGGATTCTGATCTTACAAATAATATGGTTACAGTACAGGGCCGGTTTCTTGGAACCATTTTTAGTCCAAGTTCATGGGGATCTCATAGAAATGTTATGTTTAGGATGTCCAAGGATCTAGATTTTCGACGGTTCTGAGAAACGACCCCCAGAAAACTGAGAAAATTATAAAATGTCCTTACCTTGAGTTGAAAGGTCGTACCCTCACGGCTACTTTGACTCTGTAGTACACAAAAAGAGAGAAAAATATTATTGACAATGCATAATATGATTCACATTAAATATTGTGACAAATTAGCAATCTAAAATATAAATGTACTGGGGGAAATTATACTGTTTTCACACTGACAATATTTTGCTTAACCCCGTACTATAGGTGGGGTTAAGGGGGGGTCTTAGCCCCACCTATAGTACGGGGTTAAGCCTATTCCACTTTCTGTTCAGACTGGTTTTTACCAAAGTGGGCTAAAGTTGGCTAACCCCACCTATAGTACAGGGTTAACTAACCCTGCAAAATAGCAGGGCTAACTCCGCATTTGTGGTGCTAACTCCTGCTAACCCCGCAATTGCGGTGCTAAGCAAATGAATGAGAACAGAAACGAAAAATAGTCCGGTACTACGCAATGGAGCGTATCACAGCTGGCCAGATGCGAAGTATGTCCAATCATAACATTAACGATATCCGGGGTTAACGAAATGCAGTGAGAACAGCGGGGATTTTCTTATTCCGGAATAGGCGCTAGTACGGGACTAAAAACAGCAGGTGTGAAAAGCCAAAAAAATAGTCCGGGGTTAAGGATAGTACGGGGCTAAGCAAAGTACGGGGTTAAGCAAAACCAGTGTGAAAAGAGTATAAGAGGCATGGACATTTTTTATTAAAAACACATCTTACATAGTTCATTGACGACTGCCCGCTGGAATTATCAATAAATGAGTACAAAATGAATGGTCCCCCCCCCCCCAACTCTTCTTCTTCTTCTTCCAGCTAGTATAGTACAGACCACCGTTGGCCACCGTATACCTTGTGCTTGTCAAGTGCAGAGTGCAGAGTGTACAGTGCAAGTAAAAAAAAGCTCTACAAGTAATGAATTTAAACCCCTTTTTTATTTTATTCATGATATAAATATAATGAAAGGATATGGAGGTTGAAATCATCTTTTTAAAGTTTTGCTTATCCCAATTAACTCATCTTTTAAAATACAGAATTACTCTCTAGCAATGCAATGTTGTTTAAATTATCCTCTCATTTGGCAGATCATATTGAAAATGTTGTTATCAATTCTCCCCATTTCTCTACATCTCTCTGTTTCTCTCTCTCGATCTCGATCTCTATCTCAGCTCCCTGTACACCCCGACTGTCTCTCTTTTCCCAACTCATCAACACCCAAGTTTAATTACAGCATGATTACGTTGATTTTTACACTTACGATTCTCCTCCTCCCGACATCTTGGCCTTTCGAGCTCTATCGGTCTGACGTTATTTCAATTTCTGATAACCAGTATATATATATTCCAAAGAAAGTCCACCACAGTTCACAAAATATGATGACAAAAACCACTTATAATGCTGTGGTTATCTCCCTTCCATTTACGTTATGATATCCGACTCAATGGCGCAACACACATGCCCAATGTAATATGTATTTAGTACAGATTTCCTATATGAAAGAGAAACCTCGATCCGGTGCATAGTCTATGGGTATGGAGCGTGTGCGCACCAAGGCAACTGGGTGTTAATTGACGTAACTTTATCGCCCCATCCAAATACAAATGGGGTATTTTTGTTATTACTTTACAAACTAACTATTCATTAATTAATTATTTACCTGCAATAATTTTATATGAATTTTATAAATACAATTTAATCAGATAATTGTAAATAAAAATGTTATATAATGAATGTATCAAAAAATAATTTGAAATCACTATTTAAAGCACCCCCTTTATACAGTGGCCTCGTCCACTAAATGCGGATCTGCGGTACAATGGGACAACAGGTGATTATTGCTGCGGACGTTTGAGAGAAATGGATTACGTAACTTGTTGTAGGCAACGAGTAACAAGTGTTGGCTTCTTGTCATAGCGGGATAAATAAAGAGGAAGAAAATAAAAAAAATAATACCGGTAATTCCCCTCGGGGTAATTCAGGGGAAAATGTAGACCATTGAATGTGTTAATATTAGTATATTATGACGAAATAATGAACGACCTAAGTAATGTTTGATGTCAACCTTTATCTGTCTTTGTAATTCTATGATTTCGATCACTGCTTTAATTTTATAGCTGATATCCATTATTCATTTTATTTGTATATTATGTTTCCATAAGATTTTTCATATCATTTATACTTTTGGTGTATGTTTTTGTAAATGTTGATGTACATTAAAAGTGAAGTATCATGACAAAAACGAAGACAAATCTGCTTTCTACGATCTCGTTTACATTTCTGGGGGAGATACGTTGGAAGGATGAGAAGCTAATATATTACAATTACATTTCGAACTTTACACTACATCACGTCACAGCGCGCGACCACAACATTCCGACAAAAGCAGACAAAAAAGAAATCGATAACATATATAAAGAAGAAAGAAAGAAAGAAAGAAAGAAAGAAAGAAAGAAAGAAGAGAGGAAATTTAACAGTAGATATGGAAAAATAAAATAAAAAAGAAATATGTGAATTGTCATTCCAGCTAGGCTCTTTTTGACATTCAATTTTCTGTGGATCTTTTTTTGTGGATCAAAACAATTGGTCGGAGAGTTCATTAACAGATGGGTACTTGAGAATGTGAAAGGGGTGAGATAATCCTTTTACGCCACTCTTTCAAATCAATATCTGGATATGAATGGGTGAGTGACGTCAATGTGGTGTAAGAGAGTATAACTGCGGTCCGAGACAAAATCAGCATCCATAACGACGGAACTTATAATCTATCATAATAGTAAAGGTCGGATATAAATCGAGAAATCCGTATCATACAAGATTGGGCGCATTGGCGGATATATTTTTTTAAATATGTTTAAACCGGAAAGGGGTCAAAGATGTGTCAAATATCTGAGAAGGAAAAAATCTTCTCAGATTCTACCGTGGGGGTGAAGCAATTTTTCGTGAGAAAGTATCCTCTCTCCATGCCTCTTGCCACTAGAACCAAGTGAACCAAGTGCTTTACTGAATAAATTATAAAATGAGAATATGAGGAAAAGGCAAAATCACGAAGTGCTCAATTTATTACTAAATCAACTCCCCCACCTTCACTCTTCAAGTTTCAAGTTTCAAGTTTATTTTGTTTCACATTTCACAAAAAAGAATTCACATAATTGACAAGATTAAAACATAACATGAAATATAAAAAAAGTGTCACATTATATAATCAATTCTTTGAAAAGACGTCGAAATTAATTGTATTAAATAGTAGGTTATACAGGGTGAAATGTGAGGAATATATTGAAAAGCTCAGCCTGTAGATTATAGGTTCCCATAAATAAAACTAACATTATTTTGATTGAAGTGGTTGCAATGGTGAAGGACGTAACAACCCTTCGACTGCAACCGTGCTATGCTAAACTGCACAGAACTGGCTACAAGTATATTATGTCTCCTTTTCATACTTAATAATGGTTTATTTTCCATACTTTATGATTAAATATATATAAATTAAAACTTTAGTTTTGATGTTGTATTTTCGCTTCGATAACTTGTTTGCATGGCTACTTGGCTAGACCAGGCTAGACCAATTACCAATGTGACCGTTATGTCAATATTCCTGGACTATCATCAAACAGGTGGACCTTTAATAGCACTTGAGGTTGTGGCTGACTGGCTGTTGCTCGGTACTCACGGAGGACATCAGGAAGATCGACGGCCATCACCTCTTAATTAATTGGTTTGATTGCTAGGCATTCTTAAAACCAGTCAAATATTTGTTTGTTTCTAACAACTTATCAGCTATAATGGACAGGAAATATATTTGGTAAAAAAAATGGACCAAGTGGAGCAAGAAGACGGTATATCTTGTCCCCCTTTTCGAACATTTCTTTGCTAACTTTACGGATTTATATTCAAATTGTAATAATCTTTTAAGGAACAGAATATTTAATGGCGTTTGCATAACATGGATGGAGGACGGGTGCTTGAGTCGCTGAAGGAAAGACTTGAGTGCTACGAGTTTTGTGGAGGTATGCGCGCTTAGAAAATTAAATATTAATATTAAATTCATTTTCCATTAGCGCAGGCTGACGAAGCATTTGCTATAACTTTACTACTATGCTAACCTTATTGTTATTATGTTTTCTTTTAACTACTTTATATCTTTCTGGCCCTGCAAATTAGGGAAGGGCATAGGCCGGCTCCGCCCTTCGTTGGAAACTTTTTGATTCACCGAGACAGGTCTCACTCTGGTTTACACATGATCTGTTCTGGGCACTGACGGAGATGGCGCTATGTCGCCTCCATCACGGCTGTTTTCTTTAAGATGGACTTACCTAATATGTTGTAAGATATTATTTACAACTAAAATTGCCATCCAATTGCCCTTAATTATTGTTGGCATTTCCTGATCATTTTATCACAAAAATCCAATCGGACAAAAGACAAGTAGAAATTCATATGATTGGTTCGAGCTGGCCACCAAAGGGTTCTGGGACATTATCCCCGGGATTATTACCCTGGTAAAATCACAAACGAGACAATTACCCTAAGGATATCTACCCCCCCCCCCCCTCCCCGCGGACAATTACCCGGCGAAATGAAATAAAACCAACTTATTATCAGGGTGGACTCCCCCTTTAATGAAAAGGGGGTAGTCGTCCAGGGGTTAATTGTCCTATATAGAGGGTAATTTTCCGGGGTAGGGGGTAATTGTCCTCGGGGTGGTTGTCCTTGGGGGGTAATTTTTCGGGGGGTTATTGCCTTTGGGGGTAGTTTTTTCGGGGGGTAATTTTTTAGGGGGGATGATTGGCCAGGGGATAATCGTATTGATACACGCAGGCGCGTACGCAGGATTTTTTCAAGGGGGGGTTTTAACATTTTTAAATCGGGCCGGGAAAATTTCGCAACGACTCAGCCAGCCGCTGAGTAAGGGGGGGGGGGGGTAAGAGGAGACTTGTTTTTTTGTTTGTCTCGAAATGTGGAAATTTGATATTTTGCTCCGTTGGGGGGGGGGAGGTCAACTTTTTTAGGTCAGTCATTGGTATAAAAAAAAAATTTAATTAAAAAAAACAAAAAACAAAGGGGGGGGGTTTCCTCCAAAATACACAAATAAAAAATACCAAGGGGGGGTTCAACCCCCCCCCCCCCTTCCCCTGCGTACGCGCCTGGATACACGTTTGAAGTAGTGTAGGCTTACAATTTTGTTGGAGTTAAATGATGGATGTCTGTTCTCTTTCACGGATAGAAGAATATGTTGTAAGTTATACATGTTTTTAAAATCTTGTGTAGACGGTTATAGTAACCTGGGACTAGTCGATTGAAGGTCCACCAATCTTTTGTCGCCGCCAAGCGCTTTTAACAATTATTAAATTGCTAAATTATTGTAATCATGATTGTATGAACGTTCTCCTTTGTTCCTCAAGTAATATGTTTTTGAGAACTTATTTTTGTTTTTCTCCTTTTTCAAATCACATAATATGATTTATTTCAAATACCAATGCTTTATTTCATAGCCTATGGTGGAGCTGAAGTCACTTGCACTAATACTTATCAACTTTCTAGTTCCTAAAGTTTTAGAGGAAACGAAGCGAAGCGAGCGAGCAAATAATATTTGACACATTCATTTCTAGTGGGAGTGCAATTTTGCCATCAAAATATACTATATAAAATATAAAACTACCTCGACTCTATTTTTAACCAATAACGAATTAAGCTCTTGTACTCTTTGCAGAATTCGAAAGCGCGAAATATGTTTACCCATAACTCACAAGATATACGATTGATTACCATAACAGGTTAAACGTTTCTTGCTATTCTATGAATGTTATCGTTACAGGCTTGTTGGCAAAAATAATTGAAAGGGAAATGAATCATATGAGATATGGAAAGTGAAGTAAAAGTATGCGTAGAGAATAGTGAATATGGAGGAACATGGGACTAGTGAGGGGGAAACATCGGTGTACACAAATAAAAAAAGAAAAGTGTGATTTATAAATAAAAAAAGACTAAATAAATCACGACTATTACTTACCCTTCCCCCTTGTTCGACATGTTTCTTGATATTGCACACAATAAAAGATATATCTATTTACAACGGTAAATCACGGTATATTCCCTGCCTCCATCACAACCTGAGCGTTCCGCTCCATTTCGACATAACCGTCTCCATTCCACCTCCATCGGTTGACTGTGTCGTCTCAACGATTCATGTCACTCTCAATATCGATTCGTTTACAAGAATAAAAGGGTGCGAATCCATTATGCATAAGTCATGAAAGAAAACAAAAACGTTGCTTCGATTTGTTTTTTTCTTCTAAGCGAGATAAGGATGAATGACAATACTCGAAACACGTAAGGAGAAAAGAAACGTGGAGAAAATCGATAACGCGCGTGTTTCACAATGAAGGCAGAACATGAACTTGGCAAGGGGTAGATGACGCTCGACGTTGACATGGCAAATGTCAAAGGGGTCAAACACAACATTTTGACAACACTAGCAGGTGGAGAAAAAAACACCTGGGAACAGTCGAATAAACGTGGTATGAGCATCGGCGAGGATCGGGAGGTTGGTATGAGTATTCAAACTCTAATTTTTCTTTCCCAGTTTAAGATTATTTTGTTCTTTGATAAGTATGTTATGTGCTCCCCTAGCCCATTCATATCACCTCCATAGTGCCTCCATATAGGAGTTGACAACTTCTTCCTCATAGATTTCATTTATTTACATTTTTCTCCTTGTTTTCATTTCCCCCTTTTCCCCTCTTGTCCCTTTCTTTCTCATTATAGTCTCACACGCACATTCTCTCCGCCCCCTCCCCTCTCTCTCTCTCTCTCTCTCTCTCTCTCTCTCTCTATATATATGTATATATATCTCTCTCTATCATTCACTTTCCCTCCAGTTTTTCTCAGTTTTTTTCTTCTCTGTCATCTTCTGGGGTTTTTTTAAAAACAAAACATGTCTCAGTTTTCCCTTCTTTCCCATTCATTCTCTTTTATCTTCATGAGAGAGCTCTTGTACTGTTTATACGCCATTATCCTAATCCCCCTACCGGGGCTCTTGTTGTAAAGGTAACTGTGTCTCTGGTATCAAATGTGCAGGTCCATTAATGTATAGTGAAAATGATTGCGTGGTACAGTACTGTACTCTTTGATGGGGGTGGAGAGCAACATTTGAAGATTTTCGTTCTTCTTCAGACTGACAGAAAAAGGATGGTTTATCATTTTCTCTTGAACTGAGATGACATTAATGAATTATTATTGTAACAAAATAGTGATAAATAACTTCATTATCATCATCATCATTATCGTCATCATCATCATCATCATCATTATCTTCATTATCGTCATTATTATTATAATCACCATCATCATCATCTTTTTTATCATCATCAATGTCATCTACATAATATTACCACCATTATAAGCCTTATAATTAAAATCACAGTCATCAACATCATCACCATCTTATGAATATAAATAGGTTACAGAATCATGTTTTTGTTAATTCTAGTTCACATTGCTATTAAACTCTTGACGATTATTAACAGTCCAACTCTTGAAAGATACATTAGCAATGCAAGTTCTTGAATATTGTAGGGCTGTGACAGTCGTTTTATGAAATAAAGAACGCGAAATTTTATTTCTCATAAAATGTAAGAAATTGTCATCTCCTTTGAAGAAATAACATTCCTTTTAAATCACGTTTACGTCAATTTTCCCTTCACTCAAAAGAGAAAAAATTACACGCACACATTAATGTCATATCACATCTCGTTTATACCATACAACAGTACGACAAATAACACGGGGGAAAATATACACAAATATTGAAACACATAGTTTAATATTTCGAGCTTTCAGTTTAATAAAATCCAATATCAATATCCAACTCTGTAAATATCATCAGACGATTCTCACGCAACCCTCTATAGTAAACATCGATATTATATGTTGAGTAATAGACCTTGTACAATAACTTTCAGCAAAATAATGTCATCATTCTACAATGAGTAAGATAAGAGAGAAAAACAATCAAATATCAAAATCGGTAAATGAGAAAGCGCTTTTTTAATTTAAACAAAAAAGAAAGGATTCACTCCCAACCAAGGCTCTAACTACATGAATGAATTTTTGTGCAAAATCTTCGATTTCCTTCTTTACAATAAAACTACTTTAATGACAGTCCGCATTGTCCAAGTTGAACCCATTCCGATCCAAGTCTAAAGTTAATCCAGCTTAAACTTTCAACCCCCTCGTTTATCAAAAATGTGAAGAGTAGCGCGCAAGTATGAAAAGGGCATGTTTTAAAATTGTTCATAACATAATCGATTTTCAGAATGGGTAAAGAAAGACCGGAGTTGGTTTTGATGCTATTAATTGATATATTGTTACAACTATTGTGATTTTTTTTTAATCACCAGCGTTTCCTGAAAATAGATATGAATCTGCCATAAATGGTGTTTAAATAGTGGTCAGCGGTCATTTCTTATGTATCGCGTTCACCCAGCCCAAGCAGCAACAAGTCTACAACGAGAATCACTATCTTAACAATATTCACCTACAAGATAATCATTCCTGTTTCTGCTTCTTTATCCCTATCATTCTGAGTGGGACAAAAACTAACGAGAAATGAAATTTATAAACCTTAACGTGTTATGAGAAACTAACTGTCAGAACCTGCAAAAGAAAACGACTTTGTAAAATCAAGTGAAATGGAACAGTGCAATGAATTGTGAGTTCTATTTAATTCATACTTACATAAATAAAATTACACAAATGATCCCTATAGCCACAATTTTCCCAGAAAAAAAAAGAAAACAAATTATAAAAAATACGATGTCTCGATGACCAAACCTTAAAAGACAACATAACATTCCGAACCTGAATGAGGAATGACAAATAAATGCTTATTTCGTAAAGACAATATCATATTTCGTACATATAAACAATGAATATATTGAAAACATTGAAATTTGTGATAAAAAGGAACAATATCCACATCAAAATTTGAATATCTAAAACCTAAACAAATAAAAGTAAAAAAAGAACCTCAACGAAAAGATTACAAACTACTAAGCAGCATTTCAGAGACTTAAACATCATTGTTTGACAAATTTTTTAAACATTGAGATGAAGGGAAATTTCCGATTTGTAAGCAACAATGGGAACACCTGTTTACAAATTGTTGAATAATCATATTTCTGAGTTGCTAATACTTGAGAATTCTTGTTATCCTTTTCTTTCAGTAACTTTTTAAAAATAATTCATGCAAAAACTTTTGTCTAAATGAAAGGCCTTGGTTTAAATTGACAACGTTTGGGGTATTCAACTACTTTCTTTTATTAAGAAATCCATTATACTTGAAGGAATCATGAAAGTCATAAAGGAAATAAATTAAACAAAATAATACTGAACTAATCATGATGAAACAATTTTTTTTTGGTGCAACTATAAAATGGAATGGTTTGGTACAAACGACGAGGCTCCCGAGACTGCCCTCTACGTCTTTCATGTTCTGCAGATGACCCTGTGCAGTTCGTCAACACTGAGGACGCCATCACCATCACTGTCGCAAGATTTCATGATCTGAGTAGCTAGGGCTGCTATTTCTGAATCGGTGGGGATCCGTTTGAGCCTCTTCTGCACGGGATGGTAGTTTAACATATTCAAAATTTAAGCCGGTATTCATTGAAAAAAGCGCATTAACTTTAAATCAAGTTCAGACTTCCATTAAAACTTCCGCTGATTTATAAAACGCCGATTAGTAACTTCTTCAGTGATCCACTGATCTCTACGAGAAAAAAAAGTGTTCGTAAAGATCGGTGTCTTTATCCTGTTCAATTTCACATTTTTATTCATGACTGGATTAATTTCGTTTATTCATTTCATTGCAGAATTACGGTAATTGTAATAAAGTACGAATGGGTGATTTGTGCTACATAAAGCAGTAAAACCAAGTTTGATTTAATCAGCCTTTATGAATACAATCATATTTCCCCTTCTTTTTTATAAACTAAAATGCACCATTATGATATCAGTACTTTTAGATGTAAACAATACAATTTTGGGGTTTCGTACGATAGGAGGGTCTAAAACAATATGTGTTTAACAATACTTTTTCTTCTTCAATAGCTTTAGGTAATGTAGATTATTATATCCAGGGTTAAGTTGGTAAGGATAATATTTCAGTTAAGGATTAGAACAGTACACCACTGTTAATGACAACAATATTACCGCATTAGTTTATGAGATACATTTGATTGGTCAAGATATTATTTCATTTGTTAATTTGTATCTTACTGTTCCGTTGTTAACAAGTCGAAAAAAGACGGGAAACGGTTCATCAGCAGATAGTTTTTTTGTAGTAAAATGACAGATGCTTGAAAAACAATTGTATGTGACCCCTATTCTTCAGAGTTCAGACTATCAAAAACCAAGCAAAGGATCATTTTTAACAACAAATATGAATTATTCTCTTTCTTTTTAAAATTTTAAGGCGGGTTACGGCATTATTGCGCAAAGCAAGTTGTAATGTCAGCATTTACATGACGACGTTCGAGATGGGCTGGAAAAGATCCTAACGCTTTGTTATGTACAAATTGAGATGAAATGAAAGCACTTGATGAATTGCACAACAAAAAACATAGAATGCTTGATTATCTTTCAAATTATTGGAAAGGCTTCGTGCGACCGAGCGCTCGATGGCGTCTACATCAACAATACTAGAAAATTATGATTTAAAGTGATGTACCAGCACTTCCTAATACGGTGTAACAAAGCAGATATAGCCTTCTTACGCTCTTCAAACACCTAGAACTTCTGCTGATCAAATAAAAGGAAGATCTTCCTTACCAAATAAAAAATGAAATCGACAAGGAAAATGAGAAATGAACTCACCACACTAACAATTATTTCCTGCGTGAATACTTGTTCACGAGCAATGTTACGTCATTTTTAGATGCAACCACGTTTATGCATAGTCTTCAAATAGTTATGTTTACATACTTTTCAAATAAACTACACCATCTACGTTGAATTTGTGACACAGAAAATGCGATGAATGCTTTTTGGGCTTGTCACCACAGACTATTCTAAATCTAATTGCTATGATATAGGCTTCGTCTATCTTTACATTGAGAGTTTTGGGTGTTATCATTCTCCCATTTGCACTGCTAAATGTTGCAGTCGTCGTAATGATTTTCCAACCGACGTAATAGGTGCTCATATAGTTTGAGTATATATTATATATATCATGATAAATGTTTTTGATATAAATATTTGTACATGTGCTAGTAAAGTGATACATATTTTCCCTCAAGTTTTCTACTATATACATAATTTTCACTACTGCTTTCTAATAAGCCCTGTAAACGAAAAATGCTATGGACACCAGACCCATAATGCATGTTTCAAAAGCAATGCAGTACAAAGCAAAGTTATGAACATGCATGCGCGTCGTCGACAATTATCGCGCAAGCGCGGACACTCCTGTTCATATCCGATGCCCTCGCGCATGCGCCTGATCTTAAAACATCGAGTCACGTGACAGGGTCAGGTGATCTGTCCCATGTATGACATCATTCTTGGGGCTCTTGACAGTCACTAGGGCGGATGAACATTTCAAGTTCGGTTTTCTGGATGATTCCATCGCCGTTCTTATCGCAGACCTTGAGAAGCATTCCGCAACACTTCTCCAACTCGGTCATGTTCAACTCCTGAGGGTTAGAAACGATTCCAAAAAATATAAAAGGAATATGTTAGGAGTTAGATGGGGACACTTGGGTTACAAGACAACCTTTTTAATCATTGACTGCTTCACCAATGTTAGGAAGATAAAGTAACTTGGAAGTCATAAGAATTATACCAATTTCACTTATTCAAAAGAAGGACTAAAATAGTTATGACTTAAGTTAGAAACCATTCAAATTACAAATTTCACGAAATAAGAATAATGATACTGTCTACTACTACATATACTACTAATGAAGATGATGATAAAAAATAATAGCAATAAGAATAGTGATAACAACAACTTTTAGATAATGATTATAAAAGCTAAATTTTCTATTGCATATGTATCCATCCCAGTGGGTGCTCAAGGCGCCTACAAATTAGTATTATTGCCCTCAGGCTGGCTTTAGCCCAGCTGCCCTAAGGCACTAAAAGCATTCAAGGAATAAAGTCTGACTAGGTACCCATTAACTACCCCTGGATGGAGAGTGGCAAAAGCGAAATAATCATGGTATATTGCAATAAACTGTAGCCATTGTGCACGGCACCTGCATGTCTTTTCAAGAATTGTGCAATTAATTTTGTTTAAACATACACACATCCCTTCTCATGATTCTCATCACGTTACGCGTCGTAAGTAGGCCTACAGAGGTTTTTAATTTTCATTTAAACCACTTTGTGATACGAAAAAACCGCTGTAGAAGATATATCACTCGTGTTTGAACAATTAAATATATAAATTCGTTTCCCTCAGTTAGAATTACATGACATGTATATTGACACTGTTTTATAAAACAGACAACATATTACAAAATAATACGACATCGTACAACGGGGAGAATAAATGTTAAGGTTAATAAGTATTACGGAAGGAAGAATAATGGGAAGGTTTTTACCTCATTGCCCTCGTGTTCCATGAGATCCTTAAGAAATCCATTCAGCTCGTCACCCTCGATTGTACCATTCTTGTCCTAAGGAAAGGAAGTGAAAAAACAAAACAATTTATTACTAATGATTAAAGAATGTGTTTGTACTTTAAGTCTTTTTACATTAGTAGCACAAATCGCAATTAACAGGAGTATTCTTGCAAGGAATGGAATCGTAGTTATTTGGGCAGCTTTAACATAGACTAGACTAAAGTTAAAGGTTTAGATATTTTACAAGCTGTACATTTAGATTTCTTAGTGTAGGTTAACGGTTGCCACATTGGGTGCCTAGTTGGGTGCCGAGTATCGTGCCGGATTGGGTGCCGAGTAGTGTGCCCAGTTGGGTGCCGAGTTAGGTGCCGGTTAGGATACTAAGTGAGGTGCCTAGTGGACTGCCGAATTGGCTGACGAGTTGGGTGCCGAGTCGGATGCCGAGTCGGATGCCGAGTTGGGTGCTGAGTAGGGTGCCGAGTAGGATGCCCAGTTTGGTACCCAATTTGGTGCCAGGGTAGGTGCCGAGTTGGGTGCCGGGTTAAGTGCTGAGTTGGGAGCCGAGTTGAGTGCCTGATAGGGTACCAAGTTGCGTGCCAAGTTGACTGCCGAGTTGACTGACGAGTTGGTTGCCGAGTTGGGTGCTGGGTAGCGTACAAAGTTGGGTGCCAAGTTGACTGCCGAGGTGGTGCCAGGTTAGGTGACGAGTAGGGTGCCAAGTTGGGTTGCGAGTATGGTGCTATATTATTTGATGAGTTGGGTTTATAAGGCTGTTTCGGGCACGAGCTCAGCACAATTCAGGTGAAAACGTGGAAAAATCTCGAGATAAATCGCAACAATAGCAATGTGGGACAATGCAATGAGTTATTACAAACTCTGCTAAGCAACCTTGGGTCCGTTCCAGAGCTTCCCATGAGCCTCGACGAGCAAACCCAGCACCCAACTCGTACTCCACCCAAACTTTGCAAGGTTTTAGATGAAAACAAAGCAATGAACATTAATCAAAACCTGAGGGTTTCATTTCCTACAGCTTACCTTGTCGTAGTAGCTGAAGACACGTTCAAATTCTGACCGAGTCAGTGTCTTCTGTCCCTGCGGATCAACAAGAAATGACGATGGTATAACAAGGTTTAAATTGATTATACCTCTTGGGTTGGTTAGTCAAAATGCATACAAAATTTCATTCTTATTGCCTCGAAGGCTTGTTATATCAATGAATGGGTGCCAAACAAACACAGACTATGAAAAGAAGCAAGTAGCGCTTCTGGTGCTGGTAATACTTTTAGTGTAAGCACAGCAATGATATGAGATTTTCCAGTAGACTTATTAATCGTACTTCATGTCTTTGTTAAGCAATCATATATTACATTAAATGATAATCATTCACAGAATGTTAAGTGCTTATGTGATTGTTAAGAAGCGTGCGGATCAATGACTGTGGTTAGAGTAACGTAGGCTATATACTGCAGCAAAGAAAATGTAATCACTTTTAAGACTTGACAGTACTTTCTAATTGATTGATTTAGAGTGTGCTGTAGGAAATAAATCGAATTCTAACAGACAAATGAAACTACTGAATGTAGATATTATGCATTGTAAAAGAGGGTTAGTTCCATGATAATGCATACTATCACATGATACTCCTGAGATTTACCGGATAAAGCGAAGAATGTATGAAAATAGTATAAAAATACCCCCAAAATCTCTCAACGATAATAAAATGTACTAAAAGTGATGACATTTATTAGTCAACAACCAATATGGGTAACCTCTTGAAATGAGCATAATGGTTGATTACATGCAAGTTTCCCAAAAATTATTCTTCAAAAAATAGGTTAGTGGATTTCACACGTTCACCTCAGGAATATTGAGTTGTTCACACTGACGTGTTTAGCGCACGTATCGCTTCTTTGTGTTTACTTCAAAGCACGAAAAACTCTGGAAAGATTGCACTTTCTCTATGACTTTGCTTGTGAACGCTCATCGGTGTGAACAACTCATAAATATATCATTCATTTTTATTAACAAAATATCATAGATTTGTTCAAAGAAAGTGCAGAGGTATAATGCCAATATAGCGTGCGTGATTATGGCTCTCAAGCAAACGATGCGCTGTACTTAGGAAGGCTCGTTCACACCCAATGCCATAAACTGCTTCAAAAAACCATCGCAGTAAAACAAGATGACAAGCCTAGGGTATTCCACTTTTATGTGTCTTATAAACACAAGGGAATTCATTACTTGTGATTAGGAGTGTTTTATTACCCGCGGCTGCTTTTATTCTCGTCCATATATTATTCCTTTACACACTAAATATCTTTATTTTACCACTGAGATTCTTTAGGCGGTTTATAGCGTCATGTGTGTGAACGGACCTTAAGGGAAAGAAAATCAGAAAATCGAATTCGGGGGGTCAATAAACTCAAGAATGGGATGACCATGCTATCGATAAATGCTCAGAATAAGGTTGTGAGGTTAAAATGTATCTTCAAGATACAACAGCAAAAGCAAAGAAAGATATATCCGAGGGTTAATAATCTTGAAGGCAACGAGCGTCACTATAATCTGGAAATTAAACAGAATTCCATGCATGAAAAAGCGAGATGATATACGTGAGTGAATAGAAGTTCATCACCTAGCAAAAACATGCGTATAATGAGATGAGACTCCAATCAATAAAAGAAATCAAACGCTCAAAATATAAAGTGATAAGTAAGGAAAATAGAATAAAAGTACATGCAAAGTTTCTATAGATGAAACAATATGATGTAGATAAAAGTGATTTTCAAATTTCCCGCCACTGAGGACCGTACGTCTAACAGATTGAAAGTGAACAGACGACCAACTACAAAGAGTGCCCCCATTCCATTTGATGTTACCATAGCAACGCCTTAATTTGCAATGTTGGAGCTAAGAGAAATCTATATGCATTTTGTGTTCTACATTCATTATTAACAATCTATTGTCCCACTGAAGTTCGAATTTTGCTTATTCTCACGAATAAATGACCAAATTGCCAGAAAACTACAAATTCCCTACACAGTTGCTTTTGACGTAACTTTTTATATTCTATTTTTGCAACTGAGGAAATTTGATAAGGGAATTATTTGATAGAGGAAATTATCCTTTTCGAATTGAAACTGTAAGGATGATCTACTAAAAATGGAAGGTCTAAATTATCGGAAAATGCCCCCCAAATTGACAATTTTTTGAATTCCTTTTTTGTGTAGACGTGTCGGGCAATGGCGGCCTACTTACTGTTGTCCCGGGCAATAGACCAAGCGATCCCTGTGTTGTTAGTCGATAGAAGCGATAAAACAAAATAACGTGCAAATATATAGAATTTTTGCGGATATATCGGTAAACAAATCATTATCTCTTTGATCAATTGCGTGAGAAAGAGTCGTTCTTTGATATCCGTATTCGTCAAACAGATATTTCAAAATTCCGGATCGGATTGTGGTGATGCTTTCCTATGAAAAGACATTTGAAACAAAATTGAGATTTTGTAGGAGGGGGATGCACAATGTAATAACTTTCTCATGAAATGCCTGATAGACATGTAAAGAATATTACTTTGTCAAAAGTAAAGTGATGAAATGACAAACACTTCAAAAAGGTGGAAAATAATTGACCAAACACGTATAGGAATATTTTCCATTTACAAATCAGAGAACGCCACCTCACATCGAAACAAATAAAGCTCTAATGTAAATCTTCCAACAAAATGTTCGATACAATACAGATAGTAGCATGCAGCGGCTTGATATATTTTTCTTGAAGTTACCAGTATTCCTTTCCCCTGGCTGGCGCCACTCTGCCCCGTGATTTTCTTGGTGAGGAAATAATTAATTTTGTTCATCAAATTAGAGTTTCTGACGGGCATTTGGGCCCTACGTATTTTTAATAATATTTATATTTATACCTTATCATTATGGATTAACCATAGCTCGGGGAATTCATGGGAGTCGTGTGGAAAATCTAATATACTCTTTTAAAATATGTTAAAACTAAGACAAAAGAAATCTTGCATCTAGTACACAAATAAATTTAGCGTCAGACACAGGCTTGACCACCTACATTTTTGGCAAAATACACTACTTGTTTTTATAAACCGTACAGACTTTTTTTTTTATTACAAATAGCTTAAAAAGGCACTTCGGTGATGTATTCTCATTTTTCATCCATTGCTATGCACCCTTTTCATTGCCTCTGCTCTAAGGTTTTAATTACAGCTTTATAAGCTAGATCAGTTAACTTACATTAAAAAAGGAAAGCAATTTTATTATCTCTTTCTTCTAGTATTCAGAAACTACACAATATGAACTTTGATATACAGTATGTTTTGATTTGTGATTACATCACACAACAACATAGTGACTATATTCTAACACATGAAATATGTCATTTGTAGAGATAAAGATTATATGATAAATGTATAGATATGTAGCTATAAAGTATTTTATGTTTTGTTGGCTTATTTGCTCCTCTGAATAGGAAAATGGACTTTCTATGATGTATGTCTATGACAAATAACACTTTTTGCAAAACTGTAATAGTGTGTGATTTTGTTCCTCAGCTGTACATTTCCCATGACAGTCTCATTTTATAACGATAAAATACTTATTTTCATCATGAGTTTGATTTTCTTTTAAACATATTTCCATGCTTTGCATTTTTCTATTACCTGTATTTGATATATGTATAATCATTGGGTTGCATATAAACATTGGGATGTAATATTGAATGGCTCAAAACTACCTATTCAAATATATTTTTGTTATGTTTTATAATTATCATGTTATCATTGCTTAAATAAAAATAAGTTTTTGTAATAATAGGGCATCTATTTAATGTTATTTGGAACGATTAGGGGCGGATCAAGAATTTTCAATGGATGAGGAACGCAGTTCTAAAGGGGGCATCCAACAAGCTGAAAATGGAATAAGATAGTTAGATGCCTTTTGGGTCGACCATATTAAAAACGGGGGCATGTATTTATTTTATGTACTTAATGTAGCCACACTTTAATGTTTTTGTTAAGGGGAGGGGTGGTACATGGGTATGTTGTCCTCCCTCAACCCGGAAGTACTTATATAGAGGTGATCATTGAAATGAACACAGATTTTTAATAATTGATGCATTCATGTATATTGACGTATTTTCATCATGAGTTTGATTTTCGTTTAATCATATTTCCATGCTTTGCATTTTTCTATTACCTGTATTTGATATATGTGTGTCTCGTTGATTTTGATTGAGGGGACTGTAAAAATACCAATGCAAACCAACAGAGAATCTTCAGTAAAAGATAACAAGGAATAGAAATCATAAATATCATAATAATGGTAGTAATAATTATTTATAAAGAATAAAATGATGATAATAGTTCAATAATGATGATACTGCGTATGAAAATAGTTGTATGATTCAAAAATAATATTGATAATGAATGGTAATACAATTTGTAATAATTGATGTTTTCGTCATAATAAATGATAAATAACTATAGTCATAATATCAACAATAATAGGAATAATAATGATAATGATAACAGAAATAATAAGGATAGTGGACACGCTAATAATAAGGGTTTTCCCTGTCAAGTCAACAAAATCAGCTTTGAAAGTCATTTTTACACCTCTTTTTCAAGCTATAATATTCTTGTTTGCTCCTTTGCTTCTTTTTAGTTTTCACTGTCATTCGTATTTATTTTCCAGGTGCAGAAATTGAACATATATTATAGGTTAATCTATCGTTTTTCAATTTAAATAATTAATGATATCGTTCAAGTGTGGGCTTAAATGCGGGTGATATTAATTAATATCTGCTCGGGGCGGCCAGACAAAAGTTTAGTGCGCGGACTTATCTGAAAGTTGATTGCCTTGTCTAATGAAAACTAATTGTTTCGGCCAACATCACGCGAATAAGATACAACGAGTCTCGTTTACCTCTTCTTCTCCCCCACCTTTCTCTCTATTTAAACACATTCTACGTTGTGTTTGCTTTTCCACTTTGTCTAATTTCTTTGAATTCGTATCTTATGAAAAATTTATGTAAAAGTTTAATTCCCTTCTCCAATATGACTCGTAAAAAAGTCACGCCTACTTCTTATAAGCACAATCATGCTACTAAAACTACGGTACATAAAGGATCATGATTCCTTTGGTATATACATGTATCTAGGTAACGTAGGGGTTACTCGTTCATATAGACTAACAAGATATGTGGTCAAATACTTACTGATCAAACTACCCAACACAACACAAAACAAACCACAAATTAATATTTTAAAAATAATTAAGAAAAGTTCTCACTGGTTTTGCGACGTTTGCCTAGCAGCAAAGAACAGCAGTGTAGAAATAGTTTGACATTATTTTATGAATCTAAATCAACAAGAACAATTTGTATACTTTCCATGCCAAACAGTGACATATTGTTTCATATTTAATCTAATTTAAATTATTTTCTGAATTGTAGGCTTAGAGAAATCAAATGATACACTGGTTGCTATGAACTTAGGGACGACCTTTCTGATAAGTGGAGGACTGCGAAAAATCCATAAGGATTGTTGCCCGCAAATTAAAAATTGTGATTAACATTATTTCTTTTGGCTGGAAACTTAAATTCAGTTGATGGAAATTTTTCCGAATTGTGAGACATTTGTGTCAAAACCCCATTTCAAGTGACACCCCAACGTCTCAGATGTTGTTTTTATCGTTGTCGTTGATGATGATAATGATGTTGTTGTTGTTGTGGTGGTTTTTCATCTTAATCTTGTTGTCATCGCGTATAATTTCAATGTTGAAGTGATGAAAAAAAGTAGTAGATGACTATTTTAGTGTACTTGTGTCTTCGTGTATTGCATTGGTAAAATGGCGTAGACACGTATTGGCCCTTATTGTATTTAGAATAAGATGTTTTCATCATTACCCAGTATGAATTCATAATATGGGTCCAGGGGCGTAGCGTTTATTCAGCCTAAGAGGGTATATTAATTGGTATCATGGGGGCAGCAGAATAACTAGATGGATTTGATGTGACACAAAAAGAAGGCCATCTGGTGAGAGGAGGGTGCGGAAGCAGGTCATATCATCTTATTTTCACAGTCCTTTTTCACTTCTCCTTTCACTTTCTGAAAATTTGTTTCCATCAAAAAGGCATTCGATTTAGGGGCACATACCCATGTGCCCCCCCCCCCCCGCGGATACGCCATTGCATATACGTGTCTACGCCACTTCATTGTAGTTATGAAACGATGACGGTCGTAATTATCATATCTTGAGCCTTGAGGAAAGTGTTTATACCATGCACATTATACTGAATATCACCTTGATTATAATTAAACACGGAAGATTTGTATCGTCTCTGAATAAATATTTGATGATATAATATCTTATTATAATATTTCATAAGACTAATCCCGTTGTATATTTGAATAATTATGTGGCATACACAACACAGTATACATTACCTCCTCACATCTTTTCTGGTTTATGGAATGAAATATTCATGGTTGAATTAGTAAATTTACATTTATGTGGGATAAGAATACGTCTTTTTACAAAGCAGTTTAAGTTAAGGAATATTACTTAGGGAAGGAAGACGCTTATGTCACATTATTGCCCTTAAGTATAAGGTATTTGATTTAGCATGTTCGTTCTGAAAGGAATTTAAGAAAAGATTTACATTCATTTGAATTGAAATTAATTCTAATTTACATTATATGAAGTAAACACATATATTATGGAACAATATAACAAACATTTTAAAACGACTGATTACTAACATACATTCCTCTAAATGTACCTAGTTATTTGCTTATGCTTAAGGGCCCTATATTGCAAGAGATATTTCGATTATAAAAATAACAGAAGTGCAAAAAAAACCTGTCTACGTACTAATCGCAATTTCTTTAAGAACCCTGAAATGAAGATTTATCACGGCAAAACCATGCTGCTTAGATGAAATTGAAGTAATGTCGCCATAAGATTACTTAGAAAAGCTGTACGTTCAGCCTTTATTGTTGGAAGTGAGATAGTCTTAATATAAGACGTTAGATCGAAATGAGGACAAAAATAGTTTTGACTAGACAGCAGACGAGTGCAGAGTAAATGGACAGAGCTAATCGCGAAAGGATCGAGTTTGGAAAGTTGTGAGAAAATATTCCATCTAAAGGAATCAGGCATTCATATCAGATGAGAGAAGAGACAAAAGATGATTCTAGGGGAAGATGCTCATCAAATGCAAATGATTTATCACACAAGGAATTCATGCCTTATGTCGCCCTCTGTGTTCTAAAATGACACATAAACGTGCGAGGAAAAACAAATCACATTAATTTTTACAAGGTAACTTTCCGTTATCTCCTTAAGTAAATGGGAACTACCGAAATATGAGACTCTTTCTTTCTCTTGATTTTGTTAAACTTTCGCGATATCTGAATGGGAGGGTATATATTCCTTTTTTTAATGTAATAATTGCCAGTATATCTACGACTAGGCTATGTGAACTGAACATTCAATACATAAACGGATATTTTACAACACAGCGACGACAAATATTAAACAATCCTAGATTTAAAACTCCAATTTGAAGGACATTTGAATCTGCATGTGACCTGCATTTTTGTCTCACTAGGATAGTTAGCTTAACCGCTGTAGTTATTATATTGGGAGGAAACAATATAATTTGACCTACCTGGAACTGTTTCAAGAAATTTTCCTTGGTCGGGAGAAGTCTGAGTTAAAACGATAAGAAAAACCACGTGAAATAAATTCGATGGTTAAAACGATAGAAAAGATCAAACTTTCGAAACATTATACAGACAAAACAAGAGAATTCACGTCCCATGTGTCCACATGTATTTATTTAGACAACTTGTGAAATTTAATGAAATAACAAGAACAGCACTTTGAACTATTTACGCTCCCTCTTTTTACGTCCCCCTCCTCTCTACTTTCATCCTCCCCTCCCAATTCTCTCCCACTCTTCCTTCCTACTTCCTTCCCCCTCCCTCCATAATCTCCCCCATTCCCTCCATCACTCACTCCATCTCTCTCTCTCTCTCTCTCTCTCTCTCTCTCTTCATCTCCAGATATTTTCCCCTCCCTCTCTCTTTCTACACTCTTCTACATCTTAGCTCCTGATTATAATATGGTAGAATTGTTTGCTTCTCTCGGATATCTTACTTGGCCATTTCCTTCAGTTCTAGTTTTCCATCATTGTTGGCATCAAACAATTTCAACTGCAAAAGCAGAAGGAGAAGAAGAAAAGAAGGTAACATGAGATTAAACTACATTTCTTGATATTTACATGGAATAAAAGACCATGAGACACAATGATATATGAAATTGATAGCTAAAAAGAAATTAGAAAAGCTAACAATATAATTAAATTAAATTTACATTTGTTGGTACTTATATTACAAAATAGTGACCGTGAGAAAGAAGATTACATGGAATTTATCAATTAAAGATTATATTTCTTAGAAATGGAATGAGCTAGGTTTATTGAGGTTTGAGTTTAAAAACAAAATCAAATAGAATTATAATTTTAGCTTTACTTATCCTTCAAAGAGTTATCTAATTTCTTTGTTGTGGACGAAATCTTTAGTCTATCATTGCTATTAAGTCGCATTGATCAAAATGAGTATACTATTCAATTACAACGAAATTCTCATTTTGTCTCTTCCATGTTTGATCTGTTCTCGAGGGTATTAGTTCCTCATATCATTCAAATAGAAATGATTATGGAATGTTTATATCAAGTATAAATGCGAGGACATAGTACTTACTATCGATTTGGCGTACTCATCTAATTTGTCGTCAGATATATCACCCAACTGATTCTTCGTTATTAAGTGCTTCATGAAGCTCTGAAGGAGAAAAAGAAGAGAGAGAAGACGAACAAATAAAATTAAAAACATAATTAAAAATCTTAAAAAACAAAATTGACAATGACATAGATTTGATGAGTTTTAGAGTTGATTTGTATTGGTGTTGTGGTCTAGTGGATAAGTAGGGATTCAAATCGCAGCCAGGCACTAACGTCCTATGGCAAGACGATAATCTACATAAGTAATCGAATATAAATAAAAGGCTTCAGGCTAAGGAAATGAATTTTGATCTAACAGACAAATCATACTGTAATCTACTTTTAAGCAAGTGAATTTCAGAACTTTTCCCGCAAAAATGTCAATATACAATGGAAGCGATGAAGAGCCTGAACATTCATGTTTGAATTCAACTGAACATATAAATCAAAATTGTAATGATAATGAATTAGAAGGGTTTTGTTTTACCGTTGAAGACAGATGAAATATAAGATATTGCCTCTGATGAGATTATCACGGATGAATTATTTCAATGCAATATTAGGTAAAATTGGGGGGGGGGCGGGGCATTTCGCGGGCATTTAGCCACAGAAGGGCACTATTACTCCAGGCGCAGAATGTCACCGTCATCGAAAGATATACTGCATTCCAATATAGGTGCGATGACGCGCAGGCTGTCGAAAACTGATCTTCAGAAACAAACTATGGGATGATTTTCGAGATGCTATTGAGATGTCGATGAGATGGGAGTGTTTACGACTGTTTAGACTGGGGCAACCAGCCAAACACTCAAGTGCCGTTCACAATCAATTACACCACTCAATCAAAATGTAGCAATATCTTTCACGATTTATGTCATGCCACGCTGATCATGACTGACCGATGTGTTATTGGTTTCAGTCCGAACGTTTGTTAGGAGAAATCAGTGGTTTACGAAGGGAGAGGGTTGGAATTTGTCCCATACTTTATCAAATGGAGAATACTAAAATTTAAATATCAAAATATTTCACCTTTTGTTTGACGAATAAAGAAATGATAGTGATATCACATGAGGAGATAATAAAGCGAATGGATAGCATTTCGCTGTCCATGTGAAAAAAATTCCGTTCTTGGAAACATAATGTGAGATTTTTCACCAAGTAAACAGTGATTTTTTTTCTTCAGGGGATGGGATGGGGGGGGGGGGGCTATTTGGGCAAATGCGTGGGACAAAGACATATATCTTGTTCATACTTTTACTTTTAAAAAAAAGTAAAATCTTTTGATATGACTATTTAATGTCAGTTCTAGTATTACGCTTTTCCTTATACGTCGAGATCTCTTGCTGTGTATATGAACACCTTGGTATCATAATTATGAACGTGCTGTCCCAACGTCGCTTGATATCTCAGTTCACTAAGAAACACAGCGCGAGATGTCACAGAAAAATAATTGTATGGACAGAAGAAATGGATTAAAATGAAGCCTGATTAAAATATCAGGTTATAAAGGCGGTATAGACATGGTCTTGGACGAACTTTCAAACCTTGAGTTCATTAACTTCGATGAACCCGCTGCTGTCGGAATCAAAACGCCGCCAGATCTAAAAAGAGGGAGAAAAGGGGGAAAATAAAAACATCTTTCCTTGATTGCAATTGAAACCAAAAAATATCCCTATCAGGTAAAGGCTAAAAAGGCTGTTCTATAAATATACATGTATTGATATCTTGTACCTGATAATACTTCTTTATGTTTATAAGAACTTATGCGGTAGTGAGAACTTAAGGATGTCAGAAACACTGCACTCGCACAACTCATATCTACGTGTACGATTATAGTATATTTACACTAAACTTTTTATTGTTTTCCCCCTCTGATTAAGAGGGTATAACATTGGTTTATAAATTAAAAAAACCTTTAGACAAGTTAATGATTTTGAAATGAGAAGGTAAAATATCAACGATGACAACAATATAACACAATTTTCTTTTCGGGTGCCCTTTTGGGAAAAATAATTTAGGGTGCACACTTTTCTATATTTTTACTTCGGGTATGTTTGATTGGGTTTTAAAAGGGAGTATGGGTCGGTTATGCCCCTAAACTTGCCAGTGCCTAATATAGGATTCGATGTCTTACATTCTTAAAATACATAGTGGAAGTTTAGAGATTCTAACATGTAAAGTTTGGGTACAAAGAGGCATGGTGATGGTTAATGACTTACCTCCATGAATTCGATACTGGATAAAGGTTGCTGTGAGCGGAACAAAACCAGGAAGGACTCTTCTGGAGGAAGAATTTCAGCCAGCTGGTATGGTGCGTGAAAAGAGACAAAGAATACAGGAAATATATAATAGAAAAGTCAGCCCAAACATGGTCCACCACACCTTTTAAGTATAATTAGAGTCTAGTTACATACCCGAGCTAATGTTGAATAATCAGAATACGGGCTGTAAAAGAAAATAAATGTTGGCGTCCTTGGGAGGGGAATTTGAAAAGGGGATAGCGAATTGGTGAATAGATAATTGAATGAACAATATCTTGATTTATCGAAAATAATTGACATATTTACCTATTATCCGTATACAAGAACATTTCTATATACATCTTAGAAGACTTGACAAAGTATCATTCTGCACAAAGAGTGCAGCTTATAACATAATAAATAAAAATGTTTACCTGATTCTTCTACCAATAAAATATAATAATCATTTGGTGGGAGCAGAAGAACAAAGAAAATACACAGACAAACATAATAGAAGTTACACAACGATTTAAATGTACATCTCGATAGTCACGCAGTGGTTTTTTCATTATCATCGTGCATAGCCTGTAACCATGAAAAACACCCTCAAACTGTCTGCCGGGTTGCTTGTGTATGTTCACACGTATATCGGAGAGTAGGGTACATGTCGACAAATTGTCAAACATCGCTAGCTCCAGGCGGCAAAAACAGAAAGAAAAAAAAAGATCATTTCCCTTGCAGTAAAGATTCCCGACGCACCCATCGATTGCCCCGCTCTCTGTCTATACACTGTTCTTCCAGTAAATAGCTGCTAGTTTCAGACCCCCACTGGGACATGATTGCGTGTTGTACAAATATCGCTGAGTACACTTTAATAACTGAAGTACTCGATTATATTCCGCACAACAATGCAAATATCAGAATAAGACTGTCGTCAGTCATGTAGTAGTGTTGACGATTAAATTATCGATGTCTTTTTTCTTCTTAAGAATGTGCCGCCATCTTGTGATGGACCTAGCAGGCTTTCGACCTCGTCTTTCATTTAATTTCATGTTTTTAAGGACATAATTATTAAACAAATCAAGTTTATACAAATTGGAGTAACCATGATATAAAAAATACAAAACATTCATGTTAACAAACAGGGCTCAGTTTGCATTACAGAGATGCAAGCAAAATCTTTAAAAAGAGAGACACTTTTTGTTTGAGGCAATTTGAAATCCTTGGAAATACATTTCAAATCTAACATTCTGATGTGCTGTGGAATTTGTGATATGACCACATGTTTAGACATTTGAATAAAACAAACATTATGACTATGATTGTTTAAAACACTTCCTTTTTCCTTTAACCGTTTTCAATTTCTCTTCGTTGATATAGTAGACTTTTATGAGACCATTTTTGTCCTGTGTCATACGAATCTGTTCTATGAAATTCGAAACATTTATTTTAAATTAAAAAAATAAATACAAAATAAACGCTTCCCTCTGTCTTTTCAGTTTTTATCGAATCTCACAACCTTTTCAAAGAAATAGCCCTTAAAGTTATGTGGATGTTGTGAACCAAATCTTAAAGCAAAGGTAAACACAGCAGTAGATGCTTCCTTATTTTGTAAATACGAAATCATGATTGAGGAGGTATTGCTGGCAGAACATGATTATAAGAAAGGGTAAAGTAGGAAAGAGACTGAGAGATAAAATCACATATACAGGAAGAGAGAAAAGGAAAGAGGGAGAGGATGGGGAGACAGAGCGCTAGGAGAAAGAATACGAGGGACAGCGAGAGAGTAAAAAAGAAAAGGAGAAAGAGAACGAAAGAGAGAGAGAGAGAAAGAGAGAGAGAGAGAGAGAGGGGATAGAGAGAGAGAGATAGAGAGAGAGAAAGGAATGGAGGGGAAGAGAGGGGAGAGAGAGAGGGGGGTAGAGAGAGAGAGAGAGAAAAAAAAATGACTGTAGACAAACAGATAAATTGGGCGATGCAGCAACGTATAATGCGCTATTTTGACCGAGTTAGAATAATATCGTACCCTAAAAACATGCCCCGATGTATGGAAGCAATTTTAATGCCTATCTTTAATAATTCACTCTTCTTCCATAAATAGCCTTCAATTATTTAGATGTTCCTCTTGGGACAGTGTATCCGGGTCTCCCTAGTCTGTACCCCATGCATAATTATCTCACATATTCACCCTCTTGATGGCTTAAATGGAATATTAAAGAGAAGGCTCATGAGGTCTTTTAAAGGTGTATACCTATGAGCTTCTTCTCTCCTTCGTTAATTTGTCTGTCATAGTTATGAAAGAATATCATAATGAAATTGATGTGAAAAGGATTGCTCTTAAAATGCCCTCATATTACAAATACGATAAGAAATAGATAAACTTTGGTCTAAACTCTCAGGCCACAAGCATTTATGCATTCCAGCATTTAACCATATCTGTTTCGAGTGCTTTCCCTTGTTGTTGTTCCCTTATTGCTTGTGATTTTAATCAACAATATTTTAGTCTTTTCATTAAATCCCAAATCCCATGATACGACATAGCTCGCGCTGTCAACTTAATCAATCATTCTGAAGAATTTCCAGACAGCTTATCAAAATCATCTAAAAATAGTTTGCTGCAAATGCCAAGGTCTTTCCCATTAATCCATGTTCTCTTTTGAATATTTACGTGGATATGGTGTTCGAAAGCCAAGAAGTATGTTTGAATAATAAAAATGCTTGATTATTTCGTCCTTCCGAGTTTACATCGTAACATAGGCTAATTGAATTATATAAAAACATATTGATAATAAGGACCATATTCCCGGCTGCTCACGAAATGACATCGAGAAATCAGTCGTATGTACTACATACTCTTTAATCATTAAATCTAAATAGGGAACATAATATAATTCAGACTCCTTTTTTTTTTTATTGTGACTGTTTTTCTAATTGCAAACATGAAACGACCGGGGGATATAACAACAACTGTCGCGTGCAGTGTTTTGGGATAGACTTTCTCACACCGTTGGCTAGGAGGGGAAAGACAGAGCCAGAGGAAGAGACAAACAGATAGTTAGCTAGATAGATCATTATATATATATATATATAGAGAGAGAGAGAGAGAGAGAGAGAGAGAGAGAGAGAGAGAGAGGGAGAGAAAGGGGGACAGGAAGATGAGGATTGGTATACATGGTGTAGGAAGGTATAGGTGGTGAGAGGTATTTACATGTAGGTGCATGGAGGGAGAGAGGGGGAATTAATTGCAGAGAGAGGGTGCTGCGTGTGTGGAGACTAGGGGTGAGTATGAAAATTGAAGTTAATAAAGTGAGAAAGAGAGAGAGAGAGAGAGAACGGGAGAGAGAGTAAGAGAAGGAGAGAGAGAGAGAGAGAGAGAGAGAGCAGGAGATACAGGAGACTAGGGATAATCATAATATTCTGAAGGAACATCAAGACTGCCGCTAAGATAATTTGAAATGAGATTAGCAGGGAGACTAGAATCCACCGCTCCTTGACATATAAGAAGTGAGGGTTCAAAGACCCTTGATCATGAAACTTCAGATACCAGTATGTATCAGTAATATTCTAATCAATTTACTCAAACATAACATCACACTATCACACCATATTTATTAGATCATTTTCAGGGAACACTGAACTCAACCGAGGTAATTGGACCAGCAATAAAATATATCATTTTAATTCTTGAGACAATCTTAAACTTAACCTGAAGGAAAAAAAAAAACAACGACAGGATAATAAAGAGCTCATCTAAGGCTACATACATAGTATTTTGAAGTGATACCACAGACTATGTGAAATTGAAAACAAATGTAACGAAAATAACAGAGTTATGGAAAGCATAATTAAACCAGGAAGGGGTAAAGATAAAGGGGAAACACTGGATGATATTTTTAAGGAAGAAAATAGACAGGGGACAATAAACAGGCATACGTATTTAAAGAAAATATTAAAAATAAGGGCAGAGATTATGTTGGTCATGGGAAGAGGTATAGATGTATGCAGGGTTCTGTATACCCCCTCCCCTCCCATCTTTTGATCGGATGATTATGATTAAGATCATAAAGGAAGAGAAAGAATTGACAATATTTTACCTCTCTCATCTCGATCTTTCCATCCTTATTCTGGTCGTAGCGAGCCATCATTTCCTTGAATCTGTCCTGAAATTCACTTTCATCAAACTCCTGGGAAAGATACAAATAAAAGAGTAAATAAGCGATGATGAATATCACAATCAAGTTACGAAATCAGTCATTTGAAAAGGTATCTGTCATATAAGTGGAAATATATTTATAAAGCATTTAGACACATCGGAGATGAATCAAGTGATATATAATTCCAGAATATTATACATTTGATCAATGCGGATGATGGGTTAACAGTACCGGGATAGACAAAAGAATAAATAAAAGTGAACAACAATGATGAATATCACAATCAAATTAAGAAATCGATCATTTGAAAATAATATATCCGTCATATAAATGGAAATAATTATACCTGAATGCGGTTAGAGACATCATGGACATGGTAGATACATTAAGTGATACATAATTCCAAAATGTTATCAATGTTATAAGTACGAATGATGGATTAACGGTGCAAAACATCCTCCAGACATGCATATCATGATGTCGTATCGTGGTTTTTAGATTTTATGATTATTTGCATGAAATTCATCCTCATAATCTTGTGCTGTATATATTTATACTGGAAGGAAAGGTTTGCAAAGGCTTTGGCAAATGTATTTCTTATGCGTTACCTACAACACAATGGCAAGGACGTTCAAGAGATCAACTCAAGGACAATTTCAATAGTTTAATTTATTGCCTGAATAAATCATGTTCTGATTATGTCATTACAGTGCTCGCACAATCAAAAGGTGACTCACAAAGTCTAATAAACTTTATACATTTTCATGACTTGTTAACACTGTTGAAGGTTGATGAAACAAATTGCTTAATTTTTGTATAAAATGTTACTTACTATATTCCTTCTACTGTACTAACCCTCTGAAATGCAAAAAATTCCTGAAAAAATTATAAAACCACGAAAATATTTATGGTTTTCTTTGAAGGCGTCGATGTACGACACCCTCTAACAGTGATTAACAGTAAATTCTCCCAACCATTTTTGAATTTTCCTGACCGTTTTTCAAGGAAAAAAGACATAAAACAGGCTATAAAAAATTTGTCAACACTTAAATGTCTGGAATGGAATGTAGAAACATTTTACTGCTTTGTGAGATTTCCATTCAACTAAAATGTAATTAAATAGTAATAATATATAGTTGGAAGAATTAAGGAATCTATCAGATCAGTTTTTCTCAATTTGTACCATGAAAAATGGTCCGTTTTCACTCAAAATTTCAGATTATCTTTAATTGTACATCTAGCATTGAAGTCACTACCTTAGTACCACTATCTCTCATCTGAACAATGTTACCAAGTCCCTTTAAGAATCTGTGATGATTTGAGTAACCCTCGATCCGTCCCGCTGTTTTTAATTATAAACAAAGATGCATGACTTAAAAATCATTTAATGCATTGATAAGACATGTATTGTGTATGTCTTGATGAATCATTTTCCTATCCATGACTCGATCTCTTTTTTTTCATTGCAAAGGGCACATTAACGATACCATAGAATATTACGTCACAGAACCTGATCAAGTTGCTGCTCAATAAATTACCGATTCCTCATGCATGCCATGATAAGTGATTCGCCAAATATCAAGCCTTTCTAACTCCTGCCGATGTGTTGTGTCTATTGACGTAGTCATTCAACCTCGCAATCGTACATTCCATGTTAATATCAGTCTATTAAGAACAGGGGTGGTGGATCCAGGATTCTAAAGGATGAGGGGGGGGGGGCGAACGGAGGCAAGACCTGAGGAAAAAAATATCACTTTTTGCTCTGCCTTTAGGCTCTAAAACTGTGACGGGGACGCAAGAACACAATTGTAGAGAGGTGCGTTTTTGTACTTTGGTATCAAAAACTAGTTGTTTACAAGAGGCATGGAGCACCCTTTTCATCCGCCGTCGATTATTAATGCCTGCTCTGAGTTTTAGAGTTCTCTGCTATTAAAGACGGTGGCCATTTTGAGACGGTCGTTTCGCTCGGTGACGAATGCCTGTCGTTTATCACGTCTTGCCCGTATATGAAAATGATCAATATTTATTGCGCTCTCGTCTCAGCCGCACCGTAAAAGCCAATTTAGAGGGGCTTTCATTGTAGTGATCTTTCTCGGTACTGAGTCTCTCTTATTACAACTTAATCTCCCCATGTCACGTGACGATGCATTTTCTCGAACTTCATCTCCACAGACGATAATAAATCAAATACAAAAATTCGTTAACCTAGAATCAGTGGTAGTACGAATTCATCACGTGATCACTGGCAGACTGATGCAAGCCTATTGCTTCACATAAAGGTTGAACATGGGAAAGTCCAAACTCCGGTCCGATGCATATCACCGATAATGAGAACAATAATTTAATTATAAAATCGGTCTTATGAATTTAGTGTCGATAATATATCAGGTATCAGTGTTCCTTGCCGATTTATGCTCATGAACCTTTTGCGCAGATTTCGCTCTTCATATGCAATACCTCATCTATCCAGCGTAACATTGGTTATAAGTGTCGTATGAAAGCAGTCTCTATGAGTATAAGTGGAGACAGACAACACATTTCTGAATCCTTAATTTTCAGCAAAAAACACATAATGTTGCTCAATCTAAGCAAGTTGATACCTCTTTATCAAACCTTGGGTTTTCCAATTGTTCTACCCCAATACCCTTTGTTTTCTACTATTAAAAAAACACCTGGTAGCCTACTTAAATATAAACGAATAGACTCAGAAAAGTCGAGGTCTGTGATGGCGGACAAAGATATATATATACTACATGAAATCAGAGCTACAAACCCCCATGGCCACCGTGCATGCATAATATACACAGGGTATGATGGTGAACAGTGGGTGCTTAGAAGGCGCCAACTAAATAGTGAAGAGTGAACCAAAACCATGTGAAGCGTAGTATTTCAATCTCTCTCTGACTCTTCTCTCTCTCTCTCTCTCTCTCTCTCTCTCTCCTTCTTCTCTTCTCTGTATCTGTTCTCTCTTTGTCACTCCCCTTCTCCCCCTGTCTTTAGAACCCCCTCCCTCCCTCCCCTCTCCTTATTCTACAAATCCATAGAAAAAGAGAGTTGTGGAATAACATGATCGCCCAAGTCGATTGATATGGCACCCAGAGAGAGGGAGAGAGGTAGATACATCGATAGAGAGAGAGAGAGAGAGAGAGAGAGAGAGAGAGAGAGAACAAAAAGAGAGAAAGAGAGGAAGAAAGAGAAAGAGAGGAATAGAGAGAAAGACAGGAAAAGAGGAAGAGAGAGGGGAAAGAGAGAGGGAGAGAGAGAGCGAGAGAGAAAAAGAAGAGAGAGAGAGAGAAAGAGAGAGAGAGAGAGAGCGAGAGAGAAAAAGAAGAGTGAGAGAGAGAGAGAGAGAGAGAGAGATTGTCCTATATCGCCAACTCCTTTCATTCTCATTTTAAAGTGACCAGGATATTGACATTTTACAAATAAAATCAGAAAGTCATATAAAATTAAAAGATCACACAAAACAATATAATCAACAACAAACCAATAAAAACAACAAAAATGAAGGGATAAACTGAATGTTGTCCGTCAATTACTGTCTATTTTCATTTCTCCATAAGCTGTTGGATACAGCTAGGCTGTTGGATACAGCTAGGCTGTTAGACAACAGTAAGCCTATCTGCTATCAGCAGTAGATGTAAACGTAGTTTGAAATTTAGGTGAAATTTAAAACACAAGTCGGATAATCACGTGATGGCTAGATACGATAAGATATCAAGATACGATGTCAAAACAGTTTCTTCCCCCCCCCCTCTCTCTCTCTCTAATATTATCTTCCCACTCTCTCTGTTATCTCCCTCTCTTGACCTCTTTCTATCTCTCTCTATCACTCTTTCCATCTCTATTTCTCTATCTCCCTTTCTCATTCACACACACACACACACACCGCACACACGCACACACACATGTCCACACGCCAGAATGGGGGATTATTTGCTTTTCAGTTGCTTTGCTCAATAGAAGAAGATGTGGTCAAATGATTTATGTATGAATTAATGGGGGCTGGAAAACCACTGGACAGTGAGCAAACAACGGAAATGAACTAAAGCTTAAGACACATCAATCGACCGGTCACAGAAACCACCATTCAATATGTGATTTCTTCTTGCTTGGTAATTCAATGCCTGGATTACTTAATTCTCCCTGACATACATCAATATTGGCTTTGTGAATGCACATTTTCCACTCCCTGTGGAGCATTTCAGCCAGGCGCCATAATACGGACGCTCACAATGATATAATCCAACCTCGATGACGTTCGCAGTTTACTGGGTACACATTTAACAAGTGGATAGCGAGAAGCAAAGTAAATAAAGTGGTTTTGCTTAACGTCATTAGATTCGTGCCGGGGATCAAACTAATGACCTTCGCATTTCCATTGAAATGTTTAAACCTCTCGACCACGATACCTCACTAAAGTTCTCCTTCCTGTCTTACTGCAACCTTAAATAAGAATAAACTTTATTGCTTTATTTGGTTCTGATTCTTATTTCAAGTATTAAGGATTTCTTTCCCTATTTACACCACGGTAACAATAATATTGATAAGCGAAACAATTTGTTTGTCAAAAGGGAAGTCACTTTTCACTTATTCTTTAGTCAACAATCTTCATCCTGATGTGAATTTCGAAAAATCAAAAACATTAAAAGATCAATAATTAAGTGACGCATGACACTTATATATAGCCTCGATCTGCATGATCAGAAATGAGGTGGGGACTTGTGATTCGGTAAGATTAAGCCTCTATTCCGAAAGGGATGTGCTATTGCACGATGGCTATAAGCTATTAAGAAGACAAACTGACATTACGACATTGGTACACAACTCTTGGACCGGTTACAGCTAGAAAATAGGATGAAATGACACAACTGTTGTCAAATGCTAAAATCTACCCCGAGGGACTGATACAAGAAATAGAAGAAAACAATTTGGTTCCCTCGTTGGATAATCATCAGGAAAAGGAGTAGGGGCTTTGGACTGTGTGATGTGAAATGCCCCAGAGGTGATTTTTGGCGGATGGGAACAGGAAAAGCTGTCAAGAAACGAAAAGCATTGCAACATGGCAACACAAAGTTGGTCGCATGATCATTTAACTGATGGATCGCGACTGATTTAATAGGTGTGAACAGCCTCTATCCCTCTCTCTATTTATATTTATCCCTCTCTCTCCAGCATGTTCCGTTTAACAACAGAAAATAGAAAGAGAAAGGCAGGGTTTTGATAATAGGCAAAATGCAACCGGGAAAAAACATCATGTGTATGTTACACGAAGCTTGCAGTCTACATCAAAAAGGGATGTAAATTATGTAAAACCTTTTAAAAACATATTGTCCAACGAGTGCAGGATGGACGCTTCGCCCTCTTCTAAATAATGTTTTCCGCAGCCCATCTATGTTGGTCTCTTTTCCCCTAGTTCTAGTTCTTTTAATGATAATACAAGACTAGAGTTCCATTCAAATAAAGAATAATTGAAAAGTGATAGAACCAAAGCTAGTCCTAACGATAGTGACTTATTATCAGGGTCATTCATTTCATCTTTAAGAATGTTTATAATCATTATTTTCAATATCACGTTCATTTAAGTCTATCAATCAAGTTAAATATCAGATTAAACCGACCCCGAACGAAAATCTGAATCATTTTGTTGTTTAATGATTGAAAAAAATTAGTAATCACACAAATAGTGATAACATACAATGATAGTTTGATATAATTATTTGTTGGAAGACAGCGATAAAAAAGGGATACATTCACGCATTGTATACTAGCCAATATTTTTTTCTTTTCAAGAATTGGTTTTATGAAGTGCAAAGCTTCATAAAAGTGGCATGTTGCGTTAGTACGTATTTCAACCAGGAAAACATCATGAAGTAGAAGTCCAAAACGAAAAGATAAATTATATTGAAAATATCTTGAGCAGGAAAATCCACTTATACAAATTACATGTTATAACTAAGGGGCCAAAAAAGGCGATTCGCTTTATTTTGACCGTCTTCGCAGGAGACTTACGATTCACAGTTTCACAAAATTGGTGCAAAAATGTATAAGCGCTAGTATGAACACACCTAAATGATAAAATGACGAATCAACACCACGATATCGGCCTAAAACAGTTACAAATTCACATTACCTTTGGTAGAATATGTAGTCCCTGAAGAGTTTTGAAAGAGATAGGCGGAGTAACAGCTGTAGATAGCGAATGTTGCTGGCCGACTATAATGGCAGCTAGAGCAGTAGAGACTGTATATTCTATTTTTCTCCCTCTAATCCTTCCGTGCCCACACAATTTGTGAGATTCACTGATGACGGTAGAAGTAAATTTGGCAGATTTGATAAAGTTATCTAAATGGTGTTGAGGCAGCATGTAGGAGAAAACACTCGGTCTGCGCATGCGTCTTGTTATCACACTTTATGTAAATATGGTGGAATGACGATAATGAGTTCCCTTACTACTTGCACAAACATGGGGGACGGCGACGCTGGTTACACGAGGGTAAAAGTGTATTTTGAAGAAATTTGGCTTCGAATTTATCACTTTTTTTTTGGGGGGGGGGGGTGTATGTGTGTAAACTAATCATGTATAGCGTATGCCTATGAATATAATACAAATTATATCCATTTAAATTGTTAATGGGATAAGGACTACATCTTTCTCTAGATAAAGAGAGAGGGAAAGAAGAGGGGGAGGGGGACAGGAGTTTGAAAAGACATGTAGCCGAAGAGGCTTAGAAAAAGATTATTTTAATTTGTTAAATTGGCAAGGTTCCCTATCTTTCACCTTTCAACCTGCCAGATCTAAATTTAGGAACTCCTTGCGTTAGAACATGACACGTGAGCTCGTAACGCACCTTGGGAACTTCAACATTTTCTACAACCGCTCCACCTGCCGAGACACCTGGCATCCTTTTGCCTCCATAATGGCTGCCATTTTATCACCCATTTTTAATCGATAAGTCCCCATCCGATGTAATGTCCCCCTGTAGCCTTTCGTTACACATGATTGTTAATTTATTTTGTATCTTTTATGTTTCAACCTTGGCGCGCGCGCTCTCTCTCTCTCTCTCTGTCTCTCTCTCTCCCTCTCTCTCTCTTTCTTTCTCCCCCCCTCTCTCTCTCTCTCTGTGCCCCCCCCCCCTCCTCTCCATATTTATATGCAGTTGACGTAGATGGGGATTTTGTGAGGTCAAAGTAACTTTGTCCGAGGGGTAGTCATAAATACTTGATAGGAGGAAACGCGCTGCCTCACTCCCCGAAGACAAGGGGGTATGAGAGGAAAGGTGTGACACGTACGTTCACATGCGAAAGTTAGTTGCGACCTACATTGTAACCTATTAGTCCTTAATCTATGACGTAATCATATACAGAGACGTTTTGTAATTCATGGAGGAGAGACTATTTCAGAGCTCACATGTCGTTTTAATGTCTTCATTATTTCCAATCATGAAACAAACAAAACAATCAAAATGAAAAAACCCGTTGCTTTAAAAAAAAAGGGAGCACGTTTCGAACTTCACAAACAAACCTGCTCTAGCCTTTGGCCTCGTTAAATCACATTTCACAAAAAAAACTTTTGGTGCCCCCCTACCGGCACATGATACCAATGCCTCCATCAAGGCTCGACCCAGGCTACGCCATTGCATGTGAAATGCCCCTCGATGAAGACTCTTGATCATGGTGGGCCTAAGAGCCTTCTGTGTTACAATCAATCAAAAGTTTTTAACGACAGCAAAATTAATTGCTTGAGACCTCGCTGCTTTGTTATTCATATTCCGAAGAGCACGATGGAGTAAATATTTGTGATATAGCGCAGGTTATAATGGTGGATGCAAAAGTATTTGGCGGGGGGGGGGGCTCTATTTAATGTGCGACAAGATTTTTAGTGTTTTGTTAACGTGCTTTGGTGGTTTACTTATTTACATGTGTATTTATTTACTTTTTCACATCTATATTATTCAGGGTGACCTATTCAGTACATGAAAAAGTTGTCCGATTAGAATGGTCTAAAGTTGCTGCCAGAGGCACGACAAGGGCACATTTCCCTTTTCATATATTCAAAAAATGTATTCTCCTTGAGGGGCGCCCCATGCCCCCCTGCCTCACTTGGATACCCCTAATCCCACATGTTTTGTAAGTAGGGTCCTATAAACGCCTTTCATGGGTGCTGGGCAGTATCCGTAGAAGGAGAGGGAGGAGAAATCTAATTTCGTGCAATGAAATAGTTAGCATATTCTCTGTAGTTTAAAAAACAACTACAATGATAAGCAATTCAAAATATTTTCTCTTTTTCTTTTATGTTATGAATATATTCTTCAACCACAACTGCACTCAGACTGTATAAACATATAGACCTACTAAGAAGGTCCATGGTATAAGACTTCTCCACAAGTTGCAATGCGGGAGATTCATTGTTTCATATTCAACTATCTTCTGCGTCCTACATCTCCCATATAATATATACACCAGAGCCAATGTTCGGCGTCCCATATCAGCCAGTGGTGTTTGATAAGCACATGAATATTACAGCCTGAGGGACTCTTGCTAATTTTCCCCCTATTTTGACGGCCATCTTGGTTGGCACGCAGAAGCATGGAGGGATGATGGGAGTCTCTTGTTACCCTTGATCATGAATAATACAAAGACGGGTGCATCTCTTCCTCTGCTTGCTGCTTGTACTTTAACGCCTGCCTTGTGTCATGGCCGGTTAATTTCCAGAGTCGGTGTCTGGTTACAATCTCTCACGGTTGCACTTGACTGCGATATTAGCTTCTCGAGGATACCTTACTTTAAATTGTACTTGACTGGTCCATGCTGTAGCAGTTGGCTATGTTCAGCCGATTCGTCTAACGGACGACATGACGATAACACAGGTTGATGTTAACAAACCGAGCGGCAAACCGAGGTAGACATAGATAACCGACATCCCGCCGACTGTTCATGTAAGACAAATTTCTCGCTCCTCTAAAGATCAAGTTTATCAGATTAGTTCATCGGTCGAGCATGAAAGTGTGTGCCATTTGAAACCCGAAATACACTGCAGTTTATGACGAATATGACAATCTTCCAAAATGCTGGTTCTCTTTTCTTCCCTCTCACATTTTTTTGGTTCATAAATTAACAGTAGAAACCTGAAACCTTTGAGGTATATACATTTTGTCATAAATCTTGTCATGTCAATTTAAAATTGACTAATTCCGCCATAGCCTATATCTCTTCTCATTTAAACGTTAACTGTTTCAACATGAGATCACTAAGAAACTATTTGATTTGAGTATCAAATATGCTAAACGACAGGATCTTCAGCATATGCATATATCTTGCAGTAAATGATATGCAGATAACTCACAACTCGCTCAAAATAATATCATGCTTATAGATTAATGATATCTGTAATGCATGGCATATTATCTGGGTAAATTTTTTTCATGTTGATTTGACTCTACATTTTTATGCCATTCCGTCATGATTTTTTTTTTCATGAACGACACAGACCTTCGAGGATCGAGGCAAATCTAATACATACGTCAGAATAAGATAAGAATAGGTAGATAACGGAATAATTCTTTTTCTTTTCACACCCACCCACAACGTGCTATCACATGCCGATGAAGTATCTTGTCACATGAAAAAGCTCAGTGTTAATGCATGCATGTGAGCGACTGTACCGCTGCTATGGATTTTACTAATATTCTTACAACAACACTCCTGATTTTCTTTCAACTGCCACTACTTCCTGTTTCCCTATATTTCGGATTCAAAACTCCTAAAGCCGATATATTGAGCACCGCAGTGCCATGATAAACAAGGTAACACAACCTTTAGATTTTTCCTCAGGATTCATCACATTAATAAACAAATAATATGAAATCCAAGAGCGGATGAAAGCAGGTTAAGAGATGAGCTCGAGGGACGTGCCTCTCTCTCCATCATGCAAGAGTAAGACCGCATGTGGGAGTATGGGATATAATAGATCGACTCTCCTTGAATATGCAGGCCTACGCAGTCTCTCCGAATAGCAAATGTGTATGAGATATGCTGCATATAGCTTACAGGCTAAAGCACAAACAAACTTCCTAATTTATCCAAGCCTGTATAATTATGCCTTATCACACGATACAGACACATATGTTTGTCCAATCTTAATGTATGCATGCTTTGGTTGTTTGGTTCGAAGGATATATGCAACATTAATGAGACCAGAATGCATTCCTCTGGGCAAAAAGGTGTTTGTGACAGAAATTTAGACTTTGGAGAGAAATCGACCAAGAAAGGAATCTCCAGCAGTTTTTCAAAAGAAAACGGCTCTATAATACAGCATTTGAATGTCAAGATGTGTACTTAGTACTCACACGACAAAGGCAGTACTTCTCTAAAAAAAAAAAAAAAAAAAAATACTGCAAAACTATTTTTAAAGGGGGAAGGAAAGAAAGAAAAAGAGAAAGCGCGAAAAATTAAAGAAACATATACGAAGTCATATTCTGCCAATTATTTTCTTTAATGTTAAAGATAAACTTGAGTTCTGGTAAAAAAAAAGAAAATGAATTCTCACAGGATCAAACGAAACTTACACTGAATGTTCAAGATTACAAATAAATGACATGTGCCAAACAATTTTGGAAGAAAATGTATACTGGCTGAGTAATGAGCATAGAAAGACCAGGAAATCAAGGTAGTACTAGCCCCGACACCGTGTGTGTTGTCCCATATATAGCTTTCTGTGTACAGTGCTTGTTACTTTACCAAGACTCGGTCAAATTTATTATGATTTTGATGACTCCAGAACCTTGCAGTGCACACCAATACTTACATGCTACTTGATCAACTGTTTCTGATCCTTTCCACACCTTTTCTTTCACAATGCAATCGCATTACCAGTACTAAAGTTTATCTTTAACTAGACTCTTAATATACTTGATATAGCTTCATCCTTTTTCCAAACAAAGCTACGAACAGGGAAATTAAGCAATTATTCGACTGTCAGATCATTTCGCTAGGGGAACACAAACATACATACAACACTTACATAGAAAATTATGTCGTCACATCTCCGGGCATTATTTGTACTGTGTAAACAAATGCCATTGATATATCTGTTAGGTCCATGTAACCTCGGTGAAGCCAATGAACTGGCTGCAAGGTGGTAATTAGAAGAGTCACAGAAAATAAAATGTGTAAAACTCCAGTACAAACATTACTCCGGTAAACAT